AAAAACAACCTTTATTCTATTATCAGATTTATAAAAATATATAATCATACTATTCAAATTAACTAATATATTAGTTATATATCAATAACAAAACAACAAAATATTCAAAAAATTCAATTCGTTCATAATCTATTATCTAGATAATATTCTAATCTTTTTTCAAAAAGAAAAAAAATACAAAGGATATATATTGAAAATATTCGAAATATTCAAAAGAATAGATTCAAGATTCAAATTATCGAAATACAAATTTGAAATACAAAAGATAACATTTCTAAAATATATTATTCAATTAAAACAAATGAATATAGATTCTAAAAAAACAAAGAAAATAAAAAATTAAAAATGATTTAGGAATATCAAAGATATACAATCCATATTAGAATTCGTCAATTTTTATTAAATATTTATAAAAGATTTCTCGAAAATAATAGAATCCTTTATCGAAATAATTAAAAAAGGAATAACTTTTATATAAAATGAAAAAACGAAACAGGTTTTTCAGGAAATCAAAAATAGATTTATAAAGGAATTTATTCTTTACAATTATTATAATAACCAAGAAAGTATTATCGAAATAGATACTTTTAATATTTATATAATAAAAATTTATTTACAAAAAAACAATAATAAAAAACTATATCTTATCATTTATTATTCAAACAAAATAAACAAAACAAAACAAAATTATAATATTTATAAAAAGGAATTTATAGCTATTATAAAAACATTAAAATATTAAAGGATCTATTTTCAAAAAATTAAATTCCTAATAATTATTTATATTGATTATATAAATCTTTGAATGTTTATTATTATTAAGATCTTGAATAATTGTAGATTGATTAAATAGATTAAGAAATTAATAAAGTTTAATCTGATAATTAAATATATCAAAGAAAAAAATAATACAAAAACAAATACTTTAAATAGATTACCAGATTACAAAGATAATAAAACCTATCAGAAAACAATAATCTTGAAATCTTTATTAAATAAAGATTTTATCTTTAATTTAATGAAAATCGTTATTATAGAAAATAAACTAATAAAGATTTGAAAGAATAAATTTATAAAAACATAATAAAATAAAGAAAGTATCAAATAATTAAAATTATTAATAACTATTAAAGGATTATTTCAAATAAAGAATAAAATATAATTATCAAATAATATTGCTTTTAAATATATCATAAAACAATATATATTACTAATTTACGAATATTAAGGAATATAAAGAATATATCTAAAAATCAAAAAATAATATTGAAGTCCAGGATTTTATAATATAATCAATAAAGTAATTATTGAATATAATATCTATATTAAAAATAAGATTTCCTATTATATTCTTTATAAACAAATAAATACTATCGAAATATTATTTATATTATAAAAATCAATATTATAACATTTTATAAATTCATTATTAAAATCCAAGGATTCAATAATAGAAATAATATACGATTATCTTTTTATTATAATAAATAGATTAACAAAATATCTAATACTTATATTATATCAAATAACATTAATTACAGAAATACTAATCTCAATATTTTTGAAAGAAATTGTAATAGTATATAGATTATCAAAGGAAATACTTTTTAATAGAAATAAATTCTTTATATCGAAATTTTGGATTGTTTTAATAATATTATTAGAAATAAAGAGAAAAATATCTATTGTATTTCATTTACAAATCAATAAAAGAAACAAAAAAGTAAATCAAATTATCGAAGCTTATTTTCGATATTATATAAATTATTAATAAAATAATTAAATAGAACTTTTATTCTTAATATAATTCGTATATAATAATTCAGTATCAAAAACAATACAAATCATTTCGAATTATATCAATTATAGATACAAATTAATTGTATATTATAAATTAGAGATTATAAAAATAAAAAATTAATCTACAATAATATAAATAAAAAGATTCAAAAAAGTCTATAAGAAAATAATAACAAAATTGAAATTCGTTATTGAAAGAAATATATATTATTACAATTAGAAATATAATCAAAAATCAATATTAAAAGAAAAGAATAAAGTCTATTTACTTCGAAAAAATATTAAAATAAAAAGATTTAATACAAAATTGGATTATAAGAAACTCGAACTATTCAAAATCAAAAAATTAAAGGATTTTGAATTATGAATTAATATTATCAAAGAATATAAATATATATCCAATGTTCTATATATCTCTATTCGAATTAGTATTCTCAAAAGTATCTAAAATTCCTGAAACAGAAATTGTATTTACAAATCAAAATACCGAATACAAAATAAAGAAGATATTAGATTATAAATATATTAAAAACAAAATCAAATATTTAATAAAATAAGAAGATTATCTCGATTTCGAAAATATATAGGAATTTGAGAAAAAGATTAAATATTTGAAAAGGTTTTAAGAGTTTCATTAATAGAATCTGAATTTACTCAAAAAAAAAAAGAATTCATTATTTCCTATAAAAAAGAATCGAAAGAATCGAAATCGTTTATAAGATTTTTGTTAAAGTTGATAAAATCAATTAGTAATTAATTAAATTAATCAAATTGATTAAAGCTTAATTGATCAAATTGACCAAATTGATCAAATTGATTAAATTGATTAAAAGGGTTGAAAGGAGCAACAAATATAAAGAATATAACAATTTCTTGTTTCTTTTCTTTTCTTTCTTTTTCTTTCAAAGTATCGAGTTTATTTATAAAATTCAAATCAATTATAATCATCTTCTGTTTTTGTTCACAAAAAAACTTTTGTTATTTATTAAAACGAAGAATTTATAATATCGTTTTATTTTTCTTTATATTTATATACTTGATTTAAATATCAATAGTTTCCTAGTCAAAAACGAAGAGTATTTTATTCAATTTATAAATATCATATAATTTATTAAGAGTAATATAACAATTATAATAACAATACTTGATATTACAGAAAGAAATATATTCAATATTAATATTTTTATATCGAATACAAAAAACTATTTTTTTTCTAATCAAATTAATTTCTTATTCAAAAACTTTATAATCGATATAAGATTGAGAACAAACAAATAGTATAATGAAAAAAAAGTATTCGAAATAAACTAAACAGAGAATAACATTTCTTTTCAAAACCTTATAAGCGATCAAGGACGACGTTTAACCAAAATAAGAATAATATTACGATTTATAGTTTTCTTTATAATAATATTATTAATATCGATGAATTATATACCGATTACAAAAAGGATATGATTTAATTATTGCTTTCGAAGGTCCTGATTACCTAAATCTAAAACCCCAGGATTCCTAAAATAAATATCTTAAATAATTATAATAAAATAAAACAAATGTTCTATTTAATTAATTATAATAAAACTATTACTTTAAAGAATATCATATCCTAAAACTATAATTCCTAAAAGGAAAACTTCTAGAACAAATATTCCAGAAAAGAAAAAGCTTTAGGATATAAAAGGCCTCAGGATCAATTACATGATATACTAGCTCTGTTAGTCAGTTAACAAAGCTAGCATCATAGGAATACTAGCCATACTAACTAGCTAGTATAGCTAGTATAGGAAAAGAGATTAGTATATAACCAGAATAGTTTCATAGTTTAGAAGCTTTATATTCAACTTAATTATCAATTAGTTTACTTACATTCCAATTGATCTAATAATGTATTCACCTTCGAGTAAATAATCAATGATTATTAGCCTTAACCTACAACTACCAACCACACGAAAACCTGAGGCAGCCGCTGCCTCGATCAGATCGTTACAACAATTATCAATTATACGAAACCTAAGGCAGCCACTGTCTCAATTAGATCGTTACAATAATTATCTTTAATAAATTTTCGAGTTTTCAATTAAGTTATAACTTTGAACAGAGCTGTCTTTATAATTCAAATCTTATTAAGATTATTAAATAATTCATTTTCATTTTTATATACATTGAAATCAATTGATTCGTTAATAGAAAAAAAGACCTTTGTATATATTTTTTCTTTTATTGAAATTGAATTTGAATATATATCTATCTTTACAAATAAAATAATCTAAAGATTTTTTATTTTATTATTTATAAAGTTTATATTTGTAAGATCAAGTAAAATTTTAAAGTATTTATAATACTAATTAAACCATCCAAGATTCAAATATTTCGATAAAGGTTTAAGTGTAAATATATTGAATCTTTTATATATTGATTTGTAATTATAATAATGTTTAATTAGATATTATTTATTGTATAGTTTGTAATGTTATTTTTGTTTTAAACAACTTTTCAAATATTTGTTAAGATTTGATAATTTCTAAAAACAATTTGAATAAGATCTTTTTGATCTTGTTTTTATAATTTGTAATAATATTATTTAATTTATAATAAGAGTATAATTATTATTTGTTATATATTATCGCGATTTATAACAATAAATTGTAATCGTTAAGCTTTTGTATACTTTTACATTATCATATGATAATTTGCAATACCTGATCATATGAAAATAACAAGGTATTTACTTGTTTCTTTTTAATTTTATCGAGATAGTAAATTTCTATATTTGACTTAACCCGCGATTAATCACAAATAATTATAATGGCAATTAGTAAACTATATAAAACAATAATTCAATATATCAAATTCAAACCGTCTGTTATAACTTCTTATAATCTCTGATTATATTGATGTATTAAGAGGACAATGATTATTTAAAGTCTTTACATCAAGAATATATCTACACATTCATCTTTATTATATTTATATATCTTCATCTGTCTTAACAATCTATTATCTTGTCAAATTGTTCTCCGAATTGTCTTATTATTTCGTAAAATCCTTTATCTCAAATATAACTCGTTTATTTATCTTTCAAAAGAAACCTGAAATTTCCGTTCCTTATTCTAGTTATAGTTGGATATTTCTTAATACTATCTAATTATAAATGATGTTTGAGGCTTCAAAGATTTTGCTGAGCATCCCAACGAGGATAGTAGTAATCATATATCGGGCTGCTGAGCAGATCGCGTGAGTATAAACCCCACTAGCCACCCTGGTCATAGCGACTATTGATACCTAAATACCTATCTCATTGGACAACATTATAATAATCCATATGATATAATAAGGCTGTCTCGCATCACTATGAAAACTGTGAAAACTACAACATTCAGAGCTTTCGATAAATCCCCTTCGTCATAGAGTCCATCAGGTAAGATATCTTGTCATTCTGCAATGTTATCCGATCTATAGCCTAACAGTTTCATTATAGAATTCCTGTTCGACCCTCCCACATAACCATTACTCGATCGATTACCTCGCACTTCTACAACAAATTATCGCATATACTACGTACCTGAGAGTAAGAATTCTTTTTACTATCATATTTAAAGGATTTTATTTAAGATATTTATAGTTTCGACGAGTATTCGTTTACATCATGTCTGCGTCTGAGGAAAAAAAGGATTTTCAGATCTGGGGTATTGAAGAAAGCGACCATGATAGGAAGATTGAGTTCAAGGGAAAATTGATTTTGATCTATAATGAAACAACAAAGCATACACCGGTGGATAAGCTCGATGTTAATAATAGAGAAGGTTTCATCATTCCGAAGGGTTATACATGTGAACTTCATGGTGGTGGTACTGGATCTTTTGCTAGATTATCTGATATGATTTGAGAAAATAATTACAAGCCCACTTCCATCAGCTGCATTCCAAACATATCTGTCAATGTAAAACCTGACTTCCGATCAACCATGATAGAGAATGTGATATCGTTATCATCTGTACTAGATATGAATGCATAAACATAAGCACAACGAAGTCCCAACGCCGTCTTGTATTTCTTAATGCGAATTGTAGCTTGATAAAAGGAGACTCTTAAGAGAGGTAGGTTTTCCATTAGCATATATGAATATTGTTCAACCGGTCCTTGAAGAGATTGAAATTGTGGTTGACGTTGCAAATCAAACATTTGAAGTATTTCGTGCCCAGCTTGGTGATCAACAGTAATAGAGAATATAACATCTTGCTCCCAATCTCGAGGAAACATTGCTACAATATATTATCGATAATCATTCGAATTTAATCCATATCTAGTTATCGTAGAACTGCGAAATGGTTCCTCAAGATTGCGATCCAACTTCTCTTTCGTAATATAACTATATATAAACTCGATTTCTAGATCCAATATTGTCAGTTTGAACTCGAAAATATTTTATCCTGTCGCATTAGGACCAATATGCACTCAGCTAAAAGGTTTTTCCCCTGTTATGTATGTTAGAGGGAAGACAGATTTACTTATGATCTATTTGACTTATGAAATTTGTTTCAAAGCGTTGGTCGACTTGAGCTTCTAACCAGATTTATCATGCGTTTGAACACTAATGCATTGTCCAACAAGTGACTCATATAATTGTTAAGAAATGGAGCTGGTGTGTATACTGAAATTAAATGCAGAATCGAGCATCTTCATGCGTTGAGATCCCTTGGAGTTTAGATCTGTCGGTCAAAGTCGATTGATATAGAAAATCAGATATGTTGGGCACATTTAATGAACTGAAATAATGAAAACATTTGGAACTAAAATTCATGAGGGAGCCTTAAATACACACTAACTCCAAGTGATGTGACTCTTCGTGCGATATTAAGTTTTTGATTTTCAACATTAGATATGGAAAAATACTGGAGCTTTTCCTAATTCTTCTCAACCGGCTTGAGAGCCTTAGGACCCTCAACCCAGTCAAATGTCCCCATAGATTGCGTCAACCAAACATCTTTAGGACCATCAGGGATCACGTGTACAGTGTCTAGATCCTCGTCAAACTGTGAACCACTCAAGAAGGTACTTGGAAAGCCCGGATCAAAATGATTCGATCCATCAATCTTAGCAATATCCTCTTCAGTCAAAACAAGCTTGAGAGCTTCGATGTTATCCTTAAGATGCTCGACCTTGCGACCTCCAACAATTGGAAAGACATATGGTGCCTTTTGCATGATGTATGTCATGGCAACGCTGGTGATGTTGGTGTTCTTAGAGATGGCGATACTCTCCAATACTTTGGAAGCTCGCTTCTCAAAAGTGGAAGGCTTGCCTTGACGACCTGGGTTGTTCTTTTCCCGCTCCTTGAAGGTAGCTTCGGTTTGGAAACGCCCTTGCCCAAGAGCGCCCCATGGAACCAATCCCATACCTTCATCTTTACACATGGGGACAATCTCACGTTCGAAATCACGTTTAGCCGCATTCCACAGGCCTTGATATACGGCGAATTGACGCAAACCATGATCTCTAGCATATTGATTTGCTTTCGCTGCAACCCAAGCAGGTGTATCAGACACACCTAGGTAATTCACTTTGCCAGATGAAACAAGGTCATTGAGCGAATGCATAAGTTCCGGGATGGTGGTTGTGTAATCCCACCAATGAACATAGAAGAGATCTATGTAGTCGGTTTGGAGTCTCTTGAGTGAGCTTTCGATGGAATTTCTGAGGGACTTTGTTCCATTGCCTCCAAAGTTTGATTGGATCTTCTCAGGATGATACAGCTGAGAAGGGGAGGAGTATTTAGTCGCAATGACCATTTCATCTCTACAGTCTCTTGAGTTCATCCAATCTCCGAGCCATGTCTCCGATTCCCCATTTTGATATAAGTTGGCGGTATCGATGAAGTTACCACCTAGACTTTTGAAAGTATCGAGAATCTCAAATGTAGTCTCCTTGTTGCATTCACCCAAATTGGCTTTATGCGCATCGCCGAAATTCATGGCTCCAAGGCAGATTGGAGAGACTCGTACACTAGCTGTCGGGGCAAGTTGGCGATGACGAAAGAGAGGAGACTCTGGTGCTGGTGCTGGTGGGATTGGTAGTGGCATTTTGATGCTTGAGTGTGAAGTTTGTGGTTGTAATTAAAATTATGACTGATTGAAATATTGAAAGGCTTGATCGTATGTCTATGATAGATACATCAAGGGGAGGGATGAAGAGGTATTTATACCATCTAAGAAACCTCAGGGCATACATATTGGATCGAAAGGCCGGAAACACAAACGGAGTTGAACTTTCTAACTCCACGAGCCACATTGCATCATCTAGAATGATTTTTGATGGCAAGGACTGAATTCATTTACCATGCATTTGTCAAAGACGTTGATGTCCATGTCGTTGAGCAGTTTTGGGCAGTTGCAACATGATACTACCTAGGTAATGAATGTTCCAATGCAACATTGGTACACCACACCATACTCGAGTATTCGTTTAGGGCACCCCACCCCATAAAACCCCCACTATTAAGGCGCTGTTAAGTGGTCCAAGGCCTAAAGCAGTCACTGACGTAGCCCCAAGCACTAACTCTAGGCCGAAGAAAGGCCCACAAACTTAATCTTAGTCTATACTCGTGGATCTTTCGGCCTATCCCCGAAAATTGTACCCCTCCCCTCACCTCAACCCTCAATGAGGCTCGATCTTCTTCTCCTGCACTTGCGTTTTGTTCCCTAGTCGGCTTGATGCTTAGACCCCGCCCAAATCCCATAGCATATTTGTTTCCAACATGATCATGATGGCAGACGTTCCTCTTTCACAGTGCTTAAGATCTTACCAATCGAATTTTTAAACCCGAAACGTCGATTGATCTCGACCTCTCGCCCGACACTAATCATTCCTCTTCGGCCGAACACGAGGATAATCACCAAGAACTGATTTACAGAGTAGGGAAAGCGAACATGCAACCCAGAGTCGAGCTCACACGTATGCCTCAACAGACTGCAGTGAGATGTGCAGACGACGATTGGACTGGAACAGTTGATTCAGCAACGAGAAGGAAGTTACAGAACCGTTTGAATCAGAGGATATACCGTGAGTTCTATCGCTGCGTATGGTCAGTGTGAAGATATACTAGAGTGACAGTCGCTAACTTATTCACTTTGTGCCTCCTGCCAGGCCAAAGACATCGAGCCACTTCGGAATCTCTTGCGAATGCCGGTAACGAATTCATGAGTGAGACCTTCCAAGGGCGTTCAGTCATCAGAAACCCCATAAATACATGTGCGACGGAGCCATTATCGATAACGAATCCGAACGAGAACCATCTCAATCATTTCGCACAACCCAACATCACCGCATCTAGTTCATCAGCAGGTGTAGACGTAAAACAATGGACGACAGGTCGTGTCTCGGGACGACAAGGCTTTGCTCAACTCCGCCTTACGATGGCTGAATTTGAAGAAGAAGCTCGTAAAAATTATTACATGGGCTCTCCGCGATCAGATCAACTTCTCACCCTTATTCAATTTAATGTTCTCCGAGCATTGATGCAAAACACACAGACAATGGGTTGGGATTTGGATTGGCTGGACTGCACGGTTGACCCTCTATCACCATGGCTTAATCTTTCTTCACAACCTGTCCCAGGAGCGCATTGTCCTCAAGCATTATGTCCAACACCAACTCAGCGCACAGTTCCGCATCATCCATGGATAGACCTTTGGCCAATCCCACAAATGCGTGATACTTTATTGCTGCATGATGGAAATTATGATGAAGATAAATTGTGCAATGATCTGCTCGAGTTTGGAGGCCTCATGAACGAACAAACGGGCCTTATTGTTTGGGGTGAGCCGTGGGATATATGGGGATGGGAGGTCAGTGAGACATTCTTGAGGAATTGGGGATGGACAGTCAAGGGGTGTGAAGATTTATTGGCTTCGACAAATGCTTGGAGGGCGAAAAGAGGAGAGGAAGCTATTGTTTTCGAGGTCTAAATAGACAAACAACCCATGAGACGAAAATGTAGGATGGGAAACTGAATTCCGAGTATCTCAATACTTGGTTTCAAAGGTTATATCCAACTGGGGTTGTCCGCGGTCAACCCACGCATGCCGGACTATTTTCAACACCGTCAAAAACAGAAAATACATCGAATGGCATAGCAGATGTACGGCCTGCGAACGACGGGACGAATGTTCTCAATAGGGACGGCTGAAATGCATATTTAGCGCATCGCAGTATGCATCTTCAAATGGTTATCTCGGACAGCAATCAGCTAGAAGACAAGCTATGCGAAAATACCTGCCGAGAAGATGAACGGAAGCGATGTTTCCCAATTAGTGGAAAAGACTATGTCGCGACAATTGCAGTTGTGGGATTATTTTCATTCCATCTGTTTGATCCATGCCGAGACATTTGTTCTTAAATACTCTTCCGTTTCCGAAATTCGGATAGTTCGACTGGATTTGAGAATGTCTTCCAAGTTTCATGCTGAGATTTTTCGCGTACGTTCAGTAAGGAATATTAACCAATCAGATTTTCTCATTCGAGGATATCGCCAAGGTGACAATAGTACTTCCAAGTTCTATCGCCTCATAACGACTTGGGGGAGTATCAAACTGTTGGAGATGTCCGTAGGACTATGAGATGAAACACACGATTAATCAACATCCTCTCCTGGCATCCGCTAAGTGGGTTTTGCGATAGGAGAGGCAAGAATGATGCGGCCAAAATAACAAATTTACGTAGAAAAGCTCACATACAGGCTGACCGAGAGAAGTCCTTCTTTGTTCATTTGACCGAATATAGTAGATCGATCTGATTAAGTAAGACTGGTCTTTCAATGTGACATCCTAGTTCTATCTTGCCTACTGTCAGATGCTCTTGGCACGGGTCGTCATTAATCGACAAGTCCTAGAACTAGTGGATCCGGCTCGGACCAGAAGTCCGGGAAGAGATGTTTAAATCTTGAAATGATGCGAGAACTTTATCTGATCTTTGATCGGAAGTTGGATTATGACTTGATTCGTGGCTTCAAGTGCCGAATTCCTATTGTTCACTTGTGGGCAACAATTGCAGTCCGGAGTCAAGTGGCTCAGATACAGACTCGGTGGTCCGAGTCAGCAGACTAGCATCAAGGCATACAATCAATACCTTCTCCACATTTGACTCGCCCTGCGTCACATGGTGCAAATATCAAAGAGGTAGAGGTGAATAGCTCATTGGTCATCCCAATTCAGTGACTACTTTGTATATCTTGAATCATTCAGTATTCGGGATATCTTGTTTCCATGCCTCGGCAAGTAAATGATAGCTCGATCTGCAAGCAATAGCTTTGGTAGGTAAGTGGCCGCAAAGCTGAAGTTGCATTGGACCTTGGCAGTCGAGCCCCGACGTCAAGTGGTTCCTATTGTGCCACCTTTTGCGGCGTTTTGTGAGGGGGAACAAAAAACCCTCACCAAATGTTTGTTCAAAACTAACTAATAAGTCAATATGAGACCCGGATATTGGGAGGAATCATTAACACATCACGCATGCTATTGAATATTGCTTAGCCTTGCAAATAATAACAGCTGCTCAGTCCACGCCTCCAACGCGCGCTGACCCATTTCAATTTATTTGAGCACTCAATTTGTGCCGAAAGACCGAGTTTCTCTTCCCAAGTTTTATTAAAAGTGCCTGATAAGTCTATTCCCTCAAGTAGAATTGGTTTCCTACTCTCATACTTTTCCTCACCACTCTCAAAAATGCGTCGCTCGCTTGTCTTTCTATGTTATGTACTCAGCCTAGCTGATATAGCTACCTCACAACAATCTACTGCCAATGCTGAGGCTGCTTTCAGGCAATTGCAAACTTGGTACAATACCGCTTCTGGCCTCTGGACTACAACAGGATGGTGGAATGCTGCGAATTGTCTGACCGTCCTCGGTGACCTGGCCGCGGTCGATCCGAATGTCAGGTCAAACATCACTGGTGTTATGTCGAATACCTTTACCCGTGCTCAAACGAATAACTTACAAATGACGAAAGCGGTATTGCCAGACTTCAATTACGTTTGTTTGTATGGCAGTTCTACCAACACCACAGACAATGCTCTAGTGAACTATATTCCCGTGCGTGCAAGGGCTAGTGTGAGCCCCAGACAATTTAAAGGATTTTTGAATGATTATTACGACGATGAAGGTTGGTGGGCACTAGCCTGGATCCAAGCATACGATATCACCGGAAATAGGGACTATCTATCAATGGCCGAATCCATTTTTGCCGACATGAAAATGGGCAGTAACACAACCTGCTCAAAGGGTGTCTCGGGAATTTGGTGGGACAAGCCAAAAACATACGTCAACGCCATTGCAAATGAACTTTATTTGAGTGTAGCTGCTCATCTTGCCAATCGTGCATCAAATAGAGCAAGTTATTTGACCATAGCAAGAGATCAATGGAGTTGGTTCCAAGGGACTGGAATGATCAATGCGCAAGGAACAATTAATGATGGGTTGACGAGTGACTGTCGAAATAATGGGGGAACGGTTTGGAGTTATAATCAAGGGGTTATACTTGGAGGACTCGTCGAACTTTCGAGGGCGACAGATGACCAAAGCTACATTAACACGGCTAAAAGCATTGCTTCAGCAGCAATCAAAGCATTATCAGATTCAAATGGAATCCTTCACGACCCATGCGAACCGAATTGCGGAGCAGATGGCGCACAATTCAAAGGAGTATTCATGAGAAACCTCCAGAGACTTCACCAAGAATCACCCGACTCAAGTTATTTTACGTTTATCGCAAATAATGCGAAGAGTATCTGGGCGAACGATAGAGATCCATCTAATAATGCACTTGGCGTTAATTGGGCAGGACCATTTATCTCACCAGCAGATGCAAGTACACAGAGCTCAGCATTGGATGCTCTTGTGGCGGCGGTTACAGTTGGAGCTAGACGAGTTGTTAGGGGATCGAGATGGATAGCGTGATGGGTTTGAAGATTGTTTATGGGTGAAGGGCTTGCTTCGGAAGTGTGAAGACTGGCAGTGGTTGGCAGATGGAGTGGAATGAATGGAGTTTTGGTTTAACGGTGATAGGTTATGAGTATGGGTATGGGTATCAAGGAATTTATGCAAGTATTTGATTAACGTTGTTTTGAGGGATGGATATCATGTTTCTTTTTTTGCTGCAGATGAGGGAGGGATACTGGTGGGTGGATATTGCCATTTGATAGCCTATAGCTTACATTAATGTGAATTTCAATGACGAAATGATCTGATTGATATTCATTGATCGGACTTTTTCTGTACCTGTGCAACGTGAATCTTTGTCATAGCTTCACAGAGTCAAAGAGTTGAAAAGTCCCTAACCGCCAACTTTTGCGATATTGACGATCACTAGGCTAAGGAGGTAGATAAAATTGTGGAAATGGTGGAAAATTACTTACTATGTCTCTTCCATCTAAAAGCTCTCAACTCTTAGCACCTAACGCTTAAGGTTACACAATCCAAGCATACCTAATAAACATTAAATATTCGAAGTATTCTAACTCTAAAACATTAAATGCTAATCTAATATCCATGAATCGGGGACACATCTATGTGTATATTGATACCTACTACATACTATACTCGTAATTGATTGGTTATTGTTATAAGCTTAGTGTGATAGATAGGTAGGTAGGCAGGACGCATTGATGTAATTTATGGTTGGTAGGTAGGTAAGGTTAGTGGCTGCAAAGTGCGGGGGTTGTAGCTTGTAGCTTGTAGGTTTTAGGTTGTTTTTGTAATGGATGGGGTGGATGGGATGGTGTTCATATTAGGTAGGTGGATAGATGGGGAGGTATGTAGGTATTTTTTGATTATTTATTGTCAATAGGTTACTCAATGTTTTGGTCTGTGGAGGTCTATTGAGGTATATATCTGTCTGCTTGTCTGTTTGACTGTCTGTGTAAATGCATGTGTATAAGGTATCTATTTGTACATGAAGATCAGATTTACTAAAATTTTCTTCTCCTCTCCTCTCCTCCCCTTCCAGTTATCAATTACCCAAAGGAGTCCAACCACTCGATATCCCATCCACTCCTTGTCTTCCACCTCAATCCGCGCTATCTCTCAAAACACAAAACTTAAAATCTAAATTTACAACAAGAATGCAGCGGCACCAGCAATAAGTACGAGCATATTGCCTGCTTGAACCGAGGTAGCAGCACCAGTGAAGACTGGGAGGGTAGATGTGCTTGTTGAGCTTGAACCAGTACCGGATGGTGATGCAGGGCTGGTAGAGTTACCACCGTAAGTTCCTGATGAAGGGCTACCTGAGCCGGAACCTGAACCAGAGCCAGGGGTCGAGCTGAAGCTTGAGCTTGAACCAGATGAAGTTCCAGGGACAGATGAGCTAGAACCTGAACCAGTTGAACTACCAGGGATAGATGAAGAAGCACCGGAGCTGGATGGAGAGCCTGGAGTCGATGAACTAGAGCCAGATGAAGAACCTGGAGTAGATGAGCCTGGAGTTGACGAGCCAGGAGTCGAAGAACCAGGGGTAGATGAGCCAGGAGTCGAAGAACCAGGGGTAGATGAGCCAGGAGTTGATGAGCCTGGAGTTGACGAGCCAGGAGTCGAAGAACCAGGGGTAGATGAGCCAGGAGTCGAAGAACCAGGGGTAGATGAACCAGGGGTAGATGAACCAGGGGTAGATGAACCAGGGGTAGATGAACCAGGGGTAGATGAGCCAGGAGTTGATGAGCCTGGAGTCGAAGAACCAGGGGTAGATGAACCTGGAGATGACGAGCCTGGAGTTGATGAGCCAGGGTAGATGAGCCTGGAGTTGATGAGCCAGGAGTTGACGAGCCTGGAGTCGAAGAACCTGGAGTAGATGAACCAGGGGTAGATGAGCCTGGAGATGACGAGCCTGGAGTTGATGAGCCAGGGGTAGATGAGCCTGGAGTTGATGAGCCAGGAGTTGACGAGCCTGGAGTCGAAGAACCTGGAGTAGATGAACCAGGGGTAGATGAGCCTGGAGTTGACGAGCCTGGAGTTGATGAACCAGGGGTAGATGAGCCTGGAGTTGACGAGCCTGGAGTTGATGAACCAGGGGTAGATGAACCTGGAGATGACGAGCCTGGAGTAGATGAACCAGGGGTAGATGAGCCTGGAGATGACGAGCCTGGAGTTGATGAGCCAGGGGTAGATGAGCCTGGAGTTGATGAGCCAGATGAAGAACCTGGGACAGAGCCGCTAGCGTAGACAGTAACAGTTGAGGTTGAGGTTGGCTGATTAGCGTAGACTGTAACAGTTGGAGTTGGACCATTAGCGTAGAATGTAACAGTATTCGTCTTTTGTGGTGCACACATGGCGCCAGTAGAGGTAGGTTGAACGAACCAAACCATTGGGCTTGTGAAAGTTACAGTTTCGATAACTTTCGAAATGGCGGTTGTGGTAGCAGTTGGGTAAGCAGTGGCGGTAAAGTTATTGGTGGCATAAGCAGTAACGGTTGAGTTCTTGGTTGCATAGGCAGTGGTTGTAGTGACTGAGACGGAGGAAGAGGTAGTTGGATCAACGCATGATCCCGAGAGAGAGAATTTGTTAGATTGAGCGTAGATCACGTAGGTATTGGTTCCGTTGATGAAATTCATTTGCCATCCGTAATCACTGCTTACATCACAGGGAATAGTAACATCGACGCTCGAATCGGATTGTGGAACATTTTGAGCGAGGGATATGACGGTAGGTGGCCAATCTTTGAAGTTGACGAGGTAGATGGAGAATGTAGATGCATCTGTGTCGACGGAAGACCAAGTTACACTAGTGGCTTGACCCTTTGGAACGGTAGAGTTGAGGGTTGGAGTCAAAACCGTGTAGGCAGAGGCTGCTGCCACCAAAGTGGTGAGAGAAAAGATTTTGGAGAACATTATGAATTTAGAAGATTAAGAGAAGTTGAAAAGAGTGTAAGTTGGCAGAGCCAGTTTTTGCTTAAAAGAGCGTGGTAGGTAGATAAAACCTGAAGAGAGATAATTCTTGAATGGAGAAAAATATCTAACGAAAGAAGGAAAAGATGTGGAATAAGTTGGCGCTTTTGTATATCATCGATTAGCAGGATAATCTACCTAACTTGACCTTATCTAGATCAAAGCAATTTTGGTAGGACAAGTAATATGCAAGAAGGCTGCAAAGTTGTTGGCACAATGTTGGTGTAATTTCCTAACAACCTCAAACCCCTGATCTCTAATAAGTCAGTCACATCACACTAATGCCAAGAATTACTTGGGTTTATAACAAGAGGCACAGTTAAAAATGGTGATGATCAAATGTTGAGTCATTGGACGAGGGTAAAGTGGTAATTAGTTATTTTTATATTTCTGTATTCCGTATTTTGTATATTAATTAATAGGTTGGGCATTGGGGGTTTGAAAAGGAGAATATAAAATGATATGAATGATATGAGAGTATAATGAATGCACTGTATTAAGTAGATTAAGTATAAGGTTACAGTATTACGGTATGACGGTATTACGGAGTATGTATTAAAGGATTAGAGTGCGTATTAAAGGATTAGAGTACGTATTAGAGTATATAGACTTTCGTTTCTCGGTTGTGAGCGACATAAGGCTGCTTGATCAGCAACTTGGTAGAGTGGAATAGAGTAGATTGACACAAAGCTGTAGTGGGGGCTGCAGATCTATCCCCCTGACTTATTCCCCTGGCTGCTAAGGTATAAGGAGTAAAGGAACCTAAAATAAAAACATTGCAGTAATGAGCCTTGTCATTGTGTGCAGTTATCCGATACTCTGGTCCCAATCCATCCAATCGGTTCATTTGGTGCTACGGAAGGAAGACTTTGGTATCAATAGTATGTATGGTAAGGTCCATATCGGTATCAAACAGGTGGATGCTTTACTGCTGCATTGGCGGTAATTATCGATATAATGTATCAATCAATGTATGAATGTTTCAATCAATGTAGGGAAAACTTATTAGGGTATCAGAATAACCAACCTCAGGGCAGACGGTGAACCAAACAAACGGTTTAGAAAAATCACAATCTCATAGAAGCTTTGTTAATATTCCATCTATAAACAAGCAGAAACAAGAAAAATATGACCCGTATCTTTCGAATTGGGCAATTTCAATATATTGTAATGGAAGACAACCGTGGGTATACCAGGATATCAAGCATCATTATTTATATATCAAATTTACCAATCATTGCTTTCTTTCCCCTTAGACCCTCACCTCAGAACAATGAATCAATGAATCAATGAATCACAACGGGGAAAAAGAAGGAAAATGGGAAATGGAAAATGGAAAATGGAAAATGGAAAATGGAAAAAAAAAGAAAATTAACCGCCAGCCCGATGTTTAATTTCCACAAGGATATCAAGGATATGTGTGCACGTACGGGGTCCAACGGGAATTATTACAAATTGGTCCATTTTTCATCGGAACAGTCGCCGGAATTAGTCTGGGACTTGTTGGATGAGTAGGTAAATACTGATGTTGGCTGTAAGGTTATTTACTTGGGGATTAGTTGAATACTTTCATCACATTCACATCAGGCACGTAGGTACATTGAAAAAAGTCTTTGTTTGAGCTGATGGATTGGTTAGTTATTGAAATGCAGTATATTCAGGCTGATTTCTAGGAACGAGAATCGGGGTGAAATGTCCACGAACTGACCAAATGGATCTAAGTCTGTCATATTCTTTATCAGAAAGGTAAATCGAACTTTACGCTTGGTAGGCTGACAACCTTGAACTTTATCTTTGATGACATTTTTCGAATGAATATGAATGTCCGCAGCTCAGTCTACCTCATCACCTCGATATCATCGTGTTGAATTCCCATACTCTACTACCTCATGCAAACCCATACATACTTTTGATAACATCACTTGCCTTCTCCGCAACCGCATACAATGTACTCGTCAAATGCCCACTTACCTGGAAAGGCAAAATGGAAGCATCAACTACCCGCACATTACTGGTAAAATACACCTTCAAATTGGAATCCACTACTCCACCAGATGTTCTCCCCTGCATAGAGCACGTCCCCACTGGATGATTGTTGGGTCCAACTATATTTACATTATTGAATGATTAACCTCCGGGAATGGACAGCCTAGAACGTAGAAAGAAGGGAAGATCGCTTACAGGTTGATTTGATCCAAGTTTCCCATTGCACATCCGTTGCATTCTTTGGCAGGACCGCATATCCGGGCGATATTTCGGTAAACGCATTTTCTAACGGTTTGGTAGCCCATAATTTCCTTGTCCATTTTGCGATTGCTACTTGGACTTGGAGATCGAAGTCTACGAGGAAGAAATTAGGGTTGATGGTTGGATAGGCAGCAGGATCCGAGGAAGAAACATGGACGTTGCCTCGAGAAAATGGTAAGAGTACCCAAAAGGCTGTGTACAGATAAACGCTTGGTCCGGATCCAATGGTTACCGCGTTACCGAAGATGACCTCAATATCTGGAACGTTTTGATTGATGAGATCATTCTGTATAGTCAATAGATAATCCATGGCTCCAGGTGAAATGGAACTGTTGATTGCAGCGGAAATTGATGATGCCCAAGTGCTTATATTAGCCGCTGGTACGCTTGGGAGTATTGAAGATAATGGGGCATAAGTCACATATGGTACTGTTCCGTTGTATGTGGTATTACCCTGGTAGACAAATAAGTTGTTGGGTTGATCTTGAAAGTTCTCCCCTACACCAGGAAGGATGATCTTGGTTGGTATACCATATTTTTGCAAGATCCTAAGCTTGTTAACCGTGTATTGCACACTTGTCATGATTGTTGGAACTTACTTCGGGTTCCCAATACCAGAAAGTTCCAGAATAGCTGGCGATCTCATACTCCCAGCAGAAACAATAACCTCCCTCGTCGCATTTATAACCTCAATCTCCCCATTCGAATTCAAAACCTCTACACCACTCGCTGTGTACGTTGCTCCCAAGTTACTACCCCAAACAATTCTCCTGGCAGTAGTGTTCAAAAACACATGCAAATTCGGCCTACCCTGAATAGGATAATAATAAGCCCTCGCAGCATCTTCTCTTACATTCTTCTCTCGATCTACGGTAGATGGTCCCACCATGAATCCTGTCACATTTCCACCATTTATATCCCGATTCCGCTGCACCCCAAGAGTCTCCCACGCGCTTCCTACTTGAGAAGAAAGAGAACCATTATTGAGATCATACGCATATCCCACCTTAAGAGGTCCGTTATCTCCATGAAATACAGGAATATATGATGCACCAGCCGCTCTTTGAGAATGACTTGGAATTGTTAAACTCTCACTTTTCTTATAGTATGGATAGAGAGTCGACCAATTCCATCCAGTATTACCAAGTCCAAGCTCTCCCCATGAGTCAATTTGTTGCGATGGAGCTCGCACATATGTCATTCCTATGAACTTTAGTCCAGCCTGCCAGATATCGTTCACTAATACAATACTCACCATTGATTGTACTTGTTCCACCTAATGCTTTCCCGGCATTGTATTTGACCGTTCTGCCACCAGCATAAGTCTGATTTATGGTCTCATATTGCCAGTCGATCGGTGTATTAAGACTTAGCGTAAACCCATCAACTCGACTGACATTTGTGTTGTTAAGAACCGAAAACCCGGCTTCAATTACCGCGACAGTTATGTTTGGGATTTCGGATAGACGGTTGGCTATCACGAGACCAGAGGTGCCACCGCCGATTATTACGAAATCGTAAGCAAGGACAATAGTGTGATAAGATGTAACCAGGTATCCCAAAATAATCCGAGATGATGAGCGGAGTGAAGAACTTCTGATCCCCAACATGATGGATGACTTGCTCCGATCAGTATCTATCGTATCTGAAGAGGAGACAAATGGAATATAGAATAGAAACAATCGTTAGGAAAAGAACGTGAAATAAAAATATCCCCCTGATGGGACGGACCAATTTCCGTGCTTATTGTCATTCGTATGCTCCAAGACATACAAGAGGTGATTGCAAGCCACTCTGCACACGGAACGGCTCACCGATCAACACACTTATACATGATTGATATCGCTCAGCTACGCCAATTTCATGAGGCATGACTCAATACTTGACGGCTTTCTAGATATGTATCTCAAATAAAGCTTTGAAATAAATCCTTCAATTTAAAAAAGAAGGAAATCAAATCACTCAATTGAATCGAACTATTATACAATCCAGTATTAATGCTATATCCTTTTTATTAATGTCAAAATTGGAAATCGATGGTACAGATTCAGACAGGCACCAACAAGCCCGAAAAAGAGGCCAAGCTAAACGCCCGAAAAAGTACAGTCATCGAGAAATCCTGCGTAATCCTTCAACTCCAAACTAGTACAAAAGTCACCACGCCGCTGAGAGTCCCTAGACTTTATAGAACGAAACTTTGCCATATTTGTCCTCGAAAGGTCTTTCACTGATATGGCATAAATAGCCTCGAGAACTTGAGGTCTTTGTATCGACACCACCTTCGCTTGCCCACTGCTTTTCCATTTCCTCTCTATGCTTACTCTTTGGCCTTCCATCTCTAAGGCGAATTTTCTCAAAGAAAACATACGAAGCATAATACGCAGAACTAGTATTGCCAGCGGTCGCGCCCTTCTTGCCCAAGAAATCATTCAAGACTTTGGATTGGATTTTCTTTTCCTCAGGATAGGTTTTTGCGATCTCTCGGAGAAAGGCAGCTTGGGTGACACCAGGTTCACGAAGGTAGGCTGATATCTTCTTACGGATTTCATCGCAGCTGTCGTAGACAGGGACAGAAGTGGTAGATTCTCCGTCGAGCTTGATGGCGGAGACATCGAACTTCTTCGCTTCTTCGGCTTTACTGACCTTTGCCTTCTTTTGAGGTTTTATACCCTGTAGCCTATTATATATTAGTTAAAAGGCTGATGGCTTCGGATGTCACGCATTCGAGTGACTTACTCTCTCTTTTTGAAGAAAGCAAACGCGTTGTAGTAAACATTGCTCTTATCGCCTTTGAATTTCCCATTTTGACCCATGAAAGAACCGTAGCTTTTGCTGTTGGCACCGATTTTCTTTTGGAACTCGGTGACTTTCATCTCACCCGTCTCGAGGAAACTACGAATTTTGCGACGGATTTGATCACAATTCTGATCGACCAGCTGAAGTCTTTCATCATCGCTATCAATTTCTGGTAGAGCTTGTGGTTCTTCAATCTCAGAAACTTTGCGTTTGCGAGCTGTAGGTGGTTTCTATTGTGTCGTTAGATTTGAATGAAAGGTGCAAAGAAGAGATATAATTACAGATGCTGGGGTTATAGCTGGAGCCGCGGCTTTTGATTTAGGTGGAAGAATTGCAGCTGGTGGTGTTGGGATGTTGTTGTCCGTAACAGCCAGAGGCTTTTTATCTTTCGTACGAGTCATGATGAATTACTTATTATTGAACTAGAGATTTATTGATTTGTATTGATTGGGTTGATTGCTATTGATGTGGAAAGGATTAATATTTAGAAAGAGCTAGGATTGAAATGATGCGCGACGACGCGACGCGGAGGACCGGATCATCACGAAAATGAGAGTTGGTCATGTGATTGCAAGCCATTTTGACTTTTGAGCTCCCCAAAAATATATTGTAGATGAATTATAATGAATTACATATATGAAAATTCAAAAGCATTCTATACATACACTCCAATCTCCCACGCCGTTGATGTACCCGCAACCAAAATGCAGCTTACTTGAAGAAAAGGCAGCAGTCTCTCCTTGTTCAAAAATCCAATTGCAATATCAATCCAAACCAGATGTGAAAGGTTTCCCCGTTCCTTAATATTGTCCACAACGCCGTTGTAGTTAAATAAAACTCTTTAGCTCATAGGCCACCCCGGACTCAGCGTGCAGGTATATGTGCTGTGCAGAATTAGGTAGGTCATGATACAACAGCTGTGGAAACAGAGATACAGCTATTCGCCATTGATTTCAGATCTCTGCTCTATTAGAAATCCAGTTATCTTAATATCAGTTATTGAGAGACCGGGCCAGTTTTCTAAAAGTTTCAAGGGGAGTTTTATGGAGAAATCTTTGGAATTCGTGCTTGAAATTTGTAATTAAGACTTGTTTACCCATACTGGTTTGCCTCGGTCACTAATCAAAGCATGTCAGAAAAATAGGTTTATCACGGTGCATCGTGTCGTTCTGTTCATATTTCCTATTTGGCCTATAGTTTTTTGACTAATCATACATTTGTTACCCATGAATCACCGCACCAATGGTAAAAGGCTACAATGATGGCCAATCTACATTTTCAGCTCTGTCCTCGATCATCTCTAATGCGCTAAATACACTCACGTATCCTCCATGTTGGAGACGCGGTAAGACTTACCTCTCGTCACAACTTCTAGTAATCCGAATCAACACGTCTACCGAGTCGTCTAATGTTAGGCGAATCAATACCATTCATCTGTTGTTATTATAGCCATGTTTTTGGAACTTTCAGCGTCGAGCGAGGAGTACAACTTCCAGAAGCAATCAGTATATCAAAAAGTTGCCATTCAATGCACCAGGAACTAGAGCTACCTCTAGAGACGAGTAAAACAGAGTGCAGTGTCAGAGGTTTTCTCGTCCTAGCCAATGAAGCTCTTGCCGCAGCCAAGACCTCAGATGAATGGTAAAGTTTACATATGTTTTGCGGGGAATGCGGCAAGTCTGCAGAGATTCGTCTCAAAGCTAGTGCCAGAATCTATAACTCCTTCTCCTAATTCTTCTATTATCCAATTCCATATCTATCAAACTAGAAATTCAGATCTATCCATTTCTTAAATCCTAAGTTGTGTTACCCACAGCATTGCTACCTGGCCAGCTCTCAATTCTCGAATTTTTTTTGATTCCCATTGAAGGTCAACAAGTCATTAAATCCAATTCAGATTCAAACATCAGATTATAGAAGTGCTTGCGGAACAATACTTCTTGGTGGGCCACTAATTGTTAAAATGGTAAAACTCAAAAATTGGTTGGTTGCACATTTCAGACTTTTATCCCAAAAATGAGTAAAAAAGTACTTCGCTCAAAGAATGCATCTGAGGTTTTATATAGCAGCTTGTTGAAATTTGACAGAAGAATTACAAATTCGAATTCAATGAAACCCAAAACTACAGATGTGCAACAAACTATCTGGTTGGTCTCACAGAAAACAAGTGCACCAAGAGACTGCTAGGAGTCGTAGATGTGCAGCAAAACCTTTTGACACAGCTTCTATGGCGACCTATCTTTCCAAATTACACCCCGATCCCTATTTCCCACGTCTATCCAAACAATATCAATGGATACTGATCCAGCTTACCCCTCACCCGTCTCGCCCACTTACTTCACCCCTAAAATTGGAACTAAGCCCATGGGCAACAACACTCACGACGTAGTACTTGCGCATGCAAGCCCCTTGAGACCATTAATGAAATAGCGCTTGTACGAGGTGTGACAGCATATAATTGAGTGCACAGAAGTTCGAGGTTCGTACGAGTGTTCACAGGAGTATATAGACTCAAATTTTAATTTTAATTGTGGCACCACAGCGTGATATAACCGAGTTCAGAGTTCAACGTCCCGCTTGTGACGATTTATGAACAAGGGATCAAAGTATTGGAAGGCTTTATAAGTACGTAGATGAGCAGAAAGGCAGGCAAGCAGGGGCAAAAGAATAAAATTGATGAAGTAACTAAATCATGAAGTAACTAAATCATGAAGTGGAAGCTTGAAGATGTGAAAGATATATTGAACTTAAAGCAAAGGAACTTGAAGCAGGAGATGGACATTTCTCTAGTAGGTAAATATATGTTCGATAAAGAATCATTGGAGGTAAATCTTCCTGGATCTACCACAAGTTCAACCCCCCATTCCAATAATCTTCCCGCTCTCACCATCATGCAATTCAATTAGCGTGATTACCTTTACCACTAGCTATACTGGCAGATAACGGTCCCTGCAGGTGCTTTGGCGCTTTGCACTTCTCTAAAATCATGATATACATGACTCGAGATATCCATATAACGCTGAGAAGTCCAAATTGCCATACCGGACATTCAATGAAGGTTCCCCGTATGGGTAATGAATGTGGTAGTGAGATGAATGTGTTCACCTTGCCAAAAGAGTATGTGATGAATTTTCCCCATGGAGAAGTTGCTGCAAGCCTATCGATATGCACGCCTGCATCATATATATGCATCTCGAAGTAGTTCACAAGCATTGTAAAGTTCCTGCACTTGAATTAAAGCGGCGACTTGCAGTGCCAAACCGACCGAAATATGATTGGTGCGTTTATTGCTTGCACTGAGGCGTGTGACGGCGCCTCCTTCAGGAGATGACAGATGATGACCTCTTGGGCGAGAAGATAAAAAGGTAATATATGTGGATGAGCTAAAGACTTTCATCTCCGACGATGGTGGAAGGAGGGAAGGGATGGCGTTATGAAACCTGTTTGATATGTCATTTTACCACGAGGAGCAAGGGCGGCAAAGAAGCCTTGCCAAACTTCTAGAAGGACCAACAAAGCAGGGGGTTTTATGTACTTCGAATCTTAGATAGTCTGTAATAAAATCCGAGGCATCGGACCTCATGGAGATTTCTCAAACGTCATTTCTTTCCTCCAGGTTGGGAAAGATTTCATTTACTTTTATCTTGGCCATTCCATTTACAGCTCGCACAATGCGCATACAATCATTACAATGATACAAATGGAGTACGCGAGCATTCAGAGATATGTTCCGAAGTATGGGAAAGACCCGAGTGATCGTCATGGCTTAAGATGATTGATGATTTCGAGCGGGGGAATCAAAATAAGGTAATAACCATCGCATTGTGGAAAGGAGGCTGTTTACAAAGCTTAGTCATGTCGGCCATAGATCAGCGAGGCTTATCTGCTTGTATTGTAGGCTTGGTACCCATTCTTTCAATCAATTCAATCAAGTAATGAATTCTCTTCCTCTCCTACCGGGCACATCATCTATTACCGGCCCTTGGCAGACAGAATGGAGATCGCTCGGCTTGAAATATCTATCCCCTCGGGATTTTGAGGCTTAAAAATCAGGAGTTGAGCTGAGCTGAGCTGAGATCGGATTAGATTGTTAGAAAAGCATAATGATGAAATTTTAGAAGGCTTTTATGGCGTAAGTATTGGTTTCAGGATGCTGCTGGCACATAGTGCTCGCGAATCGTAAAAGCCCCAGTTAGAGAGTTTGACATGGTATGAAAAGTATCTAGATTCTATATCGACCTCCCTAAGTATATATCACCTCTAGACCTTGAGGTTGATACTTGTTTGGGTAATCTTATGGAAGCTTGGTCCGGCCCTATGAGTGGATGAGGTTCATATCGCTAGGATCCAGGGGTAACGATACCCTTGGTTAGGGAGGGATCCATTACTCGTTGACATTTTCGTCCGAACGAATTTGAGCTTTGAGCTTCGAGCTCTGACTCTCTGAGCACTGGAGCGTTTGTTTTGCCTTTGTTCGATGAAAGTTAACAGTCCTCAAAAACGGCTGGAAGGCGAAACTGTAAATGGATATTTCGTAAGTACTGGAGTCTGTGGTTAAGACGGAAGTAAAAGACAAGTGAGACAAGATATTCAATGCGGTGGGAAGGAAATGCTAAGTAAGTAAGTAACCGGTGATTTGCGAGACAAGAAATAAATAAGATCCACTTCCCGAGTGCTCTGATAAAAAATCAACAAAACATCGAGTGGGTTTATGAAGTAACTTTGATCTTCCCAGCAACAAAAGTCCAAGAGAGAGGAAGTTAGAATTCTGGACTTTTTGAAATGAGACTGCCAGCTGGCTAGATGAGTTGACGGGATGACTGGGAGTGTAATTCTCGTCAAGGTGTATTCTTAAGTGACGAATAGATGCTCACAATCATAACAATCATAACAATCCTGGATAGCTCCCTTGTTTCGCATAAAGTCTTTACATTTGACATTTGACAACAGCAGCTGATTCTAATCCAAGCCTTTTTGGGACTCGGGGGATATTTAATTCTTGATGACTACGAGTCCTGGTATTAGTGGGTGATGTATGAAAAGGAGTAATAATCTGATTATTTAATTCCGGTACAAGAATAATGAACGGGTGAATGATGAATGCTCGTTCGGTCGGATAAGGAGAGAAGCACAGAAAACAAGAGGAAAAAGGAAAGAAGAAAAAAAGAAAAAAGAAAAAAGAAAATGATAACCTCAGTATTTCTTGAATTGGTCAAGTGTCAGGCACCCACCTAGTACTTTCCTCAGGTACAATTGACTTTTCATTCGCTCGCGGGTACAATCCGTCCCGTGCATAGATTATGATCGATCCGTCATATCCTATTAACCCTGGTGCACTTGGAGTCTGGATATAAGCCTTTTTGTTAGGTTGACACCTCCTCCACACAAGGTTTCTTTCCTCTTTCCGCTTTCCGCTTGTCAACGAAAAATCGTCTCATCCCACGCCATTTTATTCCATCTCATCTCGTCTCGTCTCGTCTGAAAACTTTACTACAGGTAGGTAGGTATTGCAGTAGGTAGGGTGGAGGTCGACATCACAAGCATCATAATATTTTATCCTTCTTTACAGATGCATATGCAGCATGATGCTTGCGGTACAGCACCACCACCAAAATCAAAGTAGTTTTGGTACATTACTTTTTATTGCCCGCTCGATGATCCTTGCTGTATGATACTTGTGTGGTACGACGCACAAGAAACTCCAGCTCTTCGAAAGCAAATCATGAGACAAGAAGGTGTTTATAAGAAAGAGAAGGGCAAGAAAAATACATATCTCATATACCGTGTTCTGAATCTCATACAATGATTAGCTTTGACCAAGTTCCTGCCAACCCACGCACTAATCAACAATCCCCGAAACAGCTAATGACCGATATATCAAGTTACTACCTCCGTCCTCGTAGCTAATTCCAGGAATCAATGTCAATGGCTAGCCGCGCCACTATGCAGGAGTGCAGTGGTCCTGAGTGCAGTTACAGTCGAAAGCTTATCTCCCAGACTTTTCACGATCTGCTAAAGATGCTGAGAAGCTAAGATAAAATGGGTTTAGTTGAGTTTGATGCTTCAATGTACGTAGTATGTAGTTGACCTCCTATATTGGATGATAATCATGATATCGGTCTCTAGGTAATACTACCTGCCTACCTACCACGTACTGTATCAATACGCTAGAGATGTACCGAGTGTAACAAGCGTTTCAAGAGATCTCTTCATCTCCCAAAATGTCTTATTGAAAAGCATCTTATTGACCCGCTTCCATTTCCACGCCGCTGCCTCACTTATTCTACCTACCCAGTAATTACACACTCGCACAAGAATTCAAGGATTAATGAAATGAATCTTGGTAACCTTATTGACTGCTGTCTGCTGTCTGCTGTCTGCTGTCTGCCGTCTGCTGAAGAAACCCTTAACCTTACTAGAATAGGCATGCTATACATCACCTCATCTCACTCATGATGCTATCTACGGAGTATATCCTCGCATGCAGCTGTCACAAACCTTCCCTAGTCTTTGCCTCCCCCTTCATAGGTAGTAGGAAGGTATACTGTCTGTCCTGTATATCCCACCTCATCACCATTTACTCTTATTCTTCCGTCGTATCACCATTTACGATTTTTTTTTTGTTTTACCGCTGTCCAAATTTCAATCCACTTTCATTTATTTACCTGGGTAAAACCAAGGTAATCATCAGTCGCTATTGGATGCGTTGTCATGATATAGAAATAATATGTAAACAATGTAACAATCTCAACAACAGAAACAATAGAAACAATCCAAACTATCCAAACAATTTTCTTGAAAAAGGTCATCATCTATCAGGGATGTATGGCTATGGTTTGATGGATCTGATGACAGTAAAAATGTAGAATTTGATTCGGATGGGGGAGAGAGGTGAAAGGTGAGAGGTGAGAGATGAGAGGTGAGAGGTGAGAGGTGAGAGGTGAGAGGGGTGTGGCATGAGAAAAGGATAGGGTTACATTTAGCATTTGATTACTTAGCTAATAAGGTTAGCAGGTAAAAGGTTTATTAGCAGACCTAGCAAGGTTCACTGGTCGTTCGTCCTAACTGCAATGCATAATTCGCTTCATCAATTGAACCAATCCACCAGATCCTTCCAAATTTATTCATCCATCGATAACCTACATCAAGTCAACATTGATTGGATTGCATTTTGGCAGACCATCAAAAATCCTTGGCTTTTCTTCAATGAGGTACTAGGTAACCTCCTCTGCTCCGTACATAGAGAGAGAAGAGAGAATCTTAACGGCCATTTCTCTTTTTACAATTCAATCCCCTCACCTCTCTTGCTCTCTTCCGTCCAACCAAGTCGATCAATCCATATCTGTCGCTCTTTTCACCCACTCACTCGCTCGCATTCTATACCTCCTCCCACACCACGCTCATTTTAATTTACCCTCGCGATACCAGTACTTTACATTCACGCCTCAGGAAACGTTGGAAACGTTAGAAAATTGAAACACGAAAGGTTCATTCCTCTGCAATTGAATTTGAAGGGAAGAGGCAAAGTTGGGTCGGACAAATTGGATTCGGTAATAACATTACATTCGATACCTACCTACGATATTTCTTCTGCATAGTATTCACTTGCATACATTCATTGGCATATTCTTTTCCAGAGTTTACTATTCCAGCTACCTAGCAATTTGCATATTTGTGATCATCAACATCCAAATTTGTCTTTTTCAAAGCATCGACTCTACATACGTTCTTTTTGATTTTGTCCCTCAAGTACCATTACGAAACCCCGTACTATACAATTTGTGCAGGTCACCTATCCGATTGATGAACAGCATATATTGACCGAGACAAACATCGAATCAGATCTCCTATGCAGCTCAATCTATGCACCGAGAAACGAGCTCCATTCCTCAGGGATCCCGAAATACCCAAATACGTTCATTACAACTTTTGAAGCACAACCTCTGATAATATTTCTCCATCTTTGTGTGGTTTTATTGTCTTGATAAGATATCACTATTGGTAATAGAAAAGCTGCAAAACAAAAATATCTTCGCTATTGCTCACAATTTTCGTCTGATCAGACCCCGACCCGTTACACTTCTCCCGTGCGTAGTTCACCGAGAATTCCTTTGCCCCAAACACTCCTTAAACTCTCAAGGCTAATGCTTGTATGTCAAACAGCTTATTTTCAATTTCCCCAACTTTCTACCAGTCGTTCACGCTTTGGTCCTTTATCTCGAGTTGTCTCTTTTGCCATCCCGCATCTCGATATCAACGACAATTCGCTCAATAATTGAAGCCGAGGAATTGAAGCTGTCTCGCTAGTTCTTACTTGAGCTTGCAACTTTGTGAATCATATTAGAATTGGACTTATATTTCGAGGATTGGAGGGTAGTGAAGTCATAGCGCGAGATACTGGGCATCATGTTTAGAAGTCGCAAGAAGAAGGATGCCAAGGAGGCAACAGAGGGAGCAAGTCGAGCATCTAGCGATATCGAGCACACTCCAAATGTTAAATCATCGAAAACTTTTAGACTTGGAAAGAAGAAGGAAGAACCCGAACCCAAAGTGGAATTGGACCTTGAGAATGCTTTGCCGCCGTTGGATGACTTTCGAACAAGTCTGTTAATGAATGGATTATCAGCTCGGTTTTCCATGTTACGAGAACAAGATGATCCAACTTCAAAGATTGGTAAAGCTAGTGATGATAGCGTATTATTCCCCAACCGAGCTTCGAAATTGATTGACTTTGGATTCCAAGGACATGGTCTTTCTGACATCGCAGAGGTATCGTCGATACATGGATCGGTTCGACCACCGTTTACCTTTTCCAAGGTTGATGCATACGCAGATGGCTATGGAACGGATGATGAATCTGTACACACCGGGAGTATTATGAGTCGACCAAAACCAAGCGAGGGCAATGTTCTTTTCGGTGGCCGTCAAAAGATTTATAAAATCCCCGCGGGATCCAAGAGTTCGGGTGATGGTGGTCTAGGAGGTCGTGTATTGTATGACAATGATGTTAGCCCATCGGCTTTTCAGAAGTTACGGCAGAAGGAAAAGGAACAACAATGGGATGAGCGAAACGACGATGAGGACAACAATGCAGATATATCGACAGCAGAACACTCGAGAGCTGGTTCCCCGCCACTGACTGGATACAATCGTAATCGGGAAACATCATCTACCACTTCCTCTGGGCCGGTGAACACGAGAATTTCTACAGCCGCAACTTCTTTCACTTCACAACGTACTCCATCACTGAGTGGATCTCATACACCAGTTTCAGCGGGAGGCTCTGGAACGAATTCCAGCATGGAAAGATCTACACCTAAAATGCGCCGACTCTATGAAACTGGTTTGGATCAACATGTACACGATCAACAACACTCATCTATGAACAGAATCGATAGCCTGACCCGACAATGTGGCATGGGCGCCCAGACACCTCCACTTACAATGAATTCGCCTACATCAGCTACCTCCGTTAATGCAGCTGACAAATGGGACCGCAAGCCGGTGCTTGCTAAAGGCAGTATGCCCAATTTGCGTGCCGCAAGTCCACCACCAAGTCATAATCTTCCCGCACCCATCAGCGGATTTGACTTTGGTCCATCAGCGAAATCAGCTCACCTGGAGGTGGAGCCTAAATCACAATATGGATTCTCAGACCCTCCTCTGAGCCCTCCAGCCAGCGAAAACGATGAAGCAGCACCAATATCACAAGTCAATGACAGGGTCAAGGCTATGATGACTGGTGCGCAAAGCAAGCCTGTCCAACCGCATGACGAGGACAGATCCCACCAGAACCAATTCCAAATGAACAACGGTAGAGAGACACCGCCCCCGAGAAAGCATTCCCCGCCAGGACCTTTCGTCCCACGACAACAGCCTGGACCACGACTTCGTACCGATTCTGGTGCACAGAACTATGCTCATCAGAGACATTTCCCTCCAAAAGATCGAGCTCCCGAGCTACAATCCCCGAAACAACAACGGATTATAATTCCTGGAAGGGACTCTGTTTCAGTACCGTTCATGGGCTCTCCAAGTCGTTCAATGGCATCTCCTAGCAAATCCGAGTTTCCTTCCAAGGGACCTGTCAGTCGACCATGGGGACTTCCTCAACCCCGCAGCTTTCCAAACCTGAAATATCGTAATCACAATGATCCGTTAATGACACCACGACCTGATGAATCTCAGCATCCAGCAAATCAGCCAATTGCCCTCGCGACTCTAGGTCCACAACAGCCACTACCGGCGCCTCCAACCAGCTCTCCAAAGATTCTGGAGATCAAAACCACACCACCAGATGATGGTGAAAGAGAGCCTGAACCTCCAGCCGACTCCCCAACACTTCCAGGCCTAAGTGGAATGGTCCGTTCACATTTGCGATCTGACAGTGACAGCTCATCCATATATGGCATCACTGCATCTGGATTCAATCAACAGATATCTTACGATCCGATCGAAGAAACTTCTCAGGATTATAGTGAGAGACGAAACCCTTGGGAAATTAATGATTGGGATGAAACCCCAATAAGTCCACTGGCTAAAGCAAATGCTGCCTGCCTCGAACCCTTTGCCATGCAGCCGATGGATTCGGACACTGAGGCCGAGACTATACCAAAGGCCGCATGGGAGGAGGAGATGGAATCACGTCACAATAGAGATGGAAGTTCGGCTACTCAACAGGAGCGACAAGAGTTCAAAGAGGAGCTTGCTCAACGTCGAAAGCAGGTCCAGGAAAACCTCAAGAGCCTAGTGATGGAAGCTGAACGTCAACCGGAACGCCAGGTTGCCTCACCTACTCCTGGCTCGGCTGTTCTACTGAAGACCAAGGCCAGCCTTAGCGCGTTGGCAATGAAGCAAAAGGAAGCTGCAGGCCAATCCAAAGCCATGAAAATGTTCGGAATTGGCAGCAGTCCAGTCATACAGAATGGACCTCCTCAACCAGGTAAGAAAAGGACCGATGACAGCTCATGGAAGGAGGAAGAAGAGGAAATGTTACGAAATGTCGCTACTTCTTCAACGCCACCCCAACTGAAGGTCTCCCGTCAAGCTCGAAGAGATGCACAACGTGATCGGGAGCATCAAATGACTATGAGGCACCAACAGAAAGGTGATGAGGCTTTCAACGAAATTAACTGGTCGAGCCCCAGGCCCAATGAGCCTCGACAAGCGCATCCATATGAAACAAGAAACATGCAGGGAATAAATGATGCATCTGCTAATTTCACACCGCGTCCAAGAGCTCAAAGTAGAGAGAGGAAGCCCCCACCGGTGACACATTCTCAACGGAATGCAAACAGAGAAAGTAAGGGCAGTATAAGCACGAGTTTTTCAGGGTCACGACCTGCATCCCGTACTTCTCGAGATCGTTCAGGTTCTGATGCTTCTGGTCGATCTAAGAGTCGCAATGGCCGATACAGAGATGATCTAGCTAAAGCGATGGCCGAGGGAACGGGTAGTTCTAGTCAAGGTATTGTTGAAGATCTTCAAAATGCCCGCCTCATGCTCAAACCTACCGTATCAAGTATATCCCCTGGTACATCTCCTGGTTTGCCACCTGGGATATCTGGCCGCCCATCCCCTATTCCATCCCCAGCAATGGGGTCAAGACCCAGAAATAACAGCAAAGCACAACCTTCGAGTTATTTTGAACCTCAGAATATGCACGCTCTGCAAACCGGTGATGCATTGGAAATTGGTATTTCACCTAGACCATCACCCGTCACCCCTTTCTCAGTCAACTCTACACCTTCTCTGCCTGATCAGTCACCCATTGGGCCACGATCGACCACTCCAACAGCATCACATGCAAATGGCTACATGACCGCCCGTAAGAAGTCTGTAACAAAATCCGAGATCTCGGAACCCACTTTCATATCATCTACTTCCCGCGTCTCAACAATTAATCTTCCATCTGGTTCGAGCCTTCAAAACGGTATTGCTCCACCTATTCCTGCAGTTAATCCAAGAAGAAGACAAACGAGAGCTATGTTTGGTGCGATGATGGGAAAAAAAGACTCCAGTGAATATCTTGAGAGAGATGAGATTCCATTGTCTACGACGAGTAGTGAAGAGATGAGCACCTTCTCAGACGAAGAAGAAACTCCCCGAGAGAAGCACAGACAGAGATTAAGGAAGAGCCTGAGTGAGGGAGGCAATCTGAATGCTGAGGCGAGGGAAAAGGCATACAACGCGCCAAGTCCAGCCATGCCAGATTTCCTCTCTGGAGCTGGAGGTGTAATGGGACCAGGACCAGTACCAGCTCAGGATGGAAGCATGTTCTGATCACAATGGTAATGCACCACATTAATTTCTATTTGTTTTATCTTAATGTTTTACACGAGCCATTTTCTTCATACATCTGCCTCGCGGCGAAAATTAGGGGAGCAGCATCTTGGAGTTTTTAAAATGGCGAAGAGAGAATACGACAGACATGTCTCCCTGTTTCATACCAGAAATTGGAAAATACCATATTAGCGGGCGAGGAAGGATGATGGATGGAAGGAGGAAGTACATAGCATATTGGGATATCTTAATGGCGCAGCGGGACTGAGTTATTGGAGAGGATTGATGGATGTTTAGTGGGCTGGGAAGGATGGATTGGGTGGTCTGTAGTCGAACTTTACTGAAAGAGCTCATGCAGTGGGCATTTGAGCCTCACCGGATTCCATAGGAATAAAATGAAACTAAATTCATGAACAGCGTCTTGAAGCCTGCTGTGATATCTAAATCTCTGGAATCGTTATTCTAATATCCTGACAGCTGAGCTCTCTATTGAAATAATGAAGTTCTATATATGACATTGATAAACTCAGCAAAAAGGTTAATTGGCTGCTGTTCAAGTTAATAAGGGACCCGCCCAAGACGTGCAGATGTTTGATGTCACAGAGGCCTGTTCGCTAAGATAGCAAGCTGGCATCTTTAAATCTCAACCCCACAGCTTGAAGCTATCTCGAGACCCTCGACACATTATATCAACTTCAATTCCTTCTTGAAGCACCATTTGATTTTACTTGCAGGGTGTCTGGATTCTCTGAATTTTATGAACATGGTGGCAGCAAAGGCATTGGTGCTTTTAAGCACTTTCTCTACCTCTGTACTTGCGGCAGAAGCTTCAAGACCTCGTGGCGTTGGGCCTGAGTGTAAGTACTCTGCATTGCAATTGATTATTTGAACAACAAACAAAATATTCGAGCGCCGAGAAGAAAACGGGACTTTGGGGCTTACTACCTTACTACCCCATTGACGTGTTCCAAAGAATTCTCGAAACTTCCTCTTCCGCGGACCTTTTGAGGACGACCGTCGTGAAAGCCAGATTATTAGGAAAGGTTACATTTATGTCCATTAGCATACAAGACTAACTCTTTCTTTTCTGAACTATAGTCGCTAAATTCTACAAATCAACTGACAAATTCACCTGTCTTTCCAACCCCTCCATTTCAATCGACAGCTCCAAAGTAAACGACGAATACTGCGACTGCCCAGACGGAAGTGACGAGCCTGGCACAAGCGCTTGTACATACCTCTCCCATCTTTCTCCTCCTCAACCATTACAAAGCTCGACGGGCTCGAGCCCTCATAATACGAGCCTCGCTCTGCCTGGATATTATTGCAAGAATAAGGGCCATATACCCTCTTATGTTCCCTTCACTTATGTGAATGATGGAGTGTGCGATTATGAATTATGTTGTGATGGAAGTGATGAGTGGGAAAGTGTTGGGGGCATAAAATGCGCGGATAAATGTGCAGAAATAGGAAAGGAGTGGAGAAGATTAGATGACATTAGGACGAAAGCTCAAATTAAAGCGAATAAGAAGAGGGATGAACTAGTTAAAGAGGCACAAGGTTTGAGAGCAGGTGTACTGATGAAGATCGGAAGGACGGAGTTGGAGATCACCGAGTTGGAGAAGAAAGAAGAGGAGCTCAAACGCAAATATGAAGAGGTGGAGAGGACAGAGCGTGGTAAGGTCGTGAAGACTTCCGGGGAGAAGACCAGCAAGGCCGCTATTTTGGCGGCGATGGCTAAGGCGAGAGTTGAGGAGCTGAGAGATGCATTGACCGGCGTACAGGCTAAGAAAGTGGCGTTGCAGAATCAAGTTAAGGAGCTAGAAGGCATTTTGTCGAGATTTAAGGAGGAACGTAATCCCAATTTCAACGATGAGGGTGTCAAGAGGGCAGTGAAGGCTTGGGAGGATTATGCTGCTTCGAAGGATGCAAACGAAGATGAGGACGTGGAAAGTCAGGATAAGGCGGTGGAAGAGACGGCGAAGCCGGAGAATGATGGGATTGAGTGGGAGGTTTGGGAGAAGGATGAGGAGGAGAGTGACGTTGATGCGAGTAAGTTTAGATTTTTTTTCTCTCTATATCCCATGCCCCGTTGCATAATGAAGAGATGGCAAGGGTTATGAGGCTGCGAGGAGAAGGTGGAAGTTTCCATATCAATGTTCCTGGTGTGGATAAGCCCGCAAACGCCTTTAGCTTGCTGCTTGCAAAGGTTTTTTGAAATCCTTTCATGACAAATAGTCGAGATTCACGGCAGTGGCTACGGGGGTCCAACGGAGCATTCATTTGCCTACAAATTGTGCACGTCAGACTGCAGAAGTCAAGAGATCACAGCTGATGCACACGTGCATTTCAAGGAATGCTGGTGCTTATTTGAGATGGATGAAGGTTCTTCTCAGTGGTCGGGAAAGAACTTCTTCATGCACCAATCAATCGATTTACCCTTGAATTCATTCGCCAATTATCTATTTTATCACTAACACACATTAGTTTACAAATTTGAAGAATATCTTCCACAATCCATTCGTGCCTGGGTCCATCAAAAGGTCACTGATCTTCGGATCATCCTCGTTGAAAATGGAATTTTGGCCGATAATGCCAATTCTGGTTCCGAGTCTAAGGCTGTTCAAGATGCGAGAAGTGCTTACCAAACTGTCAGCGATGATCTCGGTGTCAAGCAAACAACACTTTCCGATCTCAAATCCGACCTTGAAAAAGACTACGGTGTCGATGATATCTTTCGCGCCCTCAAAGGCGTCTGCGTGTCCAAAGATTCAGGTGAATATGATTACGAACTCTGCTGGATGGACAAGACATCACAGAAATCCAAGAAAGGTGGTGGAAACACTAACATGGGTAATTTCGTCCGTTTTGATAAAATAGAAGTCGATGAAGAAGTCGATGCGGAGGGCAAAGGACTTGGTAAAGGCATCAGGACTACCTTGGTGTATGAGAATGGACAACATTGCTGGAATGGACCGAATAGAGCTACGACAGTTGTGTTGGGTTGTGCCGAGAAGGATGAAATTTGGAAGGTTGTGGAAATGGAGAAGTGTAATTACAGGATGGATGTTGGGACTCCGGCAGTTTGTGAGAGGGTTGTTAAGAAGGGAGCCAAGGAGGATGCGAAGGATGAATTGTAGATAGATTGTAGTGCACGAATTTGAGGGGGTAGGCGATATAAATGGATTTTGGAAGTGTATTGCCTGGCTTGGGTCGAGAAACGCAGAATGGGGCTGTATGGAAGAAGTGCATCAGCTGCTAGTCATTCTGGGCCATAATTCTTTTAAATCCTTGTATATGATCCTCTCAGAAATATCATCCCATGGACCTCGTTTCCAGGAACTTACTATTGAAGTTTCACCGTCAGATCTCCTTATCAAATCTCGCTTTTGAACCTCTTGGCGCAATGTCTCCCTACAGCAGCAGCCTAAGTCTTACCTAGTTGAACCTCAGCCACAGCTGGCGTACAGAGTACACTTTACACATAACACGTAAACATTCGAAAAGTCCAAACTTCGAACATAACTAAACCCAGATCTGTCGTGTTGTTTTTGGGTATGAGGATGGGAATGGGAATGGGAATGTACAGGTGCAGGAATAGAATCCGTGAGAAAGCGCATGAGGAGATGTAGGGTAGTTCTGTATGACAGGAGGTTCTCATAGCATTTATCATGCTTGCAGCTATAGATTATAAGCTCGTAACTACTGATTCATCACGTTTTCAAAACATCCCGTCAAAGCAGTCATCCGTCTCAAGGGAATGATTTCACTAGATTTCAATTGATATATAATGTACAAATCAGGGCCTGATATTCCTTGAAAACTAAGCCCGAGACCATTAACAACTAACGCCATGCTTTCCTATTCGTCCTATAACATATTGTCCTATGATTTCTTGTTCATCGAGAATCCCCTTGTCATGAAATCCCCCCCCTTTTGTTTTTGTGCATTATATCCGGTATTTGAAAACAAACTCTTGAGGTTGTCATTCATTCCCAACTTTCTTCTCTTATTTCGTTCCTCTTGTTCTTCTAAAACCTTAGCTGTCAGATTTGCCGCTGAGGCGTTTTTGATGCCTGAAGAAACTGTAGATGCGCCGTTATTCAACTTTGGTGTTGAGGCTCCATTTTCATTCTCTTGTATTCGACCCTGAGTCTTATCAGCAACTTTATTTCCTTGTGATCGAGACCGTTTCTTGTCGAGAGACTCTTCTTTTCCGCCTTCCATAGGTACAGCAGACTCGGTTTCCACAAGATGTTTTCTTTTCTTCTTCCCCCCGGGAGCTTTCTTCAGCGAATGTGTTAATCCCTCTTCCTTCAACTTGGCAGCTCGAGATGCTAATCTTGCAATGTCTTCTTTCGAAATGGGAAGTATCGGTATAACATTCTCCGCAGTATAACCTTCATTACACTCAACACATACATCGCCCTTTAACTCTCTAATCGCGACTTCTGAGAAGGCATGCCCACATGGCACTAAATAAACAGCTCTGGCACCGGCTCCTAACTCCTTACTGGTGATAGGACATATCTTCTTCTCTTCTTTATCTTCCACAACTGTGGAGAATTTAACCTCGACGATATCGCGCAATGACTTGACTCGTCCTTGTAGAACCTCTTCCTTCTCCTTTATGACAGAAGCTGGGACATCATCGTCTTTAGGAAGTAATTGCGTGATTATAGCATCTTTATTGTAAAGCGTCCCGGCACAGTCGGACACTATAGGTGCAGTGAGGGGTTGATTAGAGAGAGGGCAATACGTCCAGGCGTGTGTTTGCGCCTCGTGGAGGGTAGCCTTTAATTCGGATGTATTTGGATTGCGGGCTGCTTCTTTTACCAGTTCGCGACGAGTAGGAATACTTCCACCATCATTACCCATGATGACAAAATATCTGTAACCTGTGAAAGCCTTTGAGGATATAAATAAACCTTTTTTGTATGGTTGATTATTAAAGAGTGAGATTAATTTTGGGGTTCACAAAAAAGAAGAAAGCGGTTTGAGGCGGTCTTGAAGTCTTGAAGGCGGTCTTACTGATAAGATCGTTATCGCGAACGCCAGTACGGGGCATAAGTAGTGAATGTGTGACTTAGCGTACTTTTGTGTCCGACTTGGTCGACTCGGCATCAAACATGAGCTTTCCGTCATTGAGACAGCGAGCAATATAAACTCCTGCCCGCGCACCACGAAGCTGCAGGTTTAGTTGTCAACAAATAATAACGAAAACAATTACTACGACCGGGTAGGCGCAGGACGACGAGGATGGGATGCGCATAATTTTGTTGCTGGTCGGACTACAAAATCACACATTCAGAAGCTTTGAAAGGACGTCAGAATGTCACAACAATCAACTCAAGCATTCGATGCTTTGAATCGCATTGTGATAGATTTACGATCACGGTTAGTGCTCGTGGGATCGAATGTACCAGTGATGAAGCATTGAAGGCTAATACTCTGACTGTAGGAGCGATGAGCAACGAAAAAGAGCAGCTTTAGAGTTGAGGGAGCTAGTGGAGGTCGCTTCTAGAGGTGAGGATTCTCTTTCATGTTGCCCTGGGAATCAACGACTAATCCATGCTGTTGTAGATCTCCCCCAAGAACGATTTCTAGAATTGTATAATGTAGTTAATAACAAGATCACCAGCCTAATCAGCCATGGAGATTTGGAGCGAACTGGTGGTATATATGCCGTCGATGCGCTGGTCGATTTCGAGGGTATAGATGTTGGACAACGAGTCACACGATTTGGACAATCCCTTCGAGCTGTATTGAGAGGAAAGGATCTCGTCCCTATGCAACCGGCTGCTGTGGCATTGGGAAAGATGTGTAGGCCTGGTGGTTCCCTGGTATCTGATCTGGTGGAGAGCGAAATCAAAACTGCTCTGGAATGGTTGCAATCCGATCGAATCGAAGAAAGAAGATACAGCGCGGTACTGGTTTTGCGAGAATTGGGTCGAAATTCACCAACATTGGTTTACACTTTTGTTGGATTGATATTCGACCAGATATGGGTGGGGTTGAGAGACCAGCGACTCCTCATTCGACAGACGGCCGCAGAAGCTATAAGTGCATGCTTTCAAATAATTAGAGAGAGAGACCAAAATTTACGGCAGACATGGCAGGCCAAAATTTATGATGAAGCCGTTCAGGGCGTGAGACAGGGGACCGTTGAATCCATCCATGGATCCTTGCTCGTGATCAAGGAACTTCTTCAGCAAGGCGGTATGTTTATGCATGAGCATTATCCAGAAGTTTGCGAGATTGTTTTTCGACATAAAGATCATCGGGACGCACAGATCCGGAAAACCGTCGTTATGCTGATACCCGAGTTGGCGCACTACTCTCCAACGGAGTTTGCTCAATCCTACCTTCATTCATTCATGGTGTTCTTGTCAGGTATGCTTAAGAAGGACAAGGATAGAAATGACGCATTTTTGGCCATCGGGAATATTGCCAATGCTGTCAAAAGTGCTATTGCTCCTTACCTAGATGGAGTTTTAATATATGTCCGAGAAGGCTTGTCTTTGAAATCGTAAGTTGTGTTAGAATTTGTGTGTATGCATCAATACTAATGTTTGTTTAGGAGACGGCTCGGCACAGTGGATCCAGTGTTCGATTGCATCAGTAGATTAGCAGTGGCGGTTGGACAAACTCTCAGCAAATATATGGAGGCACTCCTAGACCCAATCTTCGCATGTGAGCTAAGTCCCAAGCTGACTCAAGCTTTGGTGGATATGGCTTTCTACATTCCGCCGGTGAAACCTATCATCCAAGAAAGGTTACTGGATATGTTGAGCAAGGTTCTTTGTGGTGAGCCATTCAAGCCATTGGGAGCCCCTACACCGAATAATATTGCAGCCGCGCCAGTTGTACCAAAAGACTCGAAGGACCCACAAGCATATGAGCACCGACAAAGTGAGATCAAGCTCGCTCTCAATACCCTGGGCAGTTTCGACTTTTCCGGGCATGTACTAAATGAATTTGTGCGTGATGTTGCCATTAAGTATGTCGAAGACGAAAATCCGGAAATCAGAGAGGCGGCTGCATTGACTTGCTGTCAGCTTTATGTCCGAGATCCTATTGTCAATCAAACGAGTCATCATGCAATCCAGGTTGTCAGCGAGGTTATTGAGAAGCTGCTCACAGTTGGAGTTGGAGATCCAGATCCTAGCATTCGAAGAGTTGTCTTAGCAGCCTTAGATCAACGATTTGATCGACACCTTGCCAAAGCAGAGAATATTCGAACTCTGTTCTTCGCTTTGAATGATGAAGTATTCCAAATCCGTGAAGTTGCTATCACAATCATTGGTCGTTTGACCCATGTTAATCCCGCATACGTCATTCCCTCTTTACGAAAGGTTCTCATCCAGATGCTCACAGAACTTGAGTTTTCCGATGTAGCGAGGAACAAGGAAGAAAGTGCAAAACTCCTTAGTCTCCTCGTTCAGAATTCGCAGAAGCTGATCAAGCCCTACGTTGATCCTATGATTGCTGTTCTATTACCCAAAGCTCGTGATCCTAGTCCGGCGGTTGCTGCTACTATCATGAAAGCTATCGGCGAACTTGCGTGTGTGGGAGGAGAGGGTATGATTCCATATATCAAGCAGCTCATGCCAATAATTATCGAAGCTTTGCAGGACCAGAGCTCTTCTGCTAAGCGAGAAGCTTCTTTACGAACTTTAGGTCAATTGGCAAGCAATTCGGGTTATGTCATTAAGCCTTATTTGGAATATCCCCGGCTTTTGGAGATTTTGCAAAACATCATTCGGGGAGAACCGCAGAGAGGACCATTACGACAAGAGACTATCAAATTGATGGGTATTCTTGGCGCTTTGGACCCGTATCGACATCAACAAGTTGAAGAAAGATCTCCAGAGATGCAACTACGTTTGGAGTCAAACCAAATGACGGACATATCTCTTATGATGACAGGTCTTACACCTTCGAACAAGGAATACTTCCCAACTGTCGTGATCAATGCTCTTCTCAACATTTTAAAGGACCCATCACTCAATCAACACCACGCCATGGTCATCGAGGCAATTATGTCAATATTTAGGACTCTAGGTTTAGAATGCGTCTCCTTTCTCGATAAGATTATTCCGGCATTTCTGTCGGTCATTCGAACCTCTCCCGTCAATCGTCTGGAGTCATACTTCAGTCAGTTGAGTCTCTTGGTGACCATCGTTCGACAACACATCCGTAATTACTTACCAGAGATTGTGTCGGTACTTCAGGAATTCTGGAATACGTCCGCACCACTTCAAGCTAACATACTTCAACTTGTCGAGGCTATTTCAAGATCTCTAGAAGGCGAGTTTAAGATTTACTTAGCGGGGCTATTGCCGCTTATGTTGGGCGTACTTGAAAAAGATACCTCCACCAGACGTCTTCCTTCAGAGCGTGTTTTACATGCTTTTCTGGTGTTCGGTTCTAGTGCTGAGGAGTACATGCACCTAATCGTACCTGTTATCGTGAGCGTGTTCGAAAAGCCACAGCAACCTTCATTTATTCGAAAGGCTGCGATTGAAACTATCGGCAAGATTTCAAGACATGTTAATCTCAATGACTATGCCTCTAAAATCATTCACCCTCTTTCGAGGGTCTTGGCTGGTAGCGATAGCTCTTTGAGATTGGCATCGCTCGATACGCTTTGCGCACTGATTTTCCAGCTCGGAAGAGATTACTTGCATTTCGCCGGCACAATCAACAAGGTCCTAAACAGCCATCAAATCCAGCATCAAAATTACGAACTCTTGGTTAGTAAACTTCAAAAGGGTGAAGCTCTACCACAAGATTTGAGCGCCGAGGAACGGTATTTGAATCAATCTGATGAAGTCGACTTCTCCGATGTCTCTAATAAGAAATTGGACAGCAATCCCGTTCATTTGAAGGCAGCTTGGGATGCAACAGGAAAATCCACAAAGGAGGATTGGCAGGAGTGGATGCGCAAATTTAGTGCTGCTGTCTTACTGGAATCACCAAATCATGCACTTCGATCATGTGCTCAACTAGCTTCAGTATACCCTCCCCTCGCCAGAGAACTATTTAATTCTGCTTTTGTTTCATGTTGGGGAGAGCTCTTTGAAGGTTATCAAGATGACTTGATCCAAAACATTGAAATGGCAATCAAATCTCCTCATGTCACTCCTGATCTCTTGGGTATCTTACTCAACCTTGCAGAATTCATGGAGCATGACGATAAGGCTTTGCCGATCGACATACGAGTTCTAGGACGAGAAGCTGGTAGATGCCATGCCTGGGCCAAGGCTCTTCACTACAAGGAATTGGAGTTCTGTCAAGATCAAACTAGCGGCGCCGTTGAGGCATTGATTCAAATCAATAACCAATTACAGCAGTATGATGCCGCAATTGGTATTCTAAGAAAAGCGCAACTTTATAAGGACGGTATCACGTTACGAGAGACTTGGTTTGAAAAACTTGAGAGATGGGAAGAGGCTCTTGAATTCTATAAAAGACGCGAGGAAGATTTCCCTGATCAAGCAGAAACTTTTGATGTCATCATGGGTAAGATGAGATGTCTTCATGCTTTGGGAGAGTGGGAATCACTATCGGCTTTAGCCGAGGACAAATGGCATACCTCTTCACTGGAAATCAAGCGAGCTATTGCACCTTTGGCTACAGCAGCTGCTTGGGGTCTCAGAAAATGGGATCTTATGGACGATTACCTCAGCGTTATGAAGAGTCACACACCAGACCGATCATTCTTTGGAGCAATTCTTGCCTTGCATCGTAATCAATTCCGCGAGGCTGCACTCTTTGTCCAAAAGGCGAGAGAAGGGCTGGATACCGAATTGAGTGCTTTGGTCAGCGAGTCTTATAACCGAGCCTACACGGTCGTTGTTCGCGTACAGATGCTTGCAGAATTGGAAGAGCTTAGCATTTATAAGCAAAGCAATGAAAATCCTAAAAAGCAAGAAGTTATGCGCCGAACTTGGGAGACTCGTTTGCTCGGATGTCAACGGAATGTTGAGGTTTGGCAAAGAATGCTGAAGTTAAGAGCTTTGGTCATAACTCCGATGGAGAACATGCAGATGTCCATCAAATTCGCGAACCTATGCAGAAAGTCTGGCCGTATGGGCTTAGCCGAAAAGCATCTCAAGACTCTGATGGGTGGAGATGAGAGCTTGGATGTGGTGTTACCTCAAATTGTGGAGAGTGCTAATGGAGAACGTCGACTGAAAGTTTCAAATAAACATATTGAGGCTCCTGTTCAGTATGCTATCTTGAAATTTCACTGGGCGGTCGGCAAGCAATCTCAAGCATTGGAGGCTCTGAAAATATTCACATCTGGACTGGCAGAGAAACTGCAGCAAGCACAGGTGGCAAACCAAGGAGGTGTTGCGAATGAGATGCATGCTATGAATGGTCATAATGGTACTAACGGAGTAATGATGAATGGGAATAGTTATATTAATGGTCTGGGGGCAAATGCTCAGAGTCTGCTAACAGCAAAGGGCTTGGCTGACCATACCACACTGCTCGCTAGATGTTGCCTCAAACAAGGTGAATGGCAGGTTGCCCAGAAGAAAGGTAATTGGCAATATGAAAACGTCAACGATATTCTCGCCTCATATAAAGCTGCCACTCACTTTAATCCACAGTGGTACAAGGCGTGGCATGCTTGGGCTTTGGCAAACTTTGAGATTGTTCAGTCCATTCAAACAGAACTAGGACATGACTGGCATAATATACCTACTAATGCCGTCATCGAACACGTCGTTCCTGCTGTTCGTGGTTTCTTCAAGTCAATCGCTCTCTCGCAGGGAAGTTCTTTACAAGATACATTGCGCCTTCTTACACTCTGGTTCGCTCATGGTGGACATGTAGAAGTCAATCAAGCCGTTACTGAAGGATTCTCATCCGTTAGCGTTGATACCTGGTTGGAAGTTATTCCTCAACTTATTGCACGCATCAACCAACCAAATGCTCGTGTCCGTGCTTCCATTCATAACCTGCTCGCCGATGTCGGAAGAGCTCATCCACAGGCACTCGTCTATCCATTGACTGTTGCCATGAAGTCTGCACCCAATACACGTCGCTCACGATCTGCGATGCAAATCATGGATAGCATGCGCCAACACAGTCCAAAATTGGTGGATCAAGCAGATTTAGTCAGCAAAGAGTTGATTCGCGTGGCAGTATTATGGCATGAGCAATGGCATGAAGGTCTTGAAGAGGCATCCAGACTTTACTTTGGTGACCATAATATTGAGGGCATGTTCAACACACTCGCACCTTTACACGATATGCTCGATAACGGGCCGGAGACCTTGCGAGAAATTTCTTTCGCCCAAACATTCGGCCGTGATCTTCAAGAGGCTCGAGAATGGTGTATCACTTACCAAAGAACGAAGGATCTTGGAGACATCAATCAAGCTTGGGATTTGTACTATCAAGTTTTCAGAAGAATCGCACGCCAGCTACCGCAACTTAATAATCTTGAGCTGGCTTACGTATCCCCAAAACTTCTTAATGCTCATGATCTGGAGCTGGCTGTTCCTGGAACTTATCAAAGTGGCAAGCGTATCATATCGATCGTCAATTTTGAGAGCAACTTCAGTGTTATCTCCTCCAAGCAACGTCCAAGGAAGCTTAGTCTCAAGGGAAGTGACGGTAATGCTTATGTCTTTTGTCTTAAGGGCCATGAAGATATTCGTCAAGATGAACGTGTTATGCAATTGTTCGGTCTTTGCAATACATTACTTACCAGCGACTCGGAGTCTTACAAACGTCATCTTAACATTCAACGATATCCCGCTATCCCATTGTCTCAGAATTCTGGCCTTCTTGGTTGGGTTCCTAATAGTGACACTTTACATGTCCTTATTCGGGAGTACAGAGAAAGTAGGAAGATATTACTCAACATTGAGCACCGCATTATGCTACAGATGGCTCCTGATTACGACAATCTTACCCTCATGCAAAAGGTTGAAGTTTTCGGTTATGCTCTTGACAACACAACTGGACAAGATCTTTATCGTGTTCTCTGGTTAAAGAGCAAGAGTTCTGAATCCTGGCTGGAAAGACGTACAAACTATACTCGATCATTAGGAGTGATGTCAATGGTCGGATATATTCTTGGCCTTGGTGATCGTCATCCTTCGAATTTGATGCTTGATCGAATAACTGGTAACATCGTTCACATCGATTTTGGAGATTGTTTCGAAGTTGCTATGACTCGTGAAAAGTATCCAGAACGGGTTCCGTTCAGATTGACTAGGATGTTGACTTATGCTATGGAAGTTAGCAATATTGAAGGAAGCTTTAGGATTACTTGCGAGAATGTGATGAGAGTGTTGAGAGAGAACAAAGAGTCTTTGATGGCCGTTCTTGAGGCTGTAAGTTTTGTCCGACTCCACCGTCTAGATCCACTGCTAATAACTTAGTTCATCCATGATCCTCTTCTCAATTGGCGTTTGAATGGCGAAGCTTCACCTGTAGGACCCAATTTCCGCTCTGAGCGTCGTGAATCCATGATCTCGTCTCAAGTCCGTAGACCCTCAATAATGGATGGAAATGTTCCTCCTTCGGCGTTAGCAGCCGATGTTGGAGATCCCATAGCAGCTCCAGGTGGACCACCAGCTTCACGTCCTCGCGCGAGAACAAACTCCACGACACAAGGTTCACAGGATATGGAGGCACATGAAAACCAAAACACCAGGGCTGTTCAGGTATTGGTCCGTGTCAAGGAGAAGTTGACAGGTCATGATTTTAAGCCGGAAGAGGAATTACCATACATTCAACAAGTTGATAAGTTGTTGATTGAGGCGACAAAGTTGGAGAATCTTTGCCAACACTATATTGGTTGGTGTAGTTTCTGGTAGATACTTCGGGCAAATGATAGATGGATTTTAGCGAACAAGCGTGAATATCTTGCATGCGAATTGCTACATGATGGATGGCATGGCGTCTGGGAATGGGAATTTGTGATATGAAGCACTTTATAGGGCGGTCATATCTGGAATATAAAGCAGAGTGAAGGAAGGAAAATATGCCTAATACTTTTGTACATAAAGACGGCCGGTTTCAATCCATATTAGAAGATTTTGACAGCTTTCTATTGGTATTTTAACAGGAGACCTCGGTCGGGATGTCAGGAGTTGGGTTTTTGAAACGGTTTATGGTTAGACTGGTTGCTAGTTGGTACGTAGATTTCTAGGAATATAGTTTTAGTTGATTGCATGGACGAGTATCAGCAATGACCAATATTTGGTTTGCCGTCGTTGCTTCATGCACTAGTCGTGACGCAATTCCCATCAGAGGGGAAAAAATCAGAGAAAAAAAGACTGAGTGGAAAAAAAATCATCTTCATGAGTAAATACTATAAATAAATTTGAATGAGTTTTGAAAAATGGTTCAATTCCATTCAGAACAATAGTGTTGATATCAGTACCCTCTAGTTTCTTGGTGAAAATGCGAAATTCTCTTTCTCATCAGCTCAGATATCAAAATGCTTTTGGATACTTAGAAAAAGGATCAACAACTCACTATCAATTAATCACGGAAACATGATTTCATCTCTTCTCTCTATATTCTTAAATCAGACCAAGTATTCACTCCTTTCTTATTCATTATTCAATCCACTCCCAAAAGAAAATTGGAAAGCTACCAATCAGATTATGTTCCCTTCGTCGAGCAAATGCATATACCCATATTGCATAGAGGTAGCAAACAACGAATAGTCCCTAAGTTTCTTTAAAACCCGGCCTGCTGGCGATTTTATCTTTGGCTCTTTCTGTACTTTACTTGTGCTTATAACAGTCTCTGTTTTTCTTCCACCTACATTTCTATTAACTTGATCAATCTCCAACCTCGAGTACAACCACTCTGTGCCAGAAAACTTATTCCCACGAAACTACCACAGTTTTGACCTACAACCGGCAACAGACATTTGACCAAACACAATGCCTTCGTTCCCAGACTTCAATCTTTACGAGGTTCTCGAGGTCACGAGAGATGCTTCCCTACCAGATATCACGGCTCCATATCGAAGACTTGCAAGACTTTATCATCCCGATAAAAATTTGGATAATGATGGTGCTACTGCTAAATTCCAAAAGGTAAGTCATAATCGATGTTTTGGAGGGTCCAGGCTCCATTCCGATCAACTCAACGAATATTCAGGTTATCGTGCTAACTTGAAGGGCATCGTGTCTAGGTTCAAGCTGCCTACGAAATACTCTCCGATGAGCGCCAACGCAGAGCATACGATCAGCCAGAATCTTCTAGTCCATTTGGTGGCGAAGCAAGACAACAGAACCGCGCCCAAGAATACTATAAGGATGAGGATGATGAAATGGACGAAATAGACGAGATGATGTTCAATTATCTCTTACGAATGTTCTTTCCGTAGCATCTTCGAGACCCAACCCTTTTCAATATGCTTCATTCGAGACAGAGAAAGAGCGTCGGCGACATGAGGCTCGCATGAGAGAAGAAGAGGCTGCCCGAGCCGCTGCTCGACTCGAGAAAACCCAGCGAGAAGCCACCGAAGAAGCCAAACGTGTGGCCGAAGCCAAGGCGAAGAAGGCGATGGAAGATGCTGCTGCAGCAAGTAAGCAAGAGGCTGAGACACAATCGAGACTGAAGATGGAGGACATATTTGTTGCGAATGGTTGTGTCACCGATGCTGAGAAGCAGGCATGCTGTGAACATTGCTCTTTTTGGCCGAAGGAACAAATGAAGAGAAAGTTAAAGTGCTTGAATTGTGGCAAGAAGAAGAGTATGACGCAATACAAATGCCCATATTGTGCCTTGGCTCTTCTCAACATGGCTTTGTGTCAAAGCGATTCATCGAGCCTGGTTGTTAGTATTACTTTTGACACGAAATTGTGTTTGAATAAGGCAAGGTTTTTCCGGAAGGAATTAATGCATTTCGAATTACGTTAGTCACCTGATTAATCTAGACAGATAATGTGGTATTAAAAATTATGTTCAGTCGTAAATTCCTCCTGTAATTTCTTCTTTATGCCTTCCGGGTGAAATCTGTCCCTCATGATGGTTGTCAAGCCTCTTCTATATTTTCCTTTACTTTGAAGTCACAGTACTCTGTCAAACAATTTGGTGTGCCACCCCAGAAACATGAATGTTGGGGAGCTACAAAAACCGTACTCTTCGCAACCTGTCTTTCTTCTGATCTCTAGGATGAATCTACCACTCAACGAATGAATCACACACGGAGCCTTGATTCTAAGCATCTGATTCTAAAGAGCTGTGTCATTGCGACATGTAATCGGTCGATCAGAAAATATTCTTAAATTTCAAGGTACTCCGAGTCTGAACTGTGATAGATTTCATATATTCAAAAACTCCCAACAGACCATCGATTGTCAATCATGAACTGGGACATTGAGGAGTGCTGCCATGCATGTGAGGCGTACCTACGTCCTCAAACTTCCTTCAATTATTTCATTACCAGATACGGCCCTTGATCTGTTTAATTTGCTTGACGTTGATATCCCTCCAGAGCATTGTTGAAACAAGAGTAACTGAGTAAAGGCAAGTAGCACAAATCAACATCAGCATTTGAGTATCACCATAAGCTTGGTTGATCGAGGTTCTCGTCTGACTTCCAATCGGATAACTTGACTGTACTGTCAAACTACCATAGATAGTTTTGAAGTCGGCTTGAGCGGATGGAGGTAAAAGCTCAGCAAGCTTAACCAGAAATATTGCCGTCCACAGAGCAGCAGCAATGGTAGACCCGATGGCACCACCGATACTAGCAATCATAGCTTCTATGGGAAGAGCAGCGGGAATGTGTTGGTGGGAAGACACTGCCATAACAGTCATTTGCTCGCACATGACTAAAGTTCCACCACCGAATGCAATGAATATATGTGTCATTACTATATACCCAATGTTGGTGTCGGGCTGGCGAAATTTGATCATGAGACCGACGGCCAGAATTGTGACAGGCACGCCGAAATACATAGCCAACCACTTAAGGCGGCCATTATATCTAATCACAACTCCAACAACTAGTGCCTAGAAACAGGGTCTAATGGTCTAGATGTTGGAGATATAGCTAGCGTTGGTGATTGCTTACTTGAAGACGACTGTAAGCATGGAGTAGAAATAAGAATCCCAAATGTACCATGCTAGTTAAGTATTAGCGGTTTGTTTCTCTTATTGATTCTATACCAGGTTTCTAATAGTCTGGACTGAGGCTGACAATGGGGAAGTTTGAAGTTTTGATCGACAAATATGTTCAGATCCCTAGAAAATCCAAATCAACCCGGAATATAGGACCCACTGATCGAAGTAAGTAGGAAAAAGGAGACACATACCGCAGTAAAGACCGGAAACCATGGAGTAAGTGAAAAAAACAGTACGATCCTTCATCAAAGCCCAAGGAATGAATGTCACAGGCGCAACATAGATTTCGTACAAAGCGACAGCAATTATTAAAAGTCCACCAAATATAATAAAGCAAATCACTAATGGACACTTCCACTCGCCCTTCTGATAGATATACAAGCTAAATGTAAGTAGGAACAGAGCCAGGCCAGTAGCGATCAACAACAGACCAATGACATCAAACTCTCTGCATTAGTAAAGGAATGACTCAGTCCAGCTTCTTCCACTATCGATCTCCTGAATCAGCCCTTTTTTTCCAGCTTTTTTCTGATAGAAATAGAAAAGCCCGAACAAAGGCGCACAGATAATTAGTAAAATGATAGCCCAAATATCAAAGCCCCATCTCAATCCAATGGTGCTCAAAACACTTTGGGCAGCAGGCCCTCTTGCCCACACCGTTACAACCCATGGCGAAGATGAGAAAGCAATCCACCAGGCTCGGTTTTTTAGTTGTGTGGTATCAGCGATGAAGATTGTAAGCGTAAAACCAATACTGTTGTATTCAACGTAGTAGAACACTTGAGCTGCGCAATATGTCTTGACATCCTGGCATCCCGCATCACGACCATACCAAGGGTCCACGAAGCAACCATAATACAGAACGCTTGAGGGCGACCCCAGATATCTATGGCCTTTGCATATGGTAGTTTAATGAGACCGGCTATAAGACTAGAGATAATGGAAGTTGTTGCTGTGAGGGAGTGAGCTTCGAAAGAGGAGGTTACATTGGGGGTAAGTGTGCTAGTTAATCCGGAGGCGAATGTCATTATGAATTCAATGATACTAAATCATAAACCGTCAGTGAAACAATTCGATATTCAAAAGCGTTTAAATCGCGAAGATTTTATACTAACAGAACAGAAGCAAAAATCAAATGATTCTTAGTCCACATTTAAGTAATAGCCTCAGCTGCTTGGACTCCATGTTGAAATTCTTTGTTCGTGATAAATTCGTCATTTGCCTGGAGCGCACTGGCTGTGGTTGCGGGCACTTTCTCTTCATCCGCAGATGAGGTTTGGGCTGGCTTTTCAGCGACGGGTACCTCATTTGGGACGAGATGATTCAATCGAAGCCTCATGGTATGATTACCAATGGTGCAAAAACAATTAAGAATTAAAGGAGGTGAAAACAGAGAAATGGGGAGGTTATTAATTCCTGATATTTTTTGTGGGATGGCTATTTGAGGAACGCTCCAGATCTCAATGGTAGGAGTAAAATTGAATGACAAGGACTAGCTGAGGTTACTTTTCCGAGTTCCAATGGTATTACATGATAAGTCACTTCCCATGGCCAGGCTGGCATTTCTACCATGGTAATTATAACCGGCTTACTTTAGCCGTGGACGTTGGGGGATGAACTTGGCATGTATATACCCATATATAAAAACTGTAGATGAGATGTCTAGTGCTTAGAACTGAACGGTCGAGGAGATCAGCAAATAAAATTGAACATGGTTGAGTCAACCTTCTCCTCTCTGGTCCCGTAAGTTTTTGCATAAAACCTCGATATTATCAATCACATCTAATCAGATGCGCGTGCACATACCGTCAATAGTCACGCCAATGGAGCATTTAAGATATCTCAACGAAACAAAAAAAGGTCTAGGGGTAGAAATTTAATCAGGCATTTTTCCCTGGAGTAGATTCAAGTACGAAGTGGTTCTCCGTACTTCGGCACTGTTTTGCGGACTGACGACGACTTCTCATTCGATGAATGGACATGAAAATCTCATTCCAGAATCCACAGAGATAGGTAGCGATAACCAAGCCTTCTGGGTTAACTTTATGCCAGGGGGATTTTCAAGTTTGATATGGAAGGAATTTCTTTTTTCACCCTTTTGGATTTCAACCTTAACTCTATGTATCCCTGGTCTTCGCGCACGCCAAGCATTAAATCTAATCTAATCTAATCTAATCTAATCAGACCTGAAGACGGCGTCGAACGATCTCCGTGCTCTCCATTTACAATCGAATGACATCTTAAATGGCATTGTTGGATTCGAGGAGTGATTTTCTATAGGTACAGCAACTCTTACTTCTGCCAGTACCAGTGCAAATAATTCTTAAATCAGAGTTAAAAAGGGCAAACAAAACAGAGGATTGGGGTTAAAATGTGGTGAATGTTTGCAGGGTTGAAAGTCCAAAACTTTTCATGTTACTTGCTCAATACTCCCATTGCAAAGTTAGCAACCGGTACACACATTCTCTACTGAGAACAAATTTTCACTATCATGGATGATTCTACAGAAATGGCTTGTGACATTTAGTTGCGTGTGCTGGGGCATTTTACGAGAAACCTTCCAAGTCATTCTTTCTATGTATTATCTCGGGGTTCTACCTGTTTTAAATAAAACTAGTTTCCTTTTACGTAAACATTCCATGAGCGGGTATGTATTACCTTTGAAATGACTGGGTCGAGGCAATTTGAGGATTAAACTCGCACAATACACGAAGAGAGCGATGTGGATATGCTTCATTTGAGGAGGATCACCGTTGAGACAAGCGTGAGCGGAATCATGTGTTTTTTCACCTCATTTATACTCAACTCCATGCTTTAGTAATGTGCCACTCCTTAAATTTTCACTACCATCCTAAGATTTCTTGCACCCCTAGACTCGTCAAATCTGCTGTAACTCAAGATTTCGATGGGGTTCACTCACTACATCCGACTTCAATCAGGCGATTATAAACTCAGCGTCATCTATATAATCAAAAATCAATTCCATCCACGCTCACTGAGATTCGAAAAAAGATGTCTCATCGTGATAGCCTAGTCACCAGGAAATAATTACTTTTTTCTCAATTCCACCCCTTTCAAACTTTTCAAACATTGAAGGCTTAGATCTAGTTCTCCTAGCCCCCGGATTATTGGACATCCTGGCAGTGTAGGATCCTGGGTGGGGTTAGACAAAAGGACTTGTGATGATTGAAAGGAAGTAAATACGTAATCAAATATGCAAATCCACAGTAAAACATGAACACGATGAAAATGCGTAGATATTAAAATAAACTGAATCATTCAGACGAAGTGCACGTTCGAAATCGCTTCAGTGTCCAAAAGTCTCTTAAAGTAGAAATGTAGTCCGGACTACTGGAAAAACACTGGTCGGCCATGGAAATGTCGGATTCCAGCTAAAGCCTAGACGCATACAATGATCGAATTCGTTGCGGATCTCTTTTCGCTCTGAATAGCAAAATGTAAGTCAGTTTGATAGAATTGGCCATTCCTACTTCATGCCCAGCGCTGGTGAAATCGGAAGCGGGCTAAATCAATGGTAAGACGATGTAAGAGACTTCTCTCTTCGTCTCTTTCCATTCTAACTTCTGGATCTCTGAGAAATCAAAATGAAGCTTCGAAAGCCCTTCGACAGAACTCATTACCTTGCATGGATGATACGACTTCAAATCGAAACAAAAGAAACTACCCCAGACTTCCAAGTACAAAAACCTGTCACTCAAGCTCCCCAATTGAAGAATAACACCAAAGCAAATTTTCCATACTTGCGTCCTTCGTGAGAAACAGCTCACTCCTCTTTATCGGCCCGAAGTCGATACTCATTCTTCATTCCAATGCCCGCAGTCATGTCTCAACCACGGACAAAATTATACTGGGCACTTGCCGCTTGCTCGCCATGCCCTCATATTCTTCTTCTCGAAACAAGCGTCTCGTTCATATCGATCGCCAATTCAATCACGAAAGAAGTAGTAACACCTACTCAAAATTCCTCTTCCATAAATCCCGAAATGCGTGTTCCAGTTCTTCCGCTTGAAGACGAAATCATCACAGGTACTGGGGTACCTGCTATCGTGACTGCAATATCTTCACTAGCTCCCAAGTTGCGTGTTCTGCGACTGGGCGAGTGGATGAAATGGGCAGGATATAGCATGCTCATGTAATAGGTGGCTTATTGAGGCCTGAGAGAATGTGCGATGATGAAGGGGCGCTGTTGGGAGTGGAGAAGAAAGGGCTCAAAAAGGTTCAGAATTGTTTTGATATGATAGGAAAGTTCGAATGGTGTCTACGCGTTATGAATGCATTTAGTTTCGTCATGCATGGAAGAAATGGTTCTTGATGGTGTGTGTTGTAAAGATGAGCCAAAAAAAAAATGAGCCTTGAGCGTCTTTTCGTTCTATTGCAAGCGTCGACTACGCTAAAGGATACTAATTGTCCTATTATTGGAGCTACGATTCCCGATTATGTAATCAAGGTGCTAAAAATGCCGAGATGATTTCCTTCTGGAATTCAAATCATGATCGACGAAATCACATCAACAAACTGACATATTAAATCAAGCATGACTATAAACGTCCTTATCGTCGGCGCAGGCGCAGTTGGCGCATTCTATGGGTCCCGAATCGCTCGAGTCCAAGATACACAAGTTTCCGTTATATGTCGATCAAACTATAAAGCTGTCGTCGCCAATGGCTTCAATGTCACATCACCGAAATTTGGGGAATACCAATTTATCCCGCATCAAACATTTTCCAATCCCCAAGAAGCACGAGAGTCAGATGAATATTGGGATTTCATTGTCGTAAGCACGAAGGCACTTCCAGATGTTTGTGATGATTCCGAGATTATTGAAGGCCTTGTAAAAAAAGGTCATACATCTATCGTGTTGATTCAAAATGGTCTTGGCGTCGAGGAACCATATTCGAAAAGGTTCCCAGTGTGTACCATCTTAAGTGCTGTCACGATTGTAAGCGCTGAACAGTCTTCCCCAGGTATAATTAAACATAATAGATGGACAAGAATAAGCATTGGTCCATATTTGCCCGGAGTTACTGAATCAACGAAGCTGAATGATGGTGAAAAGATTGCTGTTAATCGAAACAACACATTTGTGAAGTTATTAGAGGCGGGAGGGATCTCAGACGCTCAGGAGTTCTCGCATTGGAAGCTTCAAATGGTTAGATGGCACAAAATTGCCATAAACGCGAGCATGAACCCCTCCGCTGTCCTTTCCGCTGGGAGCACGAATAATGACATGTCACTCGATCCGGAGCTTTACATCCATTTGAAAGGTGTTATGGATGAAGTGTTGGAAACAGCTCCAAAGATATTGGGTACGAAACTACCCGAGGAATTTGCAACCTCCGAGCAGCTGCTGAAGAGCACACAAAAAAACACGAGCGGGAGTAAACCGAGCATGCTGCTGGATTGGGAGCAAGGGAAGACGATGGAGCTTGAGGTTATCATGGGAAATCCAATCCGGATCGCGAGGAGCCACGGGCTAGAAATGCCGAAACTACAAACACTGTATGCATTGCTGAGGAAAGCTCAGGAGAATAGGATGAAAGCGACAGCGGGGAGTAAGCTTTGAGCCCTACATAAAGGATTGTAGGTTGAGAGCTGTAGATAATACATCATAATATCTGGGCTAATTATTACATGCAGTATTTCCCCCATTATCATATAAGTCTTTGGTTCTAATCTAGCATATATCATTATTGACTGCAAATGTTAATATTTATGGTTATGTGCAATCATATAAAGTGGACAGGAACTAGTTAAAAAAAACAAATTTTATCCAATTCCTCATGTCATCATCGAGATGAATTGTGCCAGTTCCATATTCTGGCAGAACGTCCTCCGCGACCACGATTTTGACCTCCAACATTTCCTCCACGTCTAGGACCATGAGGTGGATTCATATTGCTAGCGCCATTAACACGGCCAGAACCAGCTGTAACTCTTTGAGGGATTATTGCTGCTGCACCTTCTTGGCCTCCTCCTTCATTCCCTTCACTCCCTCCAAAGTTATCTCTAGTTGGAGTTCTGTCATTGTCATTTAATTCCGACACAAAGATAGCTCCTTCGCGACAAAGCTCCTCGACTTCACCTTCATTAACTTCCTCTACTTGGTTCCAAAAATCGACAGACAATCTATATGTACTCGCCGTGTTGTAACTGCTTCGGGGGGTTGAGATGAGGCAAGAGGATTCAGATGACATAGATCTCGATGAACCAACCCCGAGACTAGGAGTGGTGATGCTTTTCTGGGTTTGGAAGGATCCAACGGAGAAAACCGCCTCGGCATTGTCACCAACAGGACCATTTGCTTCCCGATGAATTGTGTAGCCGACAGGAGAAAGATGTATGGCAGTTTGGCCAGTGACGTTATCCGTGAATGCTTGGTTTCTATCACCTTGAAGAACACCACGTGTGGCGTTATTCCGCTGCCCATAATACCAAGTGCGCTGGATTGAAGGACTAGAGTCTATCTGATTCAAGGTGTTAGCATGTTAAAAGAGCATAATGGCAAATTAGAATCAAATATAACCTCATGATAGCACCAAAAGAAACAGATTCGGGCCCTGGATAACTGTGGAGGCATTTGTAAATGGCTCACAGCATACACCTGGTAGCGGAAGTCGTAGTAAAGGCGGGTGTAAACCAGTGGAGCAGGAGTATTTTGAAGTTGATCTGAGGATGGCTGTGGAAGGTAGATAAGTTGATTTCCTTGATCCCCGCTGGGACAATGCGGACAAATATAGTCATAGCAGATATACATCGGGGCCTCGTAATCTGCTGTGGGACAAATGACGACTTTTGAAGATCGTCCCAAGGGGACAGCTGCGCGGCAGTGACCGATGTTATGCATTGTCTTTAATGCACTAAAAGTAAGTGAAGAGTAGGCTATGTATAAGAGTAGCCCCAATGGAATGCCGGATGTGTAGATGTCGCGGACGGGAATCTAAGAAGATTGTTTGTGGAAGCAGTTGAGAAAGCAATTGTGCCGGACCAAAGGTTGGAGATTGGGTTCAAGGTATGCCTGCAAGAGACTCTATGGAGTCCCAAAAGGTGTTAATGGAGTTCAGGAACCTCCATAGACAGCGTTCTCGGTTTCTAGAAATGGTACTGGCAGGCAGCAAAATCAACCAAGGTTGTAACGATTACAAGGAACGTAGTGGTAATGCCTGCGATAGTAATGACTTTAGTTCAAGGTCAAGGAAGGGTATTAAACAGTAAAGAAATTGTAGATCCTCACTAACGTATTATAGACCGTCCTATGGAAGTTTGGGAAGTCTGTGAAAGAATTTATTCAAGTAAAGCTGCTGGAAATGATGAAATTTTTACAGGAGGTAGTTCTTGAAAGTTGATAGCTAGATTGCGAAAAGCTTTGATGCTGCGAACGAAACCGGACTGATCAAACAAAAATCTTAACCTTAATACGGAAGATGCTCTACACTAGACAACACCCGAGATGAAGGACAGTATAGGTGCATGGAAGATCAACTTCATGATACAAAATTCCATGTGAAAAGCCGTATCCTAAGAGTGCCTTAAGACCTTGCTTTGCTTACTCACTGGTTTTGACAATATCATCCTATGTCTGAAACCACACCGTTGTGTCGTTGGTATCCAGGGGGTGTTCTGTATTCACTGTAGCAAGGTGAATCTGGTGTAACTATTCTCCAAGGGCTTCATAATTCCCAGGCTCTTCTCATATCTCATCTTCACTGACTTCAACGGTCTCATCCCAAGTAAGGAATTCCAGGTTCCTAATCGACCTTGAGCCTTCCATTTCCACTTCACAGGGAATTTAGAATATACAACGCAGGCTTTTATCAAATTCATCATGTTAAGGAAGGAACCCTGACATTGATAAGATACTAACTATAGAGTCCACCGTGTTTTGCTTAAGAAAGTTATTCACTTGATGGAAAAATAAGGAGGAAGGAACGCTCAAGAGTCCTGCCTCTAAAAGTGCAACGAGTAGATGGCTACTCCAATTCTAGAGGAATTCAAAGAAAGAGAACAGAAACCGATGAGCTTGAAGTATGAACATTGTTCTTAGAAAGAGCGAGTTTTTGTGGTGACCCATCACTTCAATCGTGCGTGGCTATTACTACCTCAGGCCCCTGGAAGGTGTCTGTTTGTTCCCAATACAAGCTTTGAAATAAGACAAATTTGACGCAACAGTGATTAGTTTGGATATCGATTGTATGAATAGCATAGGCTGCGCATATCCGCGGATTATCCACCAGATAATCCGCCCGCGGGGCCCTATTGCGCAGCCTAGAATAGCACTATTCGTATGTTCAAACCCAGCCCGAATTAGGTTTCCAAGGATTTTGGTTTGAGTGGAAAAGCATCTACTAGCAATCAATAGTAACCAAAGACTGAAGCAGAACATTGATATTCGCAAGTACCAGGAATTCCCTTATGTCGGCGCTGCTGTTTTTATGTCATGGTTCACTTACACCAGGACACAATATACTTGACGGCAATGGTAATTTGGCAGGCTCGGAATAGCCCATAATTCGCTCTTGAGGCATATAATAGATTGAAGTACTGCTTTCTATCATCTCTCAACGATCCTCTTTGCTGGCTCAGGAAGATGGCGAACGTTCCATCTTTAGCTGTAACTCCACCGCCACCCGGAGAGTTTAGTCATGAACATTCCTGCGTACACTACACTACCTTGTTCGGCAAGAATGATACTTATAAAGCTATGATGATAGATACGCTGCGGAGAGCAATCCAAACTATCTACACGTTGGGTAACTTAATGTCGCTACCATCACTATATAACTGAACAGACGATGCTTGGAATCGATCAGCATAACGGAATAACAATGAGTCTTTTACGAAATATATCAGAGGTCCTGATGCCCTGAATATTGAGAATAGCAAGCAAAAATTCTGGGTGAGAATGTTGGAAGTCCACCTAAGTCCGAGAATGTTCCCTGCCCAGCTACTGCCGCGAGGATCGAACTTATAAAGTCACATGATCCCTCAGTTGATATTAGTGCCAAAGATAATAGCTACAAAGCATAAAGCATAAAGCATAAAGCATCAAAGCATCAAAGCATCAAAACACCACAACATCACAACATCACTATATCAACACAAAACACCATCTTACTTCTACCAAAACAACCTCTACCTCATACCTTCTTTTTCTAGAATATGAACATCACTAAAAAACCAGTGGTCACACCTCCCCAAAGCTTCATCTGCAAAGCTCTTCTCACTCCTCCGCCAACCAACGAGAAGGCGACAAAGACAACATCGCAGGTATTGCTGGAAATTAAAAGACGGAAAATCGGGCGTAGTATTTGTAACAACGCTTGGGAAGAGTACGAATTGAATGTGGAGGAATACATCGAGCTATTGCGTTCAATTCGGCGTAACAAATCTCTTCAAGGGTTTGTGGAAGATAAACTTCGGTATGGGTTATCAGAAACAACTGAGGATATGAATATTTGACTAATATTAAAATAATCAATATAGATACGATTATTTCCCATTTGCGAAACGGTTCGTACTTCGAATGCCTTTACGTGTACACGAAACTTTCATATTTAAAATTGTAGACGAACTAGCTCAACAGCTCAAATTCATTACTTCCGGAAAGGGCCAATCTGCCGAATTTGCAAAGAAAATAGAATCGCATAATTCGACAACTCTCAAATTCGAAGATTATAGTAAACACGATCCTGATGGCCAATTCAAACATTCGCGAGCACAGCATCCAGGCGTTGTGATTGAGGTGTCATTCTCACAGAAGTGGAAATACTTGAATCGATTAGCTGATGCCTATATTCTTGGGTCCGACGGCGGTACTCGTGTTATGGTTGGTATCGATGTAGAATATAGGGGAACTAAGAAAGTTACCTTATCTGTTTGGCAGCCTCAACTTATAGGCATTGAGAATGGAGAAATAGAGCTTCGTGTTATACAAACAGTGAAGGACGAAATTATCCGCGATGAAAATGGTGAATGGAATAAGTCTTCGCAAGCAGGTTTACATCTCCAATTGAAAGACTCTGCACCGAAGCGTATAGTTTCAAATTTTGAATCTGTAGATGGACCGATGAAAGATTCATTATTTATATCCACTCATTCTTTATGCGAATATCTCGAATTTGCTGAGGCAGATACAACAATGATCGAGGCGAAGGAGGGAATAGTCGACCCTAAATTATTTACAAGAAAGCGTGCTCGGTCTCCTACACCGATAGAGGAGCTTAATGAGGACGGCCAAAGAAAATTTCGGAAAGAATCACGAAAGGTGGAGAAGAAGGCGGAAAAGGATTATCCACAATATGAGCCTAGCTCTCTCTCTGATGCAGAAAGCACTTCCAACTAAAATCGACCTTTCTCTAATTTCTACAAACTTCTTGAACCGTTTTTCAAATCTACTACATAACCACCCTTTATCGTCCCGCATCCGACATATCCTGGATCAACTACATGCAAACATTTCTCCTCTTCGGGGGCCTTCACCAGATGCCTCATCAACGCCGGATACTTCCGTTCCATCTTTCTCATCGGCATCATTTGTTTAGAGCAGGTCAAGATATGAAGGATTTCCTTAGGGTTGTGAAGTATCCTCCCGAAACTGTCAACTGATCAACTTTTAGCTGATTCCTACTAATATATAAGATTGCGTTCCAATCTTCCACGCACGGATCTATCTCAATGTCAGCAAGAAATTTTTGCAATGTGCTGGATTAGAAGTTCTTCGTCTTAAATAGATAACATGGTAATGCTTTTGTTGTTGCACTAAAGTGTTCATTATCTGATTTCTCGATCACTGTCGCGCCGAACTGTAAAACCTCTATGGTAGATTCCTCTTCCATGTCAACGATTGCTGTAGCAAGGCATCTCTTTCGCTAAGTAGCATTTCAAAATGATTTTCCTTGAATATTCCATTGTTGAATGATTTTCTTGTGCCTAGGTCTACCCTCATATCCCTTCGACCATTCTACTCGGCATTGGCACGAGAGTGATCTCGGAAAGAATTATAGAATTAGTGCGATGCTAGAATGAACAGACCAATCAAATGAATAGGGATTAGGGGCTGAACCGGAACCTTTCACTCACACTACTATTAACGTTCTTCTTGAGCGTTGTGTTTCAGATGCGCGGGGTTTCGCCCGTTATCCACCACAAGTCATTCTTCCACAAGTTAATGCTGTCAACACGACTTCCGACAAAGACTTGAAGGCATACTAGGTATATACAGAAAGCAAACGACGTCTTGATCTTGATAAACTATAAGCGCGGATCGATGAGGTTATCTAGAACATCCCGAAGCTAGTAACAAAGGCTTAAAAGGCTAGGCTTGTTGGAAAAGCTGTAATTACTTAATGACAAGTATCTAACAAGTCGTCAGCAACTTGGAATTTACCACAGCATTAATAAACACAAACTTAGATAAACAAGACTCATAATTCTCTATCAAAAAGTATAAGAATAAAAAATATTTCGTTTACAAAAAAGAAGATTATTAATTAAATAAATATAACGAAATTGAATATTCTAAATCGAAATATAAGCTTTTTGAAATATAAAGTCAAGTTATTTTCTAACAACTTGTCCTCGATCCTATTGATCGAGAATGATATATATGCACTAGAATGAATAGTATCCAGCTGATATAAAGTCTGATTAAACTAGAGCTTATATTATTAGTAGATTCAAATTGATAATAAAAAGAATCGTTTAAAGGAGTGAAAGGCTCGGCAAGGGTCCATTATATGGGCGTACCTAAAATGAAGCGGGAAAGCGTCGCTTTCCAGACAATTCATTTGCGCATATGTCTTCAGTCTTGTGATATCGAACATTCCATGATACACCATTTATCAATTGAACTTTGTAAGTTCGAGGTTGATGAGTGACCCCGAAACTAGCATATGTAGGATAAGCCCCTTGTGTGATATCTGCAATAATTTCACTAATGCGAAGCCCGTTTCCTGCTGCCGGGATAATAGGGCCTTGAAATTTGTTAAAATTGGATGTGGAGACAGCAGGAAACATACATACTGCTCAACATATCAGGCATTGATCTGGATGATATATTGTTTTCTTGGAGCTACTGGCGGAAAGTATTATTATTATCAAATGTATCAATTGGTATTCAAAGGAGAGATCACCTGTGAAGAGTTTCATATCTTGTAAAATGCGCAGGGCAGCTTTCGTTATCAGAGCCCATATTGCAGCAGGCTTGTGAGAGTCGGACAGCACTTGATTGGGATGCAGACTCGAATTATAGGTATCGAAATCTAATGCATGCTTTACGAGCTAGAAAGATATGAATACGGCCTTCAAGTAAAAATATCCAGAGGCCTCCATAAAATTCCTTAGGGAATGGTATTCTATGCGTAAAAATCGCCCAGTAGATATCTCAACCAAGCATTTTAGAGCTCAGTCTAGGCTAGCATATCTGCATACTTACTGGTTACATTTTAGCCCCCTAGACATGAGGGTGGCAGTCCAGAAAACGGTAGTGAGGAAGCCACCATGGAGTATATGTGGCTGACTTGATGTAAAGCCGAATTCTTGACACGCCTAAGCATATTATCTGATATATTTCAGCCTATACTGCGCATCTCTCTGCCAGTAATTGCAGGGCATCATCCACGCATTTCATCTTACACCGATGAGCGTGTGCATTTGGCATTTAATAAACAGTACTTTCGAAGATTTCAGTAATGTGAATCGCTTCAAACACATAGCTTTGAAAATTTTCGACACACTGAATCTGCATTGAATATTTAGTTCACTTGCAACACGGCGAAAAGAATGAGAAGCCAGTTTGCCTCCCAAAAGTCTGCATGGAATGTTTGATGAATGTACATCCCTTATTCGCTATGCATATGCGCATGCCACCACTATTCAGCTTATATTGGAAACGAATGAGTCTTTGCAGTGTAATATCCAGGAAACGAAGTGGATAGGGATCAATGGCACAAAAGGAAGAAAAGAATAAGAAAAAGGTGAAGCTGACAGTCGGAAGACGAGCAGATGGAGGGTCAAAATCAAATCAAAACTAACCTTGATCTTCCCATTTTCGCACTTCCCTCCGTATTTGCCCTTACCTCCAACGACCAGGGAAGAAGGGTTCTCTGAGATCCTGTCTTGAAATCGCTTACAGTATGAAGGCGATTAGTGAATATCGATTGCTACTTCAATATGTACCGTCTGGGTGACATTGAGATGACTTTAATTGAGCGTTCAGGCGTCAAATGTTGATGCATTACTAAATAAACATGCGGCTATCGTACTTGTACAAGCAACACTGATCGTATGCAGCTATAGATCCACAATTTTGAGTAGCGCGTCAGGACCCGTATCACCTGTACTTAAAATTGTATAGCTGCAACCTCACACAAGTTAGCGAACATATCCTACGGTCATTTAGATGCTAATACTTACAGATGACCGAGGCATACGCTTAATTTTATATAAGCATTTATTTACGCTTCGACTTGCGAAAATTAGAGAACATACTTTGTTGCCACCCAAGGCCATCTAGCTCTCACGGTGACAAACAAGCGGGATAGTAGGGTTAGCACTTGCTTATATACAGCCAAATATCTGCTTTACGTGAATGACGAACACATCATACTTCCTCAGTACGGCTAAATACAGCCATCTAACTCTCCTGACTAAAGGCAAGCGAGACATCTGCCTTAATTTTTGCTTAGGAAGCTCCCCAGCGTAACTGGTCAACACATATACGGCGCACTTTGCGCAAATGATTAGTCACATACCGTAACATGCACTGCAACCTAGCGTATAGAGCCCTCATTATTTTTGTATATTAGGACCTCCTACCCCCAGCTCCTTCCAAATCTCCAAGTGCTCAACAACTGACTACCAATCTACAACCTGCAACTCAAAACAAGAAAATTTCCATTCTCTTACATTCACGAAATCAATTTCTTTCATCTCAATATCACCACAAATCGATCAGCATGTCTGATTCAAGACAAGAAATGAACATCCGCAATTCCGAACGCAGAAGAGATTCGCGTTCCAGATCACCTCGACGTCATCAATCGCAGTCCTATCGATCACGATCTCCAGTCAATAACCATCGTGACACCCTAACGAGCAGCTCACACTTCTCAGAGCCAGCTCTACTACTGAAACTACCAAGAGAGCTGCGCGACCTCGTGTATGGGCATCTGTTTGATTCGACGCGACTAACATTTGGATACCGACAAGTCAATTTTCAATACCGCAAGGTTTTACCATCACGCAATGCGCTTGCAATTCTTCGCGTATGTTCGCAACTCTACCTAGAAGCTGGTGAGCTTTGGCTCAAACGGGTCTTGTTCGATTTCGAGGACACAATGACGCTTATGGATAAATTTTCTCAACTTCCGATCGCTAGCCTCAAACAAATTCGCAATGTCCGTATTCGTATGATGGGTGATGAGCCTAGTCCACCGGAGAGCATCAATGATGAACATCAATGGCGCGGGCTACAGGTTTTGGAAGGCTTGCAACTAGACAGGCTGACAGTGGTGCCATCATGGGGAACCAAGTACAATGGCTGTGAAGACATCAAGCGATTCATGGTATCTAGTTTCCCGTGCAAGGAACTATTCTATTTCACTCCTAGATCAGTTTTCCATGAGACCGACCAAACGACTCCGGCTGAGGCCTCCACGCTCCTTACTCGGAGAATCAACGACATGGCTGATGACCTAAAATCCAGAGGTGATTTCGGTACTGGGCTCACAATGACAATTTTCCAGTCATCTGAGCCAGACAGCAAATATACCGGTACTTCCTTTAAGAACTCTGCAATTGAAGTACTTGCCGAGACGGGAATTTCGCCCGATCCTGCTCCAGACAAGATGATCGCATGTGGCAAATCTTTAAAGCCCAATGTCGAGACACTGATCATCTTCAAGCCTGCTGCTACAACCTCCACTTTATCAGGCGCTTCCATCGAAGGAGTGTTGAAAACCGTTGATGATAAAAGGGTTCGGAAGACCTGGCGAGACGACTACAGGGATGAATACATTCGGGACGCACAAGAACAATCACCCGACATGGAAAATATCACTACCGGCGAACTATTCCCATGGCCTTATGATATGCGAAAGGGATACACCATCATCGATCACTATAACAATGTTGATGATATCATCTGGCCCGGAAAGAACCATGATCAGGCATGGGAAGGAGTCCTTGACAACTAAAGGTCTTCTTCACTGCTCAGATTTCTTATGGACTGTTGAAGGGTCTTCTCGACATGTAACGGTCAATTTGCAAAACTTCGCGGGATTTGGCGCATGGGGGACTGCATGGAAGGATATGATGGCATTGATTGCGTTACAGGATATGATTGGGAATGGGACGGGGTTTCTTTCGGACGGATGTTACTGGATCAGAGAACTAACAACAACACTGCAACATGCGATAGAAAAGGGATTGATTGATGTCCTTGAAAGATTTGGGTGGCGGTTGGCTTTCTTTGGGAAACATGGGACACTGCCCGGGCATGACTATCGAAGGAAAAAAAACGTGGTGTGGCGGAGGAGTAGGTTGAGAAACTTCAATTTTGGGTAGTAGATAGATAGTTTCGTCGAATGAACTCATTTCCAGGATCTTGCTGTTGTGATTGTAGTCCCTCATATGAATTCATCAAGACTGTACTTTTGGATTATAAATGGCATACTGTGCACAATAATTCCAAAATAATTAAATGACGTGCGACATGTGTCAGTTTCTTTGCTCCGTGTTGTGATCCGATTGGGCACTAACTTAGGTACATAAATTCGGATACTTCGAATTTCCCATAGCGATATTAAAAGCATCCGGCTCCAGTACACTTTTCATCAAGAAGTAGATCCCAAAACTGGCTATCTCTCCAGATCTACAGTATCTTGCCGCAATGTATTGTCTTTCATACGATCTCGAATAGCTCATCATCGATCAAAACTTCAATGGATAGACGGCTTAGATTGATACCAAAACACTAGCAGGTATCTATAAATAGTCTCTGGCTAGAACAATATATGATACGTATCATGAAAGTATATTCTTGAACTCTGTCTCGCACAATTAGAATAAGGTCAAAAAACTAACAAGGGGATACCAAACATCCCGGCTTCAAATGCCCTCGGTTCCAGACTTTGAAGCGGGACATCACGCAACTGCAGCAAGCCTCATCTGCATCCGGAAAAGGAATGCGGAACGTCTTCTTCCAGCCAAATAATCTTGTCTGATAAAGATTCGGATTTCCGCCAATGAAATTTATTCTTTTAGCTCGGAAGATTGGAAGTTCAGGCTCCGAAATTCAAGTGCTGGGCGTCATGGGAATGTGAAATGCAATAATTTTTTGTGGCACTCGGAGTAGAAAAGATATTTCCTAAAGGATCAATATGGTCGCATACGACAGGTACAATCTCTTCGTAGCAACCTTCCGTCACGGTGAATATATGCATGAAATAATACTTCCGACCTTGGCATTGATGCCGACATGACTCGGGTTTGCAAATAAACCTTCCTGCCTTGCTTCATATCCCCTGATTCCTCCATTTGGTCAAATTTCATGGAAGGAGTTCTTCCTGACGATATGCAACAAAAAAATCCCTCTCTCGAAACATGCATGTATGATTTGTGGTTGCCCCGTCTCAATCATTACAGAGATCTTCCAGGATATTAAGCATCTTTCTTTGCAGCTCCACCAAATCATCCTCATCAATCATGACTTTCTCCCCCTCCGCTGCGTTGATTCCAGTTCCATTCGTTGCAATAGCTTTTCCAGAGATTCTAACCAACTCACTCTTCGTTCCAAAGAATGGCACTCCTAAATTCCTCAATTTTCCGTTCATCTCTCTGACCATTTGAGTCTGGGCTCTGTAAACTTTCATATCAAATGTTTCTAGCTCTTGTGCCAACTCCTCGGGGCTGGTGTTAGATGCTCCACTTGATGTGGCGCCACCTACTGCTTTCCTATATCAATGTCAATCAGTTGCACTACTCAAACTCACCCCCAAGGCAGTAAGACAACTCACAACACTTCTTCTAATTTCCTTTGCCCTTCTTTTCTAGCGCCTTGCTTTTCTATAAGAGCTTCCCTCGATTTCCACCATTGCTCTTCGTGCTCATGTTGCACTCTAATCATCTACGTATATGTAAGCTCATGTAGAATACTTCTACAGCTAGCCACTATAGAACGATTTAGACTTAGAACGTATGTGACCAACCTTTCGAATCTCCTGTAGTACATGATCGTGTTTAGCCACCGTCCTCATAACACATCGTAGGCCAGCACTCCAGTCAATGATAGTAGCTGGATCAACTACCTTTGAGTTATTGACAGCTTGAGAGTGGCCGGGATGCACCACTGGAGGGGTTACATATTGAGGCCATTGTTGTTGTTGTTGTTGTTGGGTTGCTGGGCCATGTGACTTGATCTCTGGTATTTGGGCTGAAGTTATTTGTGTAGAAGGTTGAGTTTGCTGTTGGTCCTTGGCTTGTTGTTGATCTCTAGCTTGTGTCAGACCTGCTAAGATCTTCATCACAGATGCTAGATCTGGGGTTTGGTTATCAGAAGACATCTCAGCTTCCTGACGAAGTTATATTTGTTTGTTGTCTCTTGAAAGCAAGGTGGAAGGAAACGATGAAGCTCGCAAACGACGCCAATTATTTGTCACCACACTTGCTTGCAATTATCTAAGCCTTAATCATGAAGCTGACTTCCTCTAGGTTAACCAAAATTTCGAGGAAAATGGATGAATTGGTCTGATATAAAAAATGTTACAAATGTTACAAAGAGCTCTCGTTATCTTATCGTGGGTACTGTTTGCCTTTAAGGTTACTACGTATTGCAGGGATGCGGAATGACCCGCCGCTAAGAAATTCCACTGGTCAATGACATCTCGAAAAAAAAATCATTCTATATTGAAAGTTCTCCCAAAACCGTAAATTTAATACTACGAAACCACCAGAATACGATCCCTTTTGATTCCGACTCCTTCTACTCCATACCTCAAAGATGGCGCGCTCAGCAACAGATGCAACGAGATTTACATCGACGACTCCACACGCTGCTACAAAACCGAAGCCCGTATCGAGAAATCCAGGTCCGCCGGGAGAAACACCACAACAGAGAGTCAAGAGGTTAAGAGCTGCGGCAGATAAAGCTAGAGATGCACAAATATCGACCTTTGACAAGTTGATTATGAGGGGAAGAGTGTGGGCGGATAAGGCGCATAGGTTTACAGCTTTTAGTCTGATTGGACTTACTTGTATGGTTTCCCCGCAGCCGTTTCTCATTCCAATCCGGAGTCCGATACTCGAATTCTTTACTCTTGAGGATCTCTTAGCTCGAGGGCAGCACATTTGCTAATTCTTATGTTTGTAGTTATTGCCGGTGGCGTCACAGTTTATGCATTGGGAGATATGATGATATATAATCGCAAAAGACGCGCTGAGTTCTTCGCCGAACAGAAATTTCAATATGCCATGGCTCTCGAAAGCGCACAAAAGGCCGCTGCATTTGGCACTGCAACCGAATCACAACTAGAATTTTTGGATAGGGAAAAGGAACGGGAAGAAAAGACGAAAATCGCCGAAGAAGCCAAAAAGAAGTCAGGGCCATGGAAGAAGAGCAAGGAATGGCTATTTTCGGGCTTGAAGAAGGAGGAGGAAGGGGATAATGTGGGTACTAGTGAGAGAAGATTGGGATATGAGGCACTGAGTGAAGAGGATGATAGTCTTGGTGAGAGGGAGAGCGATGTTCTAAGGGCGATTGAAGAGAAGAAGATGGCAATACAGGACAAGGCAAAGTCTGTTTTTGAGGCGGAAAAAGAAAGACAAAAAAGAGGTGGTCCCCTGGATAGGATAGGGACTGAATCGGAGGAGGAAAAGCCGAAGTCTGGTGGTTGGACATCATTCATGATAAGGAGGTGAGTAATAGGTGTGAATGGGAAAGAGCAGAAACAGGGGAGATGAATGAATGTCTATGTATCATATGGGATGATGGTGTCTTGCATTGGTCTTAGGGTCCGATATATTCTCCCTGTAAAATTGGAGGTCAAAATCGCGAAGTCGACATCTCTTACTCTGGAATTTCGTTCAACCTTCTGAATCACGTGTCAATGTGCCGTTGTGTTGGAAACCCTCGAATTAGACTTGTGCAGTAGTTCGGAATCTAATGTTCGGAGGCTATATGTCGAGATCAGAGACATCTACTTTCGGTAAACTGGGTTCAGAACAGCGGATCGCTGTGTTCCAGGCCCCCTTTTCCTTTTTATTTAGATGGAACAAAGTTTCTCCTTTAAACTCTACGGATCATACCAAAGATAGAGAACTGTGGGAACACACCACAGGAGGCATAGACCAGACAAGTCAGCGCAGCAATAGTTCAACCAGAAAATCATTTTGGATGGAACGGAAGGTGAGGCTCATTCCAGAGAAACCCCTTTCGAAGTACCCGATTTTGGTTCCCTTTGATCAAAATATAACTCCACGGTCATTAGTTCCATGTTAGTCCATATACGCAAAACAAGACGCTGCACTTTCTGTATATTGACATCCACTTCAGTATGTACTAGCTCGCTTCATTCTTCTAAGTTTAAAGGAGTAAACAATCCAACAGTCATCACCCACTACATCTCGGAGACATCGGCATTTCCAACATTACACAGCCCAGTCGTACCGGAAAACCCGTGATTTCTTCATACCTCCTTTCCTAGCACGTAGTATAGGCACCACTTATCCCCACCAGCGACTCTGCGTCGTCCATCTTCTGTCTCCTATTTACACAACAGAAATTAAGCATAAACTCTTCATCTGAACAAGTCTTAACATTAACCTTGACGATCACCCCACTATTATCTCCGCTGTCAAATTGTCTAATTGGCTGCTCAAGCTATATATAGTAACGCCAAGTAGGTGTACAGGCATAAATTAGCGATCTTCTAGAAAGATTCTTTCATGCCACTCACAGAGTCAAGACAATGACGTTGAATACGAAGGGGCCGGTAACCCTGTCCGATGTGTACATGACATCGAAATACGAGAAATAGTACCTCATGTAAGCAAGTGTGCATGGCTGGCAGTCGCTAGGTTCTTGGCAATCGGATAAGTATCTGATGTTTTCCTTCTTAGTTCTTTCCATGTTTTTGATACGTACTATATAATCTACTTCACATACTCAGAGTTCTTCAGTTGCACTCTATACAATCGTTACTTTATTTTCTATTTTCTATTCATACCTCCAATATGAAGACTACTTCCATTGCACTCGCACTCGCGAGCACCCTTACCGGCGCAAACGCATACTGGAAAGGTTTCAACTCTCAAGCTACCCTTGGAAATGGTGCTTGCAAGACCCAAGCCGATTGGGAAAATGACTTCCGCCTCATTCAATCCTTCCCAGGCGGTTTTAACAGCTTGCGTGTCTACGCATCCTCCGACTGCAACACCATCGCCAACGTCGTTCCTGCTGCTATTGCCACCGGCGGAAAAGTCCTTGTCGGAGTTTGGACTGAAGATGCCGGTCACTATGATGCCGAAAAGCAAGCTCTCTTAGCAGCTACTCGTACCTATGGTTTCGATTGGATGGTGGCTGTATCTGTCGGCTCCGAGGACTTGTACCGAGGAGATACTGACGCTTTTACGTTGTCGCAACAGATATATGATGTTAGAGGAATGTTGAGCACTGTGCCCGGATATACTACTACTGGAGTACAAGTTGGACATGTGGATACATGGACAATGTGGACCAACGGAGCGAACGTGGATGTTATCAAGGCATGTGACTTCATCGGCTTGGACGGCTACCCATACTTCCAAAACACGGAGGAAAACGATATTGGTGTCGCAGATGGTTTATTCTGGCAATCAGTAAATGCAGTCCGCGGAGCAGTTCAGAATGCCGGAAGTAATGCTCTGGTTTGGGTTAGTGAGACCGGATGGCCTACTGCGGGTGCTACGGAGAACGTGGCTGTTGCTTCTGTTGAAAATGCTCAGACATATTGGAAACAGGTTGCTTGCCAGGCGGTTAACGAAGTTAACACTTTCTGGTATAGTCTTCAGGACTTTTCCGCCATTCCAGCATTCGGTGTTGTTGATGGAAATGGTAACCTTAAGTACGACCTGAGCTGTTAGGATACCCGATGAATGGCTATTAGAGTTGGGAACTGTCTATGGATAGATTACCACAGTATAAATTAATCTTAATATAATTATACATCTTAACACAATGACGATTCAGTAATCGTTAGTCTTCGTGCATTTCTTGATCAATCAATTTTTTTACTCCAATACATACTACGTAGCACAATATGCATCAAGTCATTGCACATAGTCAGGAAAGAACAAATGTCAGACTGAACAACCCTCTATTTCTAATAACAAAACACCGAACTTCCAAACGCCATATACTGTCTAACTTTCGTACTTTAGTTTTCTTTTTACATCCCAATACAGCCCAAACAATTTCTTGATATCTCGTCAAACAACTGAAATGCATCTAAAGAGCATTTAGTCTTATACTTTTCCTTTGTATCGTCCCTCATTCCCTTGATCCGTGTTCTCCCGGTATTTGCACCAAGTGTTTTGGTTATTATGTTCTACCATCAACCAGGGCGTCTCAAAACGGTTTCGGTCGCCGATCTGGAACTGTCGCCGCGATGATCATCGTTCGTTTCACCACGTCGGCTCTCTCGTGGATCACGATCGCGGTGACGCTCGCTGCCATGTCGGTCTCCATCGCGTCGGTCTCCATCGCGTCGGTCTCCATCGCGTCGGTCTCCATCGCGTCGGTCTCTATCTCGTCGGTCTCCATCGCGTCGGTCTCTATCACGTCGGTCTTTTTTATCACCACGATCCTCCTCACGCCGGCTCTCTCCTGGATCACGATCGCGGTGACGCTCGCTGCCATGTCGGTCTCCATCGCGTCGGTCTCTATCACGTCGGTCTCTTTTATCACCACGATCCTCCTCACGTCGGCTACTCCTCTGTTCACCTCGGTCCTCTGTTTTACTTGGCTTGCCGCTGCTTTGATGCGCTGATGAAGCTTGGGGGAAACTAGTTCGAGCGGTCTTGAAACTTCCATCAATGCTAGCCGCGGTATGTCTTAGATCACTTGGATACGCTTCCCGCGATGATGTGGAATAAAGACTTGGTGCAGTTTTAGGAACATAGTGCTGCCAGTCTTCATGGCTATCATTACGATCGGGCTTGAAGTTATTAGCTTCTCGTAGCTGCTGCACAGCTTTCTCGTTCTCCTTGATTTTTTTAGTTCTCCAATCGGACCTATGATATTTATTAGTTTTCCTTTAAATCTAAAGCGATCTATGTCATGTCAAACATCAAGGGGAAGGAACGGAAATTACTTACGCTACTGAACTATGGTCAGTCACGATAGAACTGCCGTCTGGATGTCTGCTTCGGCCGTCACCCTGTCTGCTTCTTGGAGTAACTGTGTGGTCCGACCCTTCTGGTGATCTTGCACGATCAGTGGCACCAGATTTACGGGAAGCTCTTAAATCAACGGTTTTAGCATCACCATCCCGTCTACTTCGACGATCACCATCCCGAATGCTTTGCCCATCACTACCATCTCTTTCGCCTCTTGAGTCAACAGTTCGAACAGCACTCTTTCTTGAATCAACGGTTTTAGCATCACCATCGCGTTTACTTCGGCGATCACCCTCCCTAATGCTTCGCCCATTATCACCATCTCTTTCGCCTCTTGAGTCAACAGTTCGAACAGCACTCCTTCTTAAATCAACGGTTTTAGCATCACCATCGCGTTTACTTCGACGATCACCATCCCTAATGCTTTGCCCATCACCACCATCTCTTTCGCCTCTTGAATCAGCAATTCGAATATCATTCCTTCTTGAGTCAACGGTTTTATCATCTCTATCGGTTCCTTTGCCTTTCGAATCAACAGTTCGAGCAGCACTCCTTCTTGAATCAACAGTATGATTATCCTCATCACGGTGTTTGTCTCTAGAACCCCTACTCCGGGCATCGTCGCCATTACGGGTTCGATCATCTCTTCGATCATCTCTTGAATCAACGCTTCTGTTATCGCCATGTCTTCTATCTTGTGAATCAACGGATCGATCATCTCTCCGCTTTGTTTTACTGCCACCTATCCTCTGTTCTGCCGGGTACCTGGCGCCATCCGAGTCTGAAGTGTATTCAGTTCCAGTGTACTCGTAAGGATTTTTACCCGGATTTTCCATGTTATTCCTCCTCCTCTGCCGCCTATCTTCCTCATCGATCTCGAGTAGTTTGGGCATATCTTCTTTCAGTTCTCTATCCTGTTCCTTTTCCTCAAGCCGTTGGAGTTCCTCAATCCTGGCTTCCAGTAATTTCCTTTCCTCTGCATTCTTTACTTTACTCATTGCCTCCTTCGCACGCTTATATTCTTCTTGTCTCCGGGGTTGCACAATCATCACTTTCCCGTTCTTCTTTCTGATAAACGCGTATTCATTGAGTTTATCCTCTTCTTTCTTTCTAGCTTTCTCTTCTTTCTTCCCAGCTTTTAATTCTTCTTTCAATTGCTTGATCTGCTGAGCCTTTCGATAATTATCCATCTTGACTATTTACGCTCTAAAAGAAGAATTTTTTAGGAGAGATATTATGTCGTAAGAGCAATAGATGAAAGATGCGGTAAATGACTGATGATCTGGCTGCTTGCTATGGTGCTTTGAACTGTGTTCACTATATTGTGATGGTTATTTGGAATTTGGAATGATATTCTCGTATCAGATATACCAGTACATTTATACTCATAGTCATTATGCTGGCCAAGTTCTCACGCCCATCATATCCAACTGAAGTACTACATTGAAATCAATTTTGATGTCAAATGCTCTAATATGGCCTGATAATCTATTTCTGTAAACATGTCGTTAGGCAGAAGTTTATTGGCCGGATAGTATATCCAATTGGCTCCTCATGCTCGAAAAGACGGCTTTTGTTGAAAGAACATGTTATGGCCAGGCCTAAGTTTCATCTTTAATAATACACTGGATGCGAAGCGGCTTCTATCGAAAGCTATACATTTACTTGGTTGGAATGAGGTCGACCTTGCCCGAATGTGTACCTATGCTCACCTGGCCGTTGTGTTGAGGTCGATTGTTGGATCCGATATTATCTTGCCGAGAAATTATAGGTAACTTGCTTTTAAAAAGCCTGAATAGTTTCTTGTGGTGAGCTATAGGTCGCTAGACCGCGTATAAACCTCAATGGCGCCAGAAGCCACAATTCGAGTTGTTGGCATGGCCGCGACAAGTCCGCAGATCTGACCACACCAACATCAATACCATGAAAGAGAACAATATATTAATGACTTCTTTGTTGTTCTTTTGGAGCATGCGAATTGGAATAAAATCATACGCAATCATGATCCCATGTGGCAATATCTAGTCGTCTTGACTCCGTTCCTGGTGTTTTCGCTGGCAATCACTCATTAGCCGCGAACACAACTCAGTCGATTTTTATGAATGTAATGATATTTATTTCAAGAACTATCAAACTACACGAGCTCAGTAAATAATTCAAAATGAAATACATAAATGAAGGGAACATTAAGTAATGTACGAAATGCCCATATAGCAAAATTAACCCTTTGGCGAATCTCGCTTCTTCATTCATACTTCTCTATGCTCACTTCACTATTCCACGTCAATTGTATCTTCCTGGATTTTAGACAGTCTATTTATTAATCTCCGGGAAAGTCTGTTAACTAACCCACTTCTACTTTTATAATCATCACAAATAAAATTTGGCTAAGTTTGTGGACTTGGGCCGACAGTCTCTATGTAAGAGTTCTGGACTTTCCTCACCATACACCGTAATGTTTTGTGACAAAATCCCTGCAAAAATCATATCTTCTTATATAAAATTAAATATTGAATAAAATCAATTGAAATTTTGAAATATAATAATTAGTTATAAGATTATTTCAAGAAAATTCATAGTTTATTTTTAATTATTTTTGTTCAAAAGTTATACTTATTTAAATTAAAAAGATTTCAAAATTTCATTTATATAATATTTTTCCTATACAAAACAAGCGAAAATTTAAAAATTGATGATTTTTATTTTCAATTTTATATAACTTTTAAACAAATTTTTTTAAAAATAAATTAAATAATTTTTAATAAATTTCAATTGATTAATTTTAATTTTTCTTTCAAAAAAATATTTCTTTCATTTTATATAAGGATTTAACAAGGATTTGAAAAAGGGAATAAATCAAGATTTTAGATGAAAAGCGTTACATTATGCGGTGAGGAAAGTCCAGAACTCTTAGCTTATAAATAGACATAAGCTCTGAAAAGAGGTTAACATCAATTTAAATAATCAAACTTTTGAGGATATATTTTTGAAGGTGTATTTTTGAGGATATTTATAATTTTGAGATATCTTCCTAAAGATACAAATCCTAAGCAGAGTATCTTTGATGGTAAAATGCCAACATATGAGCTGAAATCTTGAATCCACGTTTCATCACAGGATGATTTGACGGACATGATTTGTTGACAGTAAGATCTTACAATCTGAGTAGGCAATTAACCTACAACCCTATCACCAGCATTCCCCTTAACCCTTCTCCCATTCCATCATGCCCTCAGCTCTTCTTGTCTTATACTCATTTGAATCTATATACCCACCTTGTAAGTCTTACGTCCCACCAACCCATCCAACACGACTCCTCTCCCATCTCTTCCATTCCCTCAACTCCAACTTCACAAAACATCAGAATCTCCAACCAAACCATAGATAATTTCTCAAACTCAAGGTGATGGGTCACTAAACACTCTATAAATTTCAATCCCATTTAATATTCTCGTTTCCCCCTTTCGATGCAAACCAACCATCATCTATCTCCCATAACGTTAGCCTGTCTAATAAACCTCACTATAATACAACCAAATCAAATCAACTCAACTCAACTAACACCATTTATACTATCTCTATTCTTATTTCTATTTCTTATCCCTATTCCTATCCCTATCCAATTTCCATTCTCTATTTATAAATAAACATTTAGATATCTACCTACCTATACTAATACTTCTCATATCAAGTCGACTCTATAATAAACATCCTTATCCTGATTCTTAATCTATCAATATAATAAATTAATCTTATTAATTATAACACTCAAATAAGATTTTAAATACAAAAACTTAAAAAAATAATTATCTATCTATCTTAAACAGTATTTATTTTATTTTAGTATTATAAATTATTAATTAAATAACTAATTATTTAAATATTAATAATAATAAATGATATTGTAACGATCTGGTTGAGGCAGCGGCTGCCTCAGGATTCGTCTGGTTGGTAGTTGTAGGTTAAGGTTAATAATCATTGGTTATTCATTTAAAAATGAATATATTATTAAATCAATTAGAATATAAATAAACTAATTGATAATTAAATTGAATATAAAGTTTTTAAATTATAAAACTATTCTGATTATATATTAATGAATATAAAGAAGTTTTATAAAGTTTTAAAACTTCAAAAAGCTTCTAAAGTTTTAAGAGTTTTCGAAGTTTCCAAGGCTTTTTATTATATAATTAGAATCAAATTATATATTTGAGTTTGTTAAAGATAAAGAGATTATATAAAACGATTATTATACAATTTTGTATATGAATTGTTTTGTTTTTCGATAAAATTTAAATTTATATAGATATATTGATTATTGCTTTTCAATATATTCTTATTTTAATTATAAATTATAATATTATCCCTTTTTTAATTAAATATTATTTCAATTGTTTATAATCTTTTAGATTTCATTTGATAATTAATGTTTTTTCTTCTTTTATATTTTATTTATCTTTTTTCTTTTATTATAAACAATTTTGATTCTTTTAATAATTTAATTTGAAAAAAGAAAAAGGAATATATATATTTAGCTATAATTATCGATTTTATTAATATTGAAATGATTCTTTATTTTCATTATTGATAAAAGAATCGTTATTGTATTAAAGATCTTTTTAATAAACATTATTTGTATTATTTGGAATATATACGAAATTCCGTTTCATATAATATTGAATTTCGTTTGGAAAATGATTGAGATTGTGAAATTCCTTGGGAGTATAATTGAAAGAGTTTTGATCAATAGATCGATAAATTGAATATTGAAATCGTTGAGTTTTTTGTTAAAACTATTTATTTTATTAAATAGAAAATACAATTCAAAAAACAATATAATGAAATGTTATATTATAAATTCAAATACTTTAATAAACTTAATACTCTTAAAGAAAAGAAATAAAAAGAAAAAGATAAAGAAATTTCTGTAATCCTTTTATCGTCTTCTAATCAATTTGATCAATTAATTTTTAATCGATTTGATCAATTACTAATTGATTTTATTAATCTCAATGAAATTCTTATAAACGAATTTGATTCTTTCGATCCCTTTTTGTAAGAAACAATGAATTCTTTTTTTTTTTAAATAAATCCAGATTTTATCGATGAAATTTCTAGAACTTTTTCAAATGTTTAATCTTTTTCTCAAATTCCTATATATTTTCGAAATCAAAGTAATCTTTCTATTTTATTAAATATTTGATCTTGCCTTTAATATATTTATAGTTTAGTATTTTCTTTATTTTGTATTTGATATCTTGATTTATAGATATGATTTCTGTTTCAAAAGTTTTAAATGCTTTTAGGGATACTAGTTCGAATAAAGATATATAGAATATTGAATATATATTTATACTTTTCGATAATATCAATTTATAATTTAAAAGTTTTTTAACTTTCTTGATTTTAAATGATTCAAATTTCTTGTAATCCAATTTTGTATTAGATCTTTTTGTTTCGATGTTTTTTCGAAATAAATAGATTTTATTTTTCTTTTTTAATGTTGATTTCTGATTATATTTCTGATTATAATAATATATATTTCTTTTAGTAACGAATTTCAATTCTATTGTTATTTTTTTATGAATTTTTTTGAATCTTTCTGTTTATATTATTATAAATTGATTCTTTATTTTTATAATCTTTGATTTGTAATATACAATTAATTTGTATCTATAATTGATATAATTCGAAATGATTTGTATTGTTTTCGATATTGAATTATTATATACGAATTATATTAAGAATAAAAGTTTTATTTAATTCTTCTATTGATAATTTATATAATATCGAAGATAAGTTTTGATAATTTGGTTTACTTTCTTGTTCTCTTTATTGATTTGTAAATAGAATATAATAGATATTTTTTTTTTTATTTTTAATAATACTATTAAAATAATCCAAAATTTCGATATAAAAAATTTATTTTTATCAAAGAATATTTCTTTTAATAATTTATATATTATAACAACTTCTTTCAGAAATATAAAGGCTAGTATTTTTGTAATTAATATTATTTGATATAATATAAATATTAGGTATTTTGTTAATCTATTTATTATAATAAAAAGATAATTGTATATTATTTTTATTATTGGATTTTTGGATTTTAGTAATGAATCTATGAAATCCTATAATATTAATTTTTATAATATAGATAATATTTTGATGATATTTATTTATTTATAAAAAGTATAACAAAAAGTTTTATTCTTAATATAAATATTATATTTGATAATTATTTTATTGATTATATTATAGAATCCCGGATTTCAATATTACCTTTTGATTTTTAAATATATTCTTCATATTCCTTGATGTTTATAAATTAACAATATATATTATTCTATAATATATTTAAGAATAATATTATTTAATAATTATATTTTGTTCTTTATTTATAATAATTTATCAATAATTATTAATAATTCTGGTTATTTAATACCTTTTTTATTTTATTATATTTTTATAAATTTATTTTTCCAGATCTTTATTGGTTTATTTTCTATAATAACGATTTCTATTAGATTAAAGATAAAATCTTTATTTGATAAAGATTTCAAGATCATTGTTTTCTAATAGATTTTATTATCTTTATAATTTAATAATCTATTTAAAGTATTTGTTTTTATATTATTTTTTCTTTTGATATATTTGATTATCAGATTGAATTCTGTTAGTTCTTTAGTTTATCTAATCAATTTATAATTATCTAAAACCTTAATAATAATAAAAATTCGAAGATTTATATGATTAATATAAATGATTATTGGGAATTTAGTTTTTTGAAGATAGATTTTTTAATATTTTAATATTTTTATTATAGTTATGAATTCCTTTTTATAAATATTATAATTTTGTTTTGTTTTGTTTATTTTGTTCGAATAATAAATGATAAAATATAGTTTTTTGTTATTGTTTTTTTGCAAATAGATTTCTATTATATAAATATTAAAAGTATTTATTTCGATAATATTTTCTCGATTATTATAATAATTGTAGAGGATAAGTTCCTTTATAAATCTATCCTTGATTTCTTGGAAAACTTGTTTTGTCTTTTCATTTTATATAAAAATTATTCCTTTTTTGATCATTTCGATAAAGAGTTCTATTATTTTCAAAAAGTCTTTTATGAATATTCAACAGAAATTGATGAATTCTAATATAGATTGTATATTCTTGATATTCTTAAGTTATTCTCAGTTTCTTATCTTCTTTATTTTCTCAGGATTTATATTTATTTGTTTTGATTGAATAATATATCCTAGGAATATTATTTTTTGTATTTTAAATTTATATTTCAATAATTTGAATCTTGAATCTATTTTTTTGAATGCTTTGAGTATTTTCAATATATATCCTTTATATTCCTTTTCTTTTTGAAAGAAAACTAAAATATTATTCAGATAATAGATTACAAATAAATTGAATTCTTTGAATATCTTGTTGTTCTATTATTGATATATAATTGATATATTAATTAAACCGAATAGTATAATTGTATATTTTTATAAACCTGATAATAATATAAAGGTTATCTTTCATTTATAACTTTCTTTTATTTATATCAAATTGAAAATGTTTCTTTGATTTAATTTTGTATAAATTATTACTTTATTCAATTTATTCCTAAGTTTTTAGATTTTCGATATTGAATATATATCTCTAATTGTTTCATTATTAATTTAATAATAATCTTTACAAAACCAATTATCTGGATCGCCTTTCTTAAATATCAATAATATATTAAATATATAAAAGAATTTGAATTTCCTAATCCATCTTTTCTTCTCAACTTTAATTCTATATTCTTTTTACATTTATATAATACTAGGATTATATAATCTTAACTTTTCAACAAAGAATATAAATCTCTTTTTGAAATTGATTTTATAATTCTAAGATTTATATTCTGATAAGATTTTCAAATTTTATAGATCTTCGAAAAGCTTAACGAATCTTTTATATTATACTGGAATTTTTTTTTCATTGATTTTATCGATCAATAAAGAATCTATTACTATTATAATATAGTATCTGATCTTCTCGAAAGTCTGTTTTTTTGGATTATATAATCATTTGTTATTGCAATTATAATAATCGAATATTAAAGTATCTTTTATTTAATCGATATTTGGATTATATTTTTTAATCTACAAAGTATTAAGGATAATTATATATTTGTTTAATAGTATTAAATCCATTTTGATTTATTCGGTATATTTATTTAGTATAATCATTTTGATAATATTGATTTCTTTATATATTCAATTATTAATTTCAATTTTCTTTCCTTTTAATAGTATCAGTTAATAAAGATTCTATTTTAATTCTATAAGAATTCTATTTTCTTTAACAAAATTGGAATTTATGAATATACCTATAATTCCAAAATTAATCAAAATATTTGTTTATTGATTCTTTAATTTGATTTCTATAATCAATTGTTTGATCTTTATAATATCATTAAGTTCTAACAATAATAATTCGATAATTTGTTCTTTGATAAAAAGATTCAGTTATTCCTATTAGTATTTGTTTATATTCAATAATTGATAGAATATAATAAATAATAATTTTATTGATTCTATTTGAAAATCTCGATAATAATTCTGGTTTGATGTTTTTTCATTATTTTTATCGATTCTTTGCTAGATACAATAAGTCCCGATTTGTAATAGGATTTCCTATACCTCTTTAACTTTCAGATCATATTTGTTATATTTCTATATTTCATCAAAGGATGGAGAATCTATATCTGTGATATATCTTCTGGTATTGTTTGTTTTAATATTTTCCTTAAATATTATATAGTAAGTATTATTATATATTATTGTATAGAATATTAATAAAATAAAATAATTATAGATTTTATATTTTTTGATGAAATCAGGTTTCTTCTTTTTATAATAATATTATATCTGTTTTTTATTTAGATAATTGATTAGATATTATAATTCATTTTCCTGAAATAAATGATAGAATTCAATTAGTTATTAATCCTCTTTGAATTCTTTGTTTTTTAATTCGAGATCTTTTGAGAATTCTTTTTTATAATCGATATTATTCTTAGTATTAATTCTAAGGTTTTGATTATTGATATTCAATTCTTTTAATTGTTTAGAGTTGAATTGAGGTAATTCTTTTTTCAATAATCCCATTTCCCTCAAATTTTCTTTCAAGATCTTCACTTTTCGAGAATCTTATCTTTTGTTTTCGAATTTCATTTGTTTCTTATTTTTTGTGATAAATAATCTTTTCTTTTGAAAACAATCTTGAGATATATATTTGTTTTTCCTATAAATATAATATAAGTTATTCTTTTTGTATTTTTTTTTCTTATTAGTATTTAGATTGTTTGATTTTATATAATATCATTCGGTATTATCCAATTTTATTAGATTGTTGGTATTATAATATCTATTTTGACGATAAGGTTTTTAGAACTTTTTGTTTTTCTAAATGATTTTTTTCTTCTTTATTTGTTGTTTATAGAATCGATTATCAATGAAAATGAAGGTTTCGATTAATTCGGAAAGATTAGATGGTTTTGGAGTTTTCATTAATTCGTTTTTGATAATGTTTTTTAATTTTTTATAGAATTGTGATTTTAGATAGTTATTATTCTATATAATATATCTAATGTATTGTTGAAATTTAATAATATAGATTGTAATTGATTTGATCTATTTGAATTGTTGTAATATTCTTTTAATTATATAATCAGGGTTTATTTTTTCAAATATTCTATCGAATTTTTGTTTGAATGATTTATAATTGAGAAATAGATAATGAATCTCAGATTTCATATTTTCATTTAATTGATTATCGATAGTTTTGATTATTAGATTATTGAAGAATGGTTTAATTCAATTGAATATAATTTCTTGGAAAAAGGAGATCAATTATAAAATCCTTTATATAGGAATTAAGAAAAGTTGTTTGTTAAAGATATAATAAAGATCAGTTTATATAACAAAAGCTTGATGTTTGTTATGATTTTTATAAAATAGATTAAAGATAGATATCTGAATTGTTTATCTATATTTTATAATAGTAGCAATCTGAACAAAAGCCTTGATTGGATTGAATGAAGACGATTCGGTGAATTGCTGGTTGGAAATCATTATACTGTATATAGTTTAATTATAACGATACTCAAAATGTAACGATCTGATTGAGATAATAGTTATCTCAGGATTCATCTGATTGGTAATTGTAGGTTAAGGTTAATAATCATTGGTTATTTATTCGAAGATGAATATATTATTAGATCAATTGGAATATAAATAAACTAATTGATAATTAAGTTAAATACGAAGCTTTTAAATTATAAAACTATTTTGATTATATATTAATAAATATAAAGAAGTTTTATAGAATTCTAAAACTTCAAAAAGCTTCTGGAGTTCTAAGAGTTTTCGAAGCTCTCAGGGATTTTTATTATGTGATTAGGATCAGATTATATGTCCGAGTTTGTTAAAGATAAAGAGACTATATAAGACAATTACTATATAATTTTGTATACAAATCGCTTTGCTTTTCGATAAGATCTAAGCTTATATGGATATGTTGATTGTTGCCCTTCAACATATCCTTATCTTAATTGTAAATCGTGACAGATATCTTATAATATTTTAATTTGAATATATTATTATTATATCTAGATGTTATAATTATTTAACTATCAAATCATAAGATCACTTCTAGAAAAATCTAAAACCAATCTTATATAAAAATTCTATAATTATTTTTAAACTTTTAAAAAAATTAAATTTATAAAATTAATTAATCATTTTATATTGAAAAAAAAAAATAAAAATAAAAATAAAAATAAAAAATGAATATAAAGATAGATAGAGAATAAAAAAATATAAAAGTTTTATATCTATTTCTTTTAAAAGTTTTAGATTTGATAATAAAAGAGGAGATGGAGAGATGAGGGAATAAATAAATATATATATAGTGACTTCTCTTTTGTCTACGCTTAAGCTCCTTCTATTCTCTATCTTCTACCTCACCCATTTCTCAAACACTTTTCATCATCATCAGACACAGTACACACACATCATCGAGATCATAATTAGCTAGCATCTATATGATGAGAGGTATATTCTTTCTTCTTTCTCCATTTCTTCTTTCGCTGCCTATGTAACAAATCCATTCCACCATCGTAAATTGTACATACGCATCTAATCAAGGTAATCATAATCTAGTCAAAGCTAGATTTAATTACCATCTCATATCGCACAGGATATGACTTCATCTAATCCTTATCTCATTTTCCACCAACTACGTCCAAAGATCTTGCTTTCAAATGAGTAGAAAGTCTATTCATCCACGCATCCATCTAGAACATTTAAATCCACCAAACTCCCGCTTCTCCAAAGAACAAGCAAAAATCTATCTACCTAACTATCCTTTATCTATTACCAACCCCAACTCTATATCGAACTCGATTCGTTTAGTGATGTAGTGGTATACCTAGGCAGTAGGCTTGAATTTCATAGGAGCTTGTTCTGTGGTCTCTGCAAAAGGAACACCGAGTTCAAAGAGCTTGGTGATAACATTAGCGAAATCTTTCATGAAGAGAGATTCATCCGCAGCGTATTTCTCAACGTATGAACGGAAAGTTTTATCCGAGACGAGCGCCATGTCAGTTGGAAGCATCATAAGGGTTTTGGTAGTCTTGTCTTCGTACTATTTTAGTTTAATATGTTAGTTTGTTTTTTCTTTACTTTCCAGGAAGGTAACGATCGATTGAAAGATATCCATACCTGCTTAGGACCATTCCACTTCTTCCAGTTCCACTTCTCATTCAACAAAAGCTTGTAGTACTCATTGGTGACAACAGTTGGTGAGAAAGTCCAAGGACCCTCAAAACCACTACGATCGGTGTGACAACGACCAAGAGCATGAGCACCACTCAAAGCAACGATTTCTTGGTCATTGAATCCCATACGACCAAAGATATCTCTCAAATGCTTGTTACCTTGAGAAGCATCTGGAAGACGTCCATCAGGTGTGCAAGCTGCAACCTCCTTATCTTGTCTACCTGGTCGGAAAGGAATGACTGGACCTTGCATTTCCTGGATGGCGCAAATACCAGCCAAGATCCAGAGGTCAGAGTAGGAGATCCATGGGAACTTGGCTATAGAGACATCAGTAAGATATGACTCTCCTCAATTTCTTTCATTTATTAAAAATAGCCTCTCTAATAGTCTACCACGGCAGTGGTCCCCGAAGGGCCAGCGGAGCGACTCTTCCTCCTCCATGAAAAAGTAAATGATTGACTTACCCTTAACAGGTTGCAAGAAATCTCTCGCAGCAACCAAACCAGCATTGGCACCATGATCACCCTCAGGGGCAAATCTCATAGTCGCACCATTGCTCCCACCAGTACCAGTTTCCTTATCGAAAGTTCCACTTGCATGCCACGCCAATCTGACCAAGACAGGACCATAAGAACCATCATCATAATCATCCTTCTCCTCCAATCTCGCGGCAATCTCATTATAAACCTTTTGATAATCTTCAAACTTAGGAGTGATGAGACCGGCGGTTTCTTTAGCAGAACCACTCAAGAATGATCCATTTCCTTGAGATACAAAGTAGTATCCAGCACCTCCAGCAATGGCTAAAGCAGCAACACCAATGGAGAGAGGGAAGGAAGATTTGGCAGGTCCTTGAGAAGCATATCCACGACGAGATTGTTGACGGAATGCTTGACGAGGAGCACTGAATGCATTGGCACGAGTGGCGGGTCTGAAAGGTGTTGATTTGAATGCAGCGCCTGCCCTAGCGAAGGTTCGAGTCGTAGATGCCATGGTTTATATGGGTTGTATTATGATTGTATATGGTGGTTGGTATTATATCGAGACAGTAACTGAAATTGATAAGTAGGTAATCTTTTTGGATTTCTTTCCTCCCACTTTTTGTTGGATGAACCCAGACAAGCAAAGAAGGCAAAAGATTTCGAGGGCAATTAGAGTAAACAGTAGAGAATAAGTACTTACAGAAGAGGAGGAAGATCAAGACGGAAGTGAATAAATGTCTGTCAGAGTATCACTACCTATGGTTGATAATATTCCCAAGGGTTGAGATGTTGATATTTCAAAAGATGAAGGTGGTGAGATTTTATTAACAACTTTACCATAACCTTAACCTTAGTGCAATGACCAATCTACCTACCACTCCTCTGCTAGCCTCCACTTTATTTACTTCACTTTACTTCACTTTACTTCACTTCACCACTTTCACTTCACTTCCTCACAGACCTCCCTCCAAAAGCCCACTCATTCACCAGATTCAACCGTGGTAACTCTAGCTATTCTGCAACAAACTTCCTCATCGAGTTAGTCCCGAAGAGAAATACCCACTCATATTTCCATTTCCATCTCTGGCTTCTCATTTCCGAATCTATGTCGAAGGAAGCACGGTACATAGCGTAAGAATGTTCGCAATCATAACCGTGGCACACCAAGAAAAGACGATAACGACCCACTTGCTTTCCCCTCTTATCAATCATCATTTTACATTGACCAATAAGAAGTGATGCATTCGAAAGAGTATTAAGAGAACAGTTGACATGACTCCTCTGGAGTGTTCGGTTTGACAAATTGTGTTATATTTTGGCTTTTTGCTGGAGAGAATTAATTGTTAGTGTTTTGTTAAACAATTGACAATGTTTTGATTCAGATGATAATTTTATTTGTTTCTTGTGCTACAGATATATCATCATATCATCATAGATATATTTTTTTTGATAAGGCTGAGCAACGTAAAAGAGGCTGAAGTAATTTGATTGATGGAAACCAAAGGGTTCATCCTGATAGTGGTTATTGGTCATCTAAACTCGGTTGGTTCCTATTGGTTGATGTTTTGACGCGATCTCAGCTCCATGCTATCCGCGTTTGGAGTTTAGGTTCTCCATCTTTCCTGGACAGGTGAATTATTATTAGGTGAGCAGAAATCATCAAGGTTTCTAGATTTGTGTACTTTTGATCAATAGATCGTTGGATGATAGTATCATTAATATTCTTAGAAATTTAGCTCGTTCTAGATCGATGGCTTTACAAGCTTTTACTAAGCAAAAGTCTCGAAGTCTTTAGTGAAATCCAGTCATCTTGCGGCAGGACACGTCATATGGGGGTTGAAAGACGATATCAAATATCATAAATATCATATTATTACTGTAAGGACCTGAATTAGTGCAACTATTATATTGGTGCGTATATGTGGAAGCCATGAGTGTCTAATCTAATAAGCTTGATGTGTTTGAATGGACGACCTGATATATACCTTCCCATACATTACTTATATCGTGTATGAGCCTTGTTATCCATGTACGATAATAATAGAGTACTGAAAAAGATGCCCTACTCATAGTGTATAGCTGTCATCTATACCAAAGCATTCCCATGCGTCATCACCGAAAGGTATATGTTTCAACAACGGCATGGAACGGTGGGGATACGAGCGTTTGGTAGTGTTAGGTCCATCAGATCCCAGCGACGTCAGGTTGTATAGGATTATGTTCTTAGGGAGTTCACTGATTTTAAAGTTGCATGCTGCTCTCCATAACTCATCCTGGTGGCACCCAGGGGTGACTGCTAGACAACCAGCTGGATATCGTAAATATTTCCCTCTCGTGAACTATTTGAGCATCCTGCAGGCCGTGATTATGCCCGTCAAGGCACAATGCGCTATGAAAGAAGGCTAGGGGCGCAAAATGATTTGGTGAGTTGGGAACTTACCGATCTTATGGTAGCAGAACTCATAGGATTAAATTTGTAGCAAGTGGTGTCATGCCGTTTGAAAGGAGGGGTTGAGGGAGACTTAGCATGAGAGAGAAGTCCGAAGGACAATGCCAGTACTGGAACGTATTTCTGATACCTTTGATGAATTATGGGACTTCTGAGCATTCTCTGTCGGGCCAAATTTGGATACACTGAAAATAGGATATGATCAGACTTTGACAATACTACAATACAATGGCCTGCTTGGATCATCAAATGGAAAAAGGATGTCCAAAACAACGATGTAGCTTTGGAAATGGTTAAGACAATTCATCCAGTCCATGCTAGAGTCTTGTCCCCGACTATCTTGTCTAGAGGAAGAAAGTATTTGCACTTGGTAACGATAATGCATCTTTGTGCTTGTCATGCTTGAATGATGGAAAGTTGTGTGTTGGGATTATCGCGAAGTGACAAACGGAACGGTGCAAACATAAATCGGACGAGATCTGAAAGGTGTGCGGCCACACTTGAGGTGCCGATACCTCAAGACCAAAGGAAAGACTTCGGGCATTGTGGTAGATCAACCAATATACATAACTGAGTTCCGGTATGCCATGTTGAACGATTGAATGATGACTGCAGCATGCATCTAAAGGCAACAGAAATAGATCAAGAAATCATAGTGTCATGTCTGTGTGCTGGTAGCATATATCCTGTAACCTTACCATCTCAATAACACCAAATCATCCTCGAGAGTCAATTAGTAAAGTCGAGAAAACGATTTTGGTCCGCAGCTTTAAGAGTAGTGATGATTTGGAGGAATTTCATTATAACCACATCTCTCAAATCTTTGGAGAATGATACCAGGACTGCCATAAAAGTGAGCACGAACCAAATTTCTCAAGAAATCAAAAAGAAGTCAGCACAACACTAACAACTCCACATCCACGCCAAGATTTCATCCTCGCCTAACCACACTAGCTTCACACGTGACCACACTTCCAACAATTTTTCAAATCCGAACCACGTCCTCAGATTTTCTCCCTCGCGCACACAACAACAACGACCAACGACAACTCCCACGCCATCACCAACAATTCCAAAATGGCCGCCGAAAAGCAACCCCGTACCGGCCTCGCCGTCGGTCTCAACAAAGGACACGTATGTTCATGAAAAACCTCACAAAACACAAACCTGCCCGTCTCACCTCTTGGAGGATCTTCTTTTCAAAAAAAAAAATTTAGAAGATGGACCGGCTGATTTATGGAAATATAGAAAACCGAGACTCGTGTCTCCAAGCCCAAGGTTAGCAGAACCAAGGGACACTTGAGCAAGCGCACTGCGTTTGTCAGAGACATTGTCAAGGAGGTTTCTGGGTATGTTATTCACTTTTTCTTCGACATGTTTTTCCTTTGATTAAAAAATATGAAAACTAATTCTCATCCAATAGTCTTGCACCATACGAGCGCAGAGTCATTGAATTGCTCCGTAACAGCAAGGACAAGCGTGCCCGTAAGCTCGCAAAGAAGAGGGTATGCTTTCTCCTTCCACCTCACATTCCAATTCACACAAAACGAATACTAACTCAACAACAGCTCGGTACTTTCGGACGTGCCAAGGCCAAGGTTGACGAGCTCCAAGGTGTCATTGCCGAGTCCCGCAGAGCCGGTCACTAAATACCCAATATCATACCCTTTACCACGAAGAAAAAAAATCATATCGTCCCTTCAATACCTAGGTACAATGAATCGATATATGGGTTTATGATGGATCTCCACATTTACACAGGTCAATCATACGGGAATTGGAGTTGTAACAGTGAAGAATTTACGTGTTACTGTGATTCTGGGGATTGGGATCTGAAAATGCTTTTAATAATGGCATTTATGAGGATCTCTGGGCAAAAATAAAATACCTTCAACAATTATTTCCATTATCCTTGATGTGTAACTGCTTTGTGAATTGTTTCTTGGAATTGGGAAATCTTGAGCTAGTGGAAAATTGAGCAACAAAAACGCCTCGTGCTATGCTTTCCTTTCCTAACAGCTTGTCGATCGAGGTATATAAGATGGAAGAAGCTCACTACACCCATTCAATAGTACCATCATAAATCATTAACATCCAACACTGATCACAGTGTACCTCCCATTCTCTCTACTTGGCCATCATGAACATGTATTAAGCTCTCCCTACATCATTCCTTTCCCTCTCCATATCTATATCATGCCCCTCTACCTCTTCTTCAAATTCTTCATAATAAGATTCTGCAGACCCCTCTTCTTCTTTTCTCCCCCTCCACTCTCGTCATCTTTCTTAACCTCGACCTTTTTCTCCTCTTCTCCATCTTCCGTGCTCTCCACAATTGGGACCGGTTGTTGCGTAGCCTTTTCCCTATAAATATCCTTCAACACGGGTTTTCCCTTCAACGCCTCAACATTCGCTCCGCCATCCCACGCTAAATTGATAACCGTCGGACCCTGAATTCCTAGATCTCTGATGAGGGATTTTGTATCGTCGTTCGGTATAGTTTCCCTTCCCTTGTTGCCCTGATATATCAATTTGAAGGGTTCATTTTCATAAACGATTAATCCGCGCACATAGCCATAGAGCCATTTTCCATGATGTTCATTATTAATGGATTTACTAACGGCCATTTGATCCGGGAATCGAATCCTCAAGGGGATTTCTTTGATTTTGGATAAGCGAGCGAGCCGTTCTGTTTCGAGGGCGAGTTCTTCGTCGTAGGAGAGGAGTTTAGTGTTTTGGGAGCTGCTTTGAAGACGCGACTGTACGAGTTTGGCGTGTCGAATGGTGGGAATGTAGTCGTCTTCGTTGTGGGGGCTAAGGGCCGCGAGAGGAGTGTCGTTGCTGGGCGCGGAGAAGATGGTTAAGGGGAGGCCATCGGGGCCTAGGATTGGGGGAGAAGTTGAAGAGTTGGTGGAGGATGTGGGCGGAATTGAGGGTGTGATGTTTGTTGATGCGCCAGCGGGAGTAGGTGTTGAATATGGAGTTGTATCTGAGGGATCAGAATCCATATTCACATCTTCGTTTTTCTGGTCTGGAGAAGGTAGATTTGCGATACCATCTGTCACAGATTCACCTTGCTGTGGTGTTTCTGCAGTAGGTTCAGGTACGTTCTCTTCCTCCTTGAAATATTCCCCAATATCCTTCATAGCCTCTTCAATCGGTTGATCTGTCGGCCTAAACGTAAGCCTGAGTAATCCTGTTCCCTTATTCAATCCTAAATTTGCAAGTGTCTTTTGTAAATCTCCAAATGTAGCCATTTCCCTTCCCATCACATTGAGTACCGGCATCTCATATATCATGCGACCAGCTCCTGACGTGCCATTTTGTAGCTGCGCTACCCCTCTTCCCGTGAAGTTGAGATTGGCGGATGCGTTGCTGGACTCGAACTTGCGGAGGATAAGCCATAGTGTTGTATTACTGGGAAAGGTATCTTTTAATCTGCCGCCAGGAACAGCAGACGCGAGATCTTGTGGTAATTGCAGCGCAATGGAGACAGGAGCGGGAGATCTAGAAGCTTCGACTAAGGTGAGTTTTGCGCCGGTGGTGAGACCTGTTTGACGGTATGTTTGGGAAAGGTCTATAGGTTTGTCATTACTCCTATGGTGAGTGTTAGAGAAATGTTGGAAGAAGAACTGGGTTTTGACAGCTTATTTGCCGGATGGGGAATAGATCTTGGGAGCTCATTTACCTTTTGAGATCATAGTTAGTATTTTTCTTTCCAAGCTTCTTACATGCTTCCGAGACAACCTCACTCATATAAGTTCCGGGAGTAACTTTTATGGTCGCTCTGTTGAAGAACTTATCGATGACAACAACGTTGGAGGCCATGATAATTTGAATAACTCGTAGTAGGCGTAATTGTTCCAGAAGATGTGATGGATTATAGGATAAGCTTGAAGTTCAAAAAACAATCGGTCGGTACTCAGTTCAAGTAGATGCGAGAGTGGAAAAGTCTGTTATATTGGCACCTTCTATGGATTTCCGTGATATTTGTAAGGCTGTTGAGAGGTTGTGGCGGGGTGTTGACAAGCTTCAAGTCAGTCAATCAATCATCAATGAATCGACGGCAGAGGAAGTTAAGTAAATAAATAAATAAATAAATAAATAAATAAATAAATAAATAAATAAATAAATAAATAAATAAATAAATAAATAAATAAATAAATAAATAAATAAATAAATAAATAAATAAATAAATAAATAAATAAATAAATAAATAAATAAATAAATAAATAAATAAATAAATAAATAAATAAATAAATAAATAAATAAATAAATAAATAAATAAATAAATAAATAAATAAATAAATAAATAAATAAATAAATAAATAAATAAATAAATGAAATTCAATAACAATCCAAATAGAAATAGAGGTAAAAGTAGATGTTTACTACTACTTTACTCTTTTAAAATAATATTAATAATAATTAATTCTCTTATAAATCAAAATCCAAAAGTTCAAAATGAAGATCAATTTAACTCGTCACAAATCCCACAAGGCGGGAGCCTACTCACTCCCGTACCTCATTCATAATCGTTGCCTTGTAGGTCCGAGCTCCAGAGCTCAACGTCGACGCGCCAGCCGTGTCTACCTTGTTCATATCTCACAACCTCAATATCACAACCCCCCAGACCACTTCAACCTCAACCACCAACTTATCCGTCTGCGAAGCTCTTATTAAATAAGGGCAAAGCTGCTGTTTCTTGATACCCAATCCTCAATACCCTCAATTCATATACTTCATTCACAATGGTAAGCTTGCTTTATTAAATAAAACATTATATATACCTCAAATATGCTATCAATATTATGAACAACCAGCTAACATCAACTTCCAGAGCTCCCCATTCTCCATCAGTACATCCCCTCTTTCATCTACCCACCTCCAGCTCTCGAAACAAAATACTAATCAAGCCCCTCTTCAGATGGCGGTGCCTGCGTAGCAATGGTAGGCAAAGACTGCGTAGCCATAGCCTGCGATCTCCGACTCGGTCTCCAAGCCCTAACCGTCTCCAACAACTTCCCCAAGATATTCTCCTACGGTCCCTCCGTCTATCTCGGTCTCACCGGCCTCGCAACCGACGTCTCCACCGTCTCGGATCTCTTCCGCTACAAAGTAAACATGTATCGACTCCGCGAAGAGCGCAATATTTCTCCCACCACCATGGCGAATTTAGTGTCGAGTTCGCTATATGAGCGTCGTTTTGGTCCGTTTTTCGTTAGTCCTGTGATTGCGGGGTTGGATCAGAAGACGGGGAAGCCATTTATTTGTGGGTTTGATAGTATTGGTTGTATCGATTTTGCAAAGGATTTTATTGTTAGTGGAACTGCGAGTGATCAATTGTTTGGTACTTGTGAGGGTTTGTGGGAACCAGATCTGGTGAGTTTGATTTTTAAGGTTTTTTATGCTTTGATCATCGCGGGAATTCTTGCAGGTTTCTCTTATGGGATGTCTTACGGGTGTGTCTGAATGGAACGGCAAAAGCTACATATCATGTCAAATCATAACTAACAACCAACCTCCACAAACTAGGGACCAGAAGATCTCTTCGAGACAATATCACAAGCACTCTTGAACGCAGTCGACAGAGATGCCTTGTCAGGTTGGGGTGCCCACGTTTACATCATCGAGAAGGACAAGGTCACCAAGAGGTTATTGAAGGGTAGACAAGATTAAATAGCATGGATAATGACTTCGTTATGATTCTGACGGAGGACGAAGTCGTGCTCATAACCTTGAGGAAGGATGAAATCGCATTCCTGACAGGAAACGATGCATACGACTGTATGAGACAATGCTCAAGGGTTCTCAGAGGAAGGAATAAGTGAAAGATGCTTGCTTGCATGCAGATTAGCAAGCAGGCAAGGCAAGGCATCAAGGGCTTGAGAGATAGAAAATGAGCATAAATGACACATTTACGTATTGCGTTTGCGATTCCACTTTCATTTCCAAATACGAAAGCAACGCAACGAGCCATTGCAAACTCCAAATTTGAGATGTGCATTTTTATATTTTTAGAAAAAAAGTCATGCATCCAAAATTTTGTATTCTTCTTCTTGATATAATCTCAAGTCCGATACCCGCCTTGTGAGAACGGACGGTATCGTACATATAATGTATGTCATTCTAAATATTGACCGATATCTAATAATTTACACCTGACCATGCATGAATCATTTTCGTCCTTCAGTCCCTTAATCAAGGCATGCCATGCCTACAGAATCCAAATCCATATTTTTTCACCGCTCTATCTATCCGTCTATTCCTTCTTTGGTCTTTGATCAATGATGGCTGATTTTTGCATAAAGAATTGTCTTTCTAGGAATTTGAGACCTTCGTCGATAATACTATGGATAGATGGTTAGCAAGATATTACATTTTTATGATACTAGTCCGTGCTCTACAAGCCGGGGTGGAGGGGGCAAACAGAAATAATAGGAAAGGCTTACATAACAGGAGCACTAATATATAGAACTGCCTGCCACTCATTCCAGTTCAACGGAAGAATGGAGAAGAGACTTTGCAAGATAGGTGTATAGAGGAGAGCAAAATGCAGGGCCATGGATAGCGCGATTGCGTAAACCAACATCATGTTTTCCCAGAGCGGGAGAGTGAGGAGGGATTCGCTGGAGGAAAGAGCGTTTACGGCATTGAACATTTCGATGACGACAAGGATTGAAAGGGAGACTGTGGATGCTGATTTAGCCATATCGTTTGAGAACATTTGGCAGCCGATTTCCGGAAATTGGGAAGAGCAACGGTGGAAGTGAGATAATTGCCAGAAGGTGATTTGGGGTCCTTCAGGGTTGTACATGAACCACCAAGCATAACCAGCCACAGTAGCAAGACCGACATAGACACCAATCACCATGTAACGGAAGAAAAGCCAGCCACTGATCAACGCTTCATCGCGCTTTCTTGGTTGTCTCCTCATGATATCGTGATCAGGAGGATTGAATGATAAAGCTGTAGCTGGAAGACCGTCGGTGACAAGGTTGACCCATAAGAGTTGAACTGGAATTAAAGCTTCCGGCATACCGGCTGCTGCTGTCAAGAATATAGAAACAACTTCGCCGATATTGGATGAGATGAGGTAACGGATGAACTGTTGAGTGTTGTTATATATAGATCGACCTTCCTCAATTGCAACCTCAATCGTAGCAAAGTTGTTATCGGCAAGAACCATGTCGGAAGCAAGTTTAGACACATCAGTTCCAGAACCCATAGCAACACCAATATCGGCTTTCTTGAGAGCAGGGGCATCATTGACACCATCACCAGTCATGGCTACCACTTCACCAGCGGATTGTAGTAGATCTACGAGCTTGGATTTGTGACTTGGTTCAACTCGAGAGAACAATGAAGCTGTCTTGGCAGCGAACAATTGTTCGCTTTGGCTAAGATTATCAAATTCGCGACCAGTGTAGCTCTTGCCTTTAAGATCTTCGTATTCTCCAAAAACGCCAATTTGTCTGCAAATTGCTTCGGCAGTGTTGCGGTTATCACCAGTAATGACAATGACTCGAATTCCAGCTTCCCTACATTTTCGAATGGACCCTGCTACCTCTGGGCGAGGGGGATCAAGCATCGTGACAAGACCGAGGAGTGTCAGGTTTTGTTCAAGCTGGGTATATTCGGCAGTAGTTTTTGCGGATTTCAATAATGGATTTGATCCGACATTCTCCACGCTAGCGAGTGCGATGACACGTAGACCTCTATTACCATATTCAACAACTTCTTTCAATATAAGCTTCTCGAGTGACTGTATAAGTGGCACTCTCTTTCCGTTAGATCCAACCAAAGTATGTGTGCAACGATTGATAATCATTTCCGGAGCTCCTTTGACAAGCAGTTTTTGTTGCTGGCCGTTTTTGACAAGAACCGACATGCTCTTTCTATCGCGAGAAAATTCGTAAGTGGCAAGGAGAGGTGTTCTTTTTTCGTACCAAGAGCTTGCGTGGTGAAGAGATTCACCAGCAGAGATGCTGGTTTTCGCCTGATTGTAAGCTGGATCTAAGGTTCCAATTTTCTCTACCAAGACACGTAGAGCGCCTTCCGTAGGTTCTCCAACGTTTGAATAGACTTTAGACTTAGTATCATATGCGAGTGCTGCCCCGTTACAAAGAGCTGCTACCTCAGCCATTTGGAGGATGGTGTTTGACGTTGTGGCTACATCTGTCACTTTACCACCACCGGAAAGAATATTGCCAATGGGAGAGAAAGTAGTTCCCTCAACTTCCAACTCCTCAAGATCAGAACCTGCCTCTTTGATATAGACAAGCTTGTTGACACTCATTTGGTTGGTAGTCAAGGTACCAGTTTTGTCCGAGCAAATCACGCTGCAGCTACCTAGAGTTTCTACCGAAGGCAAACTTCTAACAACAGCATTCTTGGCAGCCATTTTGCGGGTACCGAGAGCTAAACAAGTAGTGATAACAACAGCAAGGCCTTCTGGAATAGCCGCGACTCCAAGGGATACAGCGATCTTGAGGTAGTAGATCGCACCTTTAGCAAAACTTCCATGGGAAGGATCGCTGAAATGAGGAATATTGATAAGCCAGACAACGATACAGATGATTGAAATGACCTTTGCCAGAGTATCTCCAAAATCGTTGAGTTTTTGCTTGAGAGGTGTCGGCTCCGAGATTTGTGCCGTAATACTTTCGTGGATATCACCAATAGCTGTAGAAGATCCAGTAAGAACGACAATTGCAGTTGCATGTCCATTTACGACTGTGGTTCCAGAGAAAAGCATATTTACTTGATCCTGCTTAACGGACTTCAAGTCCTTGACAGGCGGGGTACTTTTTCCAACACTCTCGCTCTCTCCTGTGAGAATGGCTTGATCGACTGAGAAACTATTGCTCTGAATTGCGAGCACTCTGCAGTCTGCAGGGATTCTATCTCCGACAGCAATTGTGATGATATCTCCTGGGACCAAATCTTCCGCGCGTACTCTCGTGACATGTCCATTTCGAACAACCTTGGCTTCATTTGCCGAATATTCTTGGAGGGCGGCAATTGCTTTCTCTGCGCTACTTTCCTGCGACACACCGACGACGGCATTGAGAATTAAAATGGTAAGAATCTAGATTTATCCATTAGTATGACGGACACACAGTCTTCATGGAAGGGTCAAGACATACAACAGCGGGGTCCACAAAAGCAGTCCAGCCTTCCTCGTCTTCGAAGAGAGCTAAAACAAAAGAAATAGCGGCGGAACCAAGCAATATAAGAACGAGTTGGTCTTTGAATTGTTCGAGTATTAGCTCCCAGATTGGCGTTGGAGGCTCTTCTGCGATGGCTGTTGTATTATGATTAGTGGAAGCTCTAAGTGATGCGGCGCAAAGGACACAGGCCAAGGATGTGTTGCTTACCATTGCGACCATATTTCTCTCTTGAAGCGATAACTTGAGCATCTGTGAGACCTTGAGATTCGGATACGGAGAAATTCTTTAAGACCTCAGAGGTCGATTGGGCGTATGCACTGTCCATGATTGTATGTGATGTCTTGTCTTTCGTGGGGCAGTGCGTAGAAGGAAGGATTGTAGCGATATGATAGCCACTTTGCTCAAATTGATTGTCTCATCTAATAAAAAGGAAGATTTATGGACAGATCTCCTTAAGAAAAAGAGAAAGGAAGAAATCAATACGAAAATGAAGAAAATGAATTCTATGTCTTCTATTCAAGCAATTCGATGGGATGGATCAATTCAAAAAAGAATTGAATATTTTTGGTGTCAAAAAAAAAGAGATAAGAAAACTGATTGATTGCTTGATGGATTGATTGTTTACTAGGTAAAGTTAATATTTACTACTCCGTATATTTTCTTGAACAGAGTGTCCTTCTGGGAAGTTCTTATGATGTAATTTGGTGACTTGATTGGCTGAATTAATCTTTTCTGCTAGTAAAGTGGCCTCGCGAAACGGAACGATCATGCCGAGCGCCTTGTTTGAAGTGAAGGGTGGTTGTTGGTTGGTCAGTGAGTGTTGACAGATGTAGAAAGCAGTGGAAGTTGGAAGGTTAGAGAATTTTTGCAGGTACTTGCCTACTGTCTATCTTCCTTTACATATCTACTCCGTACAAATATGTAACCAATTTAATAATCTCTGATAACCTTCAAAAGTCCACCTCCAAATACTCTGCTCTGCCTCCACGGCAGTGGCCCGCGGAGAGCCAGCGGAGCGTCACTTGGGTGGATGGATGGATGGATGGATGGATGGATGAATTGTTGTTTTACCACCAACCTTAGGCCATTGGAGGTTGCACTGTAACGACAAAGACATCATGGAATGGGGAGATGGAAATTATACCTCGAGAGTACCTATCTCGTTCTGTGGGTGATAAATACTAGCCCTCTACCGGTACTGCTACTGTAGCTCGACCTTTGGATCAACTCGGATTCTACAAGCATACCCATATCTTTCTACACCTGATACGACCAGTCCGCTGCCTAAGCCGGCTTTCTTTATAGCCATTTGCCATAAGCAGAGTCAGCGTCAGCGGAGTACCGTAGTAGTATAATCCCCGAGTCTTAACTCCGAGCGAACGAATATATTCACGATGAGCTTGGTATACAGTGCAGGAGCAGAATTGATAACAATGTCTGATGTTGATCTTACGATCGGTGTTCATCCCGTCTTCTTGAACCCTCATATTTGCTAAAAGATTTCCGCAAGGATGCGCCTCAAAAACGTTACGGAGTAGAGAGAATCCAGAGGGGCAATGCAAGTAGAAGTTCTGGGCATTCCGTAAGTACCAAGTAAGAGTCTAGCTAAGAAAGGATGCATCTGTGATAGATAACCTAGGACATTCATATGGCTTTCTTCACATCCATCAAATGAGGTTTGTTGTAAGGTTAATATGCAGCCGCCCTCGTTTCCTTCTGGGTCCTCCTATCAATTACTCCGTAGGTTCTATGAAAATTTCCATCAACAGTCGACCCCGATTGGTCATAATATTTAATCCTTGCTTACCACGAGGTAGGCAGAGATAACCGTTCGTCACCCATTCTTTCTGAAATGGGACGGAAAAACGTAGGTGCTGGCATCCTGTCAACTCCTTCATCGAATAATCAAAACCGCCAGTTGTACAGTACCAAAGTTCCAAACACACATTCTCCACCATATCGAAAACTCGTCACTGTGATTTGTTGCGTGTATGGATTTATGGAGGAGGTAAAGATACTTCTGATATTGCCGTTGAATTATACAGAAGCTGAGAGCTTAGCTTGAGATGCTGACTTGATCTGGCTGATTGTCGACTTCATATGTACTGGTGGTAGTTCATCTGCAATTCGAATGAACATTGAACGCATGCAATGCAATGAAATTGAGCAGACAGGGGCTTTGTCGATCTCGATCAAATGGAAGGCGGATAACTTGTTCTTGAACCAATATGTAGGAAATAGACTTGAGACACGAACCCTTGACAGTTCCCTCATATCAGATTGCCGGAAGTTCTATCTTCAATTCCTAGTTTTGCTAGAGTGCAACCAGCCCTTCGTACTGCTGGGCAAGCTTAGCTACTCCCTAGACAATAAGCCAAGATTATTGACAAGAGTGTTCTAGGTATACTTAACCAAGACCAATATCCATCTCATTTCTCTATACCCCGACTAGAACAATGCTGCGGGACACTCCATACTGGCTTGGAAGTTGTTGTAGGTCGGCCGGTTTCCAGCTGTCACAAGGGAATCCACATCTACGTGGGGCAGAAATTCAACACCAACACCAACAACCCTTTAATGGGACCAACAGGACTCCTGACTTCACTCAGAAGTTGAGGCCAGACTGACTTTTTTTAGGAGAATCTTCGCACTCGGTACAAGATGAATGTACGACGGATACATATCGATATTCTCTATGGTCTTAGTCGGAAGGGAGTACATGATAAAGTTTACTGCTACTGGGTACCTGAGGTACGTAGGTAGAGATACAACAAAACTTGACTCATTCATCATTGTTTTATCATTGTACATTAATCAGCCAGCCAGAGTTCGAGTTTCGATCATCTTGTTTTGATAGGATGGGATATACCCAAGATGAGGCCATATGTAATAGGAGATAGATACCGTATTACTGAACCCCTCATTTAATCAAACCCAATGAAATAATAATGATTTGTTTGATACTTGACCTGGTTCAGTTATGTTATCACTCATTCATACGAACGCACAGCTTTGAGCATACCTACCTAGTATATATATCATTATTCCTTTTTTCGAGAGTCCTCTCAAGGCTCTGGATCGGTGGTTGTATGAGAGTAGGAGTACAATGTATTCGCAAAGATCCCTCATTTGATATACTCACACGATACATACTAGGTAGGCAGTCGGTAGATGTAGTCTGTAGAGACCTCTTCTTTGTCTGATACAGGCTCTATCATGTCTATCCTGTTCTCCATCTAGTGGAACATGATAATTGATAATTGATAATTGATAATTGATAATTCAACCATAAAATAAATCGCATTATTGGGAATATTTTCACTTCTTCCAAGGATTTAATTACATGTAATTTTACTTCTTTTTCTTCCCCTTACCCCAAATCATCATACCGTCCTGGGTATTTCATTCACTTCATTCACACATTCACACTCACAATCACTTCAAATCCATCAACTTACCAACAAATCATTAACTGACCGCTCGGTTATTGAATCAATCAGAATTAGCGTCAATTTCTCCATTATTACCTTCACACCAGATCCATGGATTGATCTCCTCGCACTTACACCCATCTCTTGCACTTGCAAATCTTCCCATCTTTCTCTAAATAAACCACCAAGATTCCCAACCACGAAATCCCTCTTTCCATCTAATCACTCCGTCTCTCTCTACATTATACCCATCTACAACAAATTCAAATTCTTCAAACATCAGACAATATGACCACCGAAGTAAGTTCAAATCTATTTGCTGTTACCCCGAAAGTGTTTTAATTTCACTTTTCCCTTTATTTTGTTTCCCCTCCATTGTCGGTCTGCCAATATCCGAACCTTACCCTCCACTACCATCCAGCGGCATGTTTGTTGTTGTAGATTTGTTTGTTTACTCCTCTTGAGCTCATGCTAATACTTTGGTGATTTGCAGCGTGAAAGGTATGATTTGATTTGTTTCCATGCGGCTCCCAAATTCTCCTTTCCTCCACGTAAGTGGTACTAACGACTGCCCTACAGCAAGACTTTCCTTGCTAGGCTCTGCGAGCAGGCTGAGCGCTACGATGAGATGGTTACATACATGAAGGAGGTGGCCAAGGTATGCGACTCTATTTTTATTTGTTGCAGATTGCGGCGCGATGGAAATACTGATGATGCGTGACGCAGTTGGGCGGGGAACTCACCGTTGACGAGCGAAACCTCTTATCTGTCGCCTACAAGAACGTTGTCGGCACCAGACGTGCTTCTTGGCGCATCATCTCCTCGATCGAGCAGAAAGAGGAGTCCAAGGGTACCGATAAGCACGTTTCCACCATCCGTGATTACCGTCAAAAGATTGAGACCGAGTTGGAGAAGGTCTGCCAAGATGTCCTCGACGTCTTGGATGAGTCTTTGATTCCAAAGGCTGAATCTGGAGAGTCAAAGGTCTTCTACCACAAGATGTAAGTCTTATCGCTTCACAAGTCTGTGCGCCGGGTTCGACGGCTTCCAGAGCTCTTGACTGATGATTGTTATAGGAAGGGAGATTACCACCGTTATTTGGCTGAGTTTGCCTCCGGTGAGAAGCGCAAGGTCGCTGCCACCGCTGCTCACGAGGCTTACAAGGTATGCATCACTCTAACCTCATTTTCCAAGAATTTCATAAACTAATCATATAATTAGAACGCTACCGATGTCGCACAAACTGAACTCACCCCCACTCATCCAATCCGTCTTGGTTTGGCCCTCAACTTCTCTGTCTTCTACTACGAGATCTTGAACTCCCCAGACCGTGCATGCCATCTCGCCAAGCAAGCCTTCGATGATGCTATTGCCGAGCTTGACTCCCTTTCTGAGGAGTCTTACCGCGACAGCACCCTTATCATGCAACTTCTCAGGGATAACTTGACCCTCTGGACTTCATCTGACAACGGTGAAGCTGAGGCTGCTGGTGACGCACCAAAGGAGGCTGAGAAGGCAGTTGAGGCCGAGACCAAGGCAGACGAGCCAGCTACCGAAGCCGCACCTGCACCTGAATCTTAGATCTCTTTGTACTGTCTCGAAATCTCTTCGTCTTCGTTCTTTAATGTTGTTCATCTTCTGGAGTGGCTGGAATATACCTGGCTTGCCGGTGGAGTGATTGCAGCATGATGGCTGGGGGATAGGAGTTGATATGAAAAGCAGAATTAGGGTGCATATTTGCAAATACTTGCAATCTGTCAAAGGCACCAAGATTTTGTGAATCCTGATGATCAATGTTTTTTCTTTTCTGATTGCGATGTTTCCTTGCGGTCATTCTCACGTCAGTCACTTGTCTTTTTTAAACACATGGTTACCCTTTTCTCCTCATTCGCAAGAGACGAGGCTTCTCAAGGTTCCAAACGTACAAGTCTCTGCTCGATGGAATGCACAATTTCCCCTCAGAACACTCAGTGCCTATACGGTAGCACAATAGATTACCCAATTTCGTAATTTCTTTCAAAGTTTTTACAGATCGGGGCCTTGCGTACTCTGTGGTTGGCGTGCTTTTCTGGTCTAGATATCCCTCGGATTTCTTACATCCCAATGTTGTCATAGCGAAATAGCCTAACGTACTCACTTAACAATATCTTACCGTCTCCAAATCAATGTAATCGCTTGACAAGAATTGGGTTTTGAATCATTTCATGAACGGTGCGTGAAGGCAGAAGAGATTTTTGAATATGAATGTGACTGTGATTGTAGTATGATGTACATGTACCCGGTAGTAGACTATGTGACTTTAGATTCTAAGGTTGGGAATTATTGACTTGTGATCTTTTCGTGGATCTCCGGTTGTATGTTATGGTAGGGAAAGTTTATTGCCTGGAATATATACGACATATGAGCTTCATGGTTGGATTTGTCCTCACCCATCTTTATCCATTAGTGAGCTTCACTGTTGACCAATGCCTCATATCGAAGGCCATAGCTCTAGACATCCACGTGATCAATGATCTTTCACCCGCGCGGCGAAGAAGATTTAAGAAATGGACCGTACGGGTACGAGTACCTAGGTACCTACCTAGTCCAAGGCAGATTTGAGACGCGCAAGAATTGGAAAGCACGAATAATTCGTAACCTTCTTTTCATTTCATTTACTTACTATTTATATTATCCATTCCAAATGATTGCTTACTAAATGTTACTTTGCCTCCTCACGATAAACTTAAACTCAAACTTTGGCCATTTGGTTATTCCACTTTCTTCCTCCTCCTCTTCTTCTTCCTCATCCGATTTTCTATCAAACAAAGCGATTAAACCAAATCATAATAAGAATAAAAAAGAATAACACAATCAACACACCTCCTGGAGCTACCGTCAAAAATGGCATCATCCACAGAAGCAAGAGAACTAGAACTCGTAGGGAAAGTCGAAATGCGCATTGCGTTGGCTAAAGATGATAAGCTCGAATCGATGCTGAAAACATATTTGTCGCCACTGTTGCTGAAATTGGCGAGTGAGCATTTGAGTGTTAGGAATAAGGTGTGTACATGTGGTTTTTTTTTATGTGTGTGGTTTTTTGGGTTTTATTGGAGGGTTTGTGGACTTGGGGAGGAAAGGGGAGGTATAGGTGGGATGGCGGGAAGTGGGAAGAGGAGGGGAGGGAAGAAGAAAGGAGGGGTTTATGTTGTTATTTTTGTTGGACTTGACATGCAGTTCCAAGGAGTCTGTTTTCATGGTAGTGGTTTGTATGGACGGGGAAGGAGGGGAAAGACTTTCACTTCAATGTCCCTATATCTCATCTCCATATATCTCATCTCCAAATCATCTCTTTCCATGGTAGTGGCCTGGACTGAGAAGGGCGATCGCTAGAATGGGTTAACGAGAGAGGAGGGTTTTCATGTCAACTTCCTTATTTATATTTTGTTTTCTCTCATACCCAAATGTTCTGCCTTCACGGCAGTGGCCCCAGAGGGCCAGCGGAGCGTCATTTATTTTCCTTAGTTTTTGTGTAGATAAATTCTCTATAGCTGACACATTGCCGATGAAACTAATTATTGGGAATATTTGCTGATTTGCTCATCATAGGTTATATCAACATGTCAACATATCAAAATTCGCCTTGCTGGCAACAAGTTAGTGGTTCCTGCTTAATCGTTTTGACCATTCACTAATTAACTCTTAGGGATATTGTTTTGCCAGTGGCAGCTCTCTTAAAACAATATAAAGAACATCCAGAGTCATCAATGTTACGGCATTTTGATCTTATGTTCATTCAACAAAGTGTAGGCAAATTGTCTTCTAAGGTGCGTACCAATCCATCACATTTTTGCGGGGTGACCAATCTAATCTCTATCCAGGAACAAATGGACTTAATACCTACATTAATACATGGTTTGGCTCAAGATTCTGAAAAGCCAACTTGTGCTACCATATTTAATTTGTTTCTTCGTCTGTTACCGCAACTGAAAGTACCTTCTCGTGGTAGTAAAGAAGATACGGAATTGAGGCACCAGCTAGGTCTTGATGAACATCAAGAAGACTCAAAATTTATAGCATCGTGGTTTGGGAAACTTGTACTACTCTCAGTTGTACGAGCAGCGCCATCTGGAGTGACGTGTCCGGGACTTACGGTTAAAGAGTACGAATTTTTGACGCTTAATGGAAAACAAGAAGCATGGGATCCAAGCTCAGATGAAGGTTTGAATCTTACACAAACAAAAATCACAGTTCTAAATTTCCTCGCCTCTGGTGCTTTCACAGATGAAGAGCGATTCTTACCTGCGTTGTTTGCATCTGCCGACACCAACTCTCGGATTTCGAGCATTGGTGACGACCTAGTGAAGCGTTCAAGCGTTTCATTGGAGGATACTGACATGGTACGCAATTTGCTTGGTATCTATTTCACTCTCAGACCGGCGTTAAAGACGAGAGTGCTTGTACTCTTAACAAAATCCGCTATTTCAACTACTTTTCCTATTGACATTGTCAAAATTGTGCAAGATGGAATTCAACCTGATGACAACACAAATCTCCCTGCGCCAGGTTTAGAGTCTATTAAATTTCGAAATGCATTGTTCAACTATATGAATTGGGCATCTCGCATGGGATCGGTTCATGATCTAAGTCAAGTCGCACCACAGCTTGTTGGATTTTTGAGAACTTATATAGAAGATCAAGGCTGGCCGGTGCCTCACGAGAGATCCTCTGATGCAGCTTCATTACGCGCTTTAGCTTATGAAACTCTTGGTTCACTTGCTAAAACTACACCTTCAATCGTTGTTGAGGAGAATCTTTCTCTGATCCGTTGGCTATTTCGATCACTCACAGAAGAAGGATCATCCGATGATATCTTTGTGAGCATAGAAGGAGCACTAGCGAGTTTGTTGAGTGCGTTCAAGTCGCCTTTATCTTCAAATCTCCGAGATGAACTCAGATTGCTGCTTCTCAAGTACATGACACTCAAAGAAGAGGGCGAGATTGTCAGAAGTGCTCGTTTTGCAACTGTTCGTTGGGCAAATCGATGCTTGGAGTATAGTGATATTGTGGCTCGCTGGATAGATATTCTCGCTCTTAGTGCACGCACAGATGAGCGAAGCGATGTTGTAGAGGAAGGCGCAAAAGGTTTGGTGAGCTTTTTTTCTATACGTATTTCGATGGTCTGAATAGCCGGTCGACGATTAGATACTCTCCGTTATTAGCCTCATTTTATGTACGGAAATTCTTGGTATAATCGAGCTACCCTCAATTGAGGTCTTAGAAGCATTCTTCTTTGGCTACTCCGAATTATTGGAAACCCTGTACTTAGAAGTCAAACTAATATCATCTAGGACCCATACTGGTATCGACTTCTCAATTCCACCGGCGCCTCGGTCGAATGTCCGCTTCCTGAATGGAGCGAGATGATTAAAGTCTTTTTTGGTACCCAGGCCTTGGTTGAGAATTCCAATATCGCTAATGCTATGAAAACTGGTATGCAAGTTGACAGCGTGTCTGTGTTTGGCAATTTCTCCGGGACAAGGATAAATGCTTTCCCAGCAGCCATAAACTATAGTAGGAGAATATTATTACTACGTGCTTTGGAGAAGACCGACACACCTCTTGGAATCGATGCAGATTGGGAACGCCAATTAGACGTGCTTTTTCGCTCTGATAAGGGTTCAAGAAAAGCCATGAAAGACCACATTATGACTGTTGATCAGGACGCATTACACACATATCTGTCGGCAGCTTTTGAGGGTATGCTACGCAATGATGGAAACGGATTAGGAGAATGTGGCAAATGTTTCGTAGAAATCGCTTCAATCGCGCCAAGTAATGTTATAGGTCGACTGGCAGACAGAGCTATTGAGCTCTTACCGTCCATTAGATCTAACAATGTTGCAACTCGATTCCTGGCAGCTCAGGCTATTGGTATTCTTGCACCTCATCCAGATAGAGATGAGGAATCTCTCAAGAAGCTTACTGGGACATTCATGACGGACGTGGAGCCTTGGTCAACGGCTGTAGGTGCTGATGCTAATAAAGTACATGGATCGATTCTTGCACTCGGCTATGTGTTGAGTAGGGCATCGTATTACGGTCGTGATAACTTTGTTGAGGGAGATATTGTTAGAGGAGTCCTCGCACAACTTCTTTCCATAATTGAAGGTGTCAGGGATGCATCAACAAGAGAAGCCGTGCTGAACGCCATTGGCCAGACGAGTGCATCTGCAGTTTTGACAACTGATATCATAGAGAAGTCATCACTCAAGGTCGACGGGCTTATTAAACTTCTGCTTGCTGAAGCTAAAAAGGGGAATGAAAAGGCAATGTCAACTCTAGGTAGACTTTCCATCATATTTGATGAGCCCGCAACTTCTGCAGAAGATGGTCCGCTTCATACCATTATTAACGGTCTTTATGACCTGTATGAGCTGAAGCAACCTGAAATTCACTTCACTATAGGTGAAGCTCTTAGTTGCGTCGGTTCTTGTTGGGAATCAGATGTCTTACAGATCAGCCTGGACGTTGATGCTAAATATGATGGACGCTCTAAACGATCGCATATTTTCGAAAAGATCCTTGAAAAGCTTTTACAGGACTGTAAGACCACAAAACCGTCACTTAAAAAGGCATCTGGTATATGGCTCTTCTGCTTGATTCAATACAGTGGACATTTGGAGCAAATACAAGCCCGACTACGAGAGTGTCAAGCTGCGTTTATGGGTTTGCTCTCAGCAAGAGAAGAAATCGTACAAGAGACTGCTTCTCGAGGTTTGAGTCTTGTTTATGAACAAGGTGATAAAGAACTTAGAGAGAGACTTGTTAAGGATCTTGTGGCAAGCTTTACGGGCACAAGCACTCAGATTAAAGTTCATGAAGAAACTGAACTATTTGAACCTGGTGCGCTTCCTACTGGGGAGGGTAAATCTATTACCTCTTATAAGGATATTGTAAGCCTCGCCAACGAGGTTGGCGATCAAAGTTTGGTCTATAAATTTATGTCGCTCGCTACAAATGCGGCTACCTGGTCTACTCGAGCAGCATTTGGCCGGTAAGTAATTGGTTATTTAGCGTCACATTTCAGGATTTCCAACTATTCAACACCAAACCTATCTCGAAAAATTGCTGACCCTCTAATTTTTACAGATTTGGTTTAAGTAACATTCTCTCCGAGTCCGAAATCGATCCTAAGCTATACCCAAAATTGTATCGATACCGATTTGATCCAAACCCCAACGTCCAGCGATCCATGAATGATATCTGGAGTGCACTCGTCAAAGATTCAAATGCAACTGTCAATGAACATTTCGATGAGATCCTCACGGATTTATTAAAGAGCATTCTAGGAAAGGAATGGCGAACAAGAGAGGCAAGTTGTGCTGCTATTGCTGATCTTGTTCAAGGTAGAGATTTTGAGAAGTATGAGAAATATCTAAATGATATTTGGCATGTGGCCTTTAAGGTTCTGGATGATATTAAGGGGTCGGTGAGGAAGGCAGCGTTGTCGCTTAGGTATGTTGTGATCTTTTTCGTAGTCGAGATGTCTAACGAAGTTTGGATGTTTTGTCTTTCATATTTCCTGTATTCTCTTGCTTATCTCCTCCCATGGACTCTGACTCAAAGCCTTTGGTTTGAACCGGTGCTTTGACTTCTTTGCTTTACTCCACAATCCTCCGACATGCATTTACTAACTCCTATGTTCTAGTATGGCTCTTACTGGCATACTTGTCCGACAAGTAGAGGCAGGTACATCTTCAAAGCATGCGCAAGCAATGCTAAAAGATGTTTTACCATTCTTACTTTCAGATCAAGGTCTAGAAAGCTCCGCCGAAGAAGTCCGAACTTTCGCAACCATTACCGTACTCAAACTTATCAAGAGTGGCGGCAAAGCACTTCTTCCATTCGTACCCAATCTTGTCGAGCGACTATTGGGTCTTTTGAGTACTATGGAAATGGAGGGTATTGACTACATATACCTACGCGCCGCCCATTACAATCTCACGGAAGAGAAAATTGACAGTGCCCGCACAAACGCTGTTACTCAATCTCCTCTCATGGAAGCTATAGAACGTTGTCTTGACACAATCGACGAACCAACCATGAAAGAGTTTGTTCCTCACCTCGAAAACGTTATCAAGACCACGGTTGGTATGCCCTCCAAAGTCGGCTGCGGTGGTGTCCTTGTCAGTCTCGCGACTCGCCATAGTGTCACTTTCCGTCCTCATGCCGATCACTTTCTAAAAATCCTTGAAAAATCTGTCCTTGATCGTAACAATGCTGTCAGCGCATCTTATGCTCGTGCAGCTGGCTATGTCTCTCGACTGGCTTCGGATAAAGCACTTCTCAGACTTCTCACTTATTCTCAAGACCTTTACTTTAATGCAGAAGATGAAACTCGCCGTCAAGTGTCATCTGATTTGATTTATGCTGTGTCCAAATTTGCGACCGATCATTTCAACTCCTTAGCATCAGATTTCCGTAAGTTTTATCCGTCCTCTTGATGGCTAGCCTTGTTTCATATTCTACGATGGTTGAACATCAATCTAGTGATAAACATTACTGACTCTGTATTTTACAGTTCCCTTTGTATTCTTCGCTAAACACGATTTTGATGATGCCACTAAGAAGCAATTCGAGAAAACTTGGGATGAAAATGTTGGTGGAAGCAGAGCAGTCTTGTTATATACAAGAGAAATTAATGAGCTAGTACTCAAACATATTGAGTCACCCAAATGGACCATTAAGCACACAGCAGCTTTAACCATTGCTGACGTTGTCAAATCCACAACTTCTACCACAACCCCCATGATTCCTGCAGAAACTTCTGCACTCATTTGGCCTCCTCTGGAAAAAGCTCTCGCGCTTAAAACTTTTGCTGGCAAGGAAATCGTGCTAGAGAGTTTTACAAAATTCGTAAAGGCTTCTACTGCATTCCTAGATGTCGAGTCCAGTATTGCGGCTCAAACTAAGAAGATTGCTGTCAGAGAAGCTAAACGCAACAATGATATCTATCGGCCATTCGCCTTTACAGAATTGGGAAAGTATGCAGAAGCTAGAACCGACGTGGATATGTGGGATGAGATTCACAATATCGTTGCACCTACATTGGAAGAATTAAGTAGTGAAGATCATATGGATACATCTACTTCGGCTTCTGACTCCAAAAAGAAAGATGGAGCGAGCAAAGGAGGAGAATCTACCGAATCGGCAACAATAAGTGCAGGTATTGAAGCTCTATTCCGAGGAATCAATATAAAACATCTCGATCCATCACCTCTTACTCATCTTCCAAAACTCCTCGAAAGTATCACTCCTCTTCTCAAATCACCTCTCATGACAATTAGTACGCGTTCAACACTTTACGAACGTGTTAAAGTGTTATTTGACGGGTTAAGAAAGAGAACGCATGCGCAGAAGGAAAAGGAAAATAATTCTAAAATGTGTGCGGGATTTTTCAAGATACTGGAATTGGATAGTGGAGCTGGTAGTGAAGGGATTAGGATTAAGAGGGGAGAAGCGGCGGAAATGATTGTGGAGGCGTGGAAGGGTGGAGTTTTTGGTATGTGGAAGGAGGGGAGAGAGGAGGTGGGGAGTAGTATGGTGAAACGCCTGGATGGGGCGTTGGAGGGGGAAAGAAATGAAAGTGTGAAGGTTGTTTTGAGGAGAGTGAGGAAGTTGTTGGAGGAGTAGGGGAGGGGATGCTGTTGGTATTGGTATTTAGAGGAATGGTGGGTGATGTAGGTTCAGTGGAAGGGGAAATATGGGTAGGTAGTAATGTAGAGAGTAAATACAATCGATTCGATTCTATACTATGGTAGGAAAAGAATATCTCATTACAATACTTGGTTATATATATCAGGAACTTGCGAAACGAAATTCCTGCTAAATTTGCCAAGATGCACAACCTTCTTTTACATGTATATTTTATATATAAAATATATATCATCCTACATTGCGAACTTACCAGCTCCTCCATAAATGCCTTTGCACCTTGTATGAGCTAGGTAGTTTGACCTCAAAGCTTAATACTGATAGACATCTCTTCGAGCCCAATGCTCTATTGGCATCTGAAGGCATAATTGCAGAAGATGTTGGGTAGGTAGTTTATGATGAAAAAGGCATTATTGTGAGATAGCAAAGCTGAATTTCCACGCATAGCGCGAGATAACGGCGAAAGGGCCCCACGGTTCGAGGACAGGTCCAAGGACTTCCGAGGGCGCTCCGTAGGTAGTGCAGCTTATATCAGCTGGGGAAACATGAAGAAAAAACACAGGAAATCTCACTGCACATATTGAGACTCGATAATACATATTGCATGTCATTAATCGCTCCATATCACAACGACCTGAAATGCGGCTTGTAGTGTTGCTCTTCGCCCACAAACCATGCTGCATACTCTCTCGATTTCCATGTTCAGTCTCGCGTGTACTAGCGGTCAGGAAGGGGGTACCGGCTATGAGCAAACCTGCTTTTCGGGGATAGACTTGCAGAATCTAGTCTCGATCGTCGAGCAAGTATGATATAAGATTTGATTCATGGTCATGATCATGACCGGACCTGGGAATTATTGTTGGTGATTCATGTTTGAATACAAATGCAAATCCAATCCAAATCTCAATAAGGCTAGGCCTGGCACTTTCTGAGTGGAGCGATCTCTAAGGGGAGAACAGAAATCAAGCAGAAGGAATGAAACCCGATTTATTAGTAAAGTAGAAAGGATTTTGATGATTGTACGTAGTTATACACAAGTTCATGAGTAAGGTGTGAGATTATGAGGACATTCCCTTATGATTATAATCACACCCCGAAATTTAGCTTCATTTGATCGAATCTTCACTAAGGACGCACCCTCAACAAGTTAAAATAATTGGATTTGCACCTTTTCTTCCGTGCCAACCGCATTACGGCAATTTCAATCATCCTTCGTACACTCAGATCAGACGACCATATCAAAGTACAAGTAAAGTATAGCAAAATACAAGTACTGCTTCCATTATTTTTGAGTTTGCGGCCTGAATGGATCACTGTCTTGGCGCGCTGACTTTCCTACTGGTCCGCTGCCTTTGGTCAATGTTGGTTGAGAGCGTACAACCTTCGAGGCGGTCCCCTTCCACTGGGACTGTGAATTGGCGGGTTAATTACCCAGGTATACAATGTGCCTTTTCCATTGTGCTCGACTTTTTACTTGCTACCACTTCGAGTACCGATGGTGTTCTTGAGATATCATAGTCAAAGTATGTGGCTTTCTTGGTCTGATGGATGATTGTGCGGGGATCGGGAAATAGGTGATATCGATGTGGATGAAATTATCTGTGTTTGAGATCTCACTGTAATCATTCAACCAATATACAAAAAGGCCTTGCTGCTATTTAACCTGGGCGACGTTTAGATCGAGTGGTCTGATCTTTGCACACTATCGTCGTGGCAATACTGTTGAACTCCTGTCAATGCTCAAATTTATCGAATTTCACACGGCAAGCGATTGTTCATGGCATGGAGTTGATGTATCTGCCGGTGCGTTCACTCACTGTTGGTGATAGAACTATTTTTTTATATGAATGCTAACTGTTAGCCTGGGCGAGTTTCTCATTTCTCTTCCACTGCGCCAATCCCCTATTCTCCTGTTGCCTTTCGTGCTATGCACGATCAAATCCAACAGTGTGTACTCAACCTTTTTTTTTTTCTTCAAACATTTGCTTCCAGCATTTCCGCCCTTTTGGTGCTGCAATTTTACATACATTGCTACGCCAATAAACTAGTTCGACTTTGACATCCTTACTCATTCTCCTGGGAAAGCTTTCGGCTTTATTTAACATTGTGTAGGGAAGCAACTTGATGAGCTGTCGTAGTGTCTTCTACATGCAGTGGAGGTTGGAACTTGTTTTTCTCTTCTCCGAGCCTCGAGACTCGTTGATATGCTCCTTTTGTTGATCATAGTTCTGGTATGTTTGAATATTAAAAATTTTGTAACACCGGAGAAAGTATCTCTAGTGTCATGCGAGGAATCATTGGATTACTTTTAGAGCGTCAGCACAGCGTGATCGCACCAGGCCGAGCCGGGACGGAGACGTGCGAGCCCCGGCCGCGTCTGATGACCTCCTTCCCTCCCTTTAGAACTTCCTACATAATCTCCGAATCAACTGCCTTACCGATTCATTTCTTTAGAATATTAAGTTTCGGTCCTATTACATTACTATTATTGTTGACCACCCTGTTCTTTTTCAAGCTTTTTGTATTTGCCGTTCATGTAAGGATCGCTTCTCTCCTTTTCCGGTAAGCTATGATAGAGCCAAGCCGTAGTTCTAGCTTGCTCCGGAGTTCATACTTCTTTCACTGGCTCTTTAGATATCAAAATAAGAGTTTCCCAAATTTCATGACAAAAAACTTGTCCGTGTCGTTGATTCAAGCTTCTCTTCAGCTCATAACACGGTCCACGAATGGCGGCTGATACCGGGGTTAAATGTTTCAGTAGTTAATACAGATCTTTCTTACATATCTAGTGACACAGATTCGAATTCAACATTAACTAAACATAAACAAAAAAACTCTACGAAGCATGAGACAACTGATACTTCAACCATGAGAATTTGCTAGTATAAATTACGTGATATTCCTCACTTCATTTTATATTATGCCTCACTTCTTTCATGCGGTAATCATAATTTGTGATTCAGACGGTTGGTAACGAGACACGGCCATTTTCCGGCCTTACATCGGTGCCAGGATGTTCAAGTGATACCAGATGACCATGCGAGCCCATCTTACTGGAATGCGGGGTGCAGGGTGGATAAATATACATTATGAGACATGTGGCTTCGAAGGCTTATCCGCTTATTTGGTTTGTGGAGAGGAAGTTCAAGAAGTTCAGGAACTCCATTTAAACCTTCAGTTGTACGGAGTACGGGGTTTGAACTTTTGAACATAACCAATCATGCTCTTGCGAATATATACTTTTGAAGTTGTTGGTGAGATATTGGAACAAACGCTTGAATTAGGCTGTGGTATAATAAAAAGGATTCTATATGAAACCGATGAAAGCCCGTCTCCGCCATTACCTGACGTCGTGTTTATTGATGCATGGCTTTGGTTAACACAAACTTCAAAATGCAACTTTTGTTTGGCACCACAGATGAAGTACCATTTATGTTCGTCTGACCAACTCGAACCTTGAAACTGCAATCTCATCGCACAAAAATGACATTTCCCGTCTCTTGACCATGGTCCAACGATGCAGTTAAGGGAGATATGATTCCGAAATATCGTTGATTCGACAGCGCATAATGCCTAGGTAGGTACTAGCTAAAAGTGCCGCGGCTCCCGATTCACTTTTGCATGGTATAATAGTTCCGGTAATTTCTGTGCTCGTATGACTTCCCGGCAATTCAGGAGATCATTCAGGTTAAAATCGGATTGGAATCTGGGGAAATTTGTGGGGATTAAGAAATCTATTTCTACCTGTCGATCTTCTTAAGACAGATGAGTTAGACCTCCAGATTTTCATCTTTCAATCAATTCTGACAGCAAACTTTCCAGTTTTGTCTTCAAAATGCGTGCCTCTCAAGCACTTTCCATCGTTGGATTTGCCCTAACAGCAACTTGCATGACAATCAAGCGTCAAGATGAGCAAACCAATCTCAAGAGACAGGGCTGGACATCAGCTGGCTGCTATACCGATAATGTTTCCGGTCGTGCTCTGACTACCCCAGGAGGAATACCTGGAGGACCCAGCGGTATGACCAATGAAGCTTGTCAAACTGCTTGTGCGGGAGCTGGTTTCTCGTGGGCAGGTACCGAGTACGGAGGAGAATGTTGTACGTCAATTTCTTTTCCGGTTACCTCACAAATCTTACTGATTATTCATGAATAGGGTGTGGCAACTCAGTCATCAATGGAAACGGACCTGCCCCAGATGGAAATGCTGGTTGTAACATGGCCTGCAAGGGTAATGGCGGACAAACATGTGGTGGTCCAAATCGTCTTACTGCGTTTCAAACTGGTGGTGGATCTAGCACGCCTCCCTCCAACCCTGCTCCAAGCAAATCTGGCAAACGTGGTTTAGCATTTGATTCCAATAATAAGTATGGTGATGCGAGCTTCGGTAATATGTTCAAGCAATACAGTAAGGTTAGTTGGGGTTATGATTGGGGATATACGAATCATGGTTTAGATTCAAGTCTTGATTTGTGAGTTACTTTGATTTTCTTCCTCTTCTCTCTTTTCCTTTCTTTGTATTCCTTGATTAAAAAATACGATATCGAATGAAACTAATAACATTCTCAGCGTTCCGATGCTTTGGGGTAACCCCAAAGCCGTTGATCAGAATTGGGTTACAGCCACCCAGAGTGCGAAGAGTGTCCTCGGCTTTAACGAACCAGATCTCACTTATGAACAATCTTCCAACATGCTTCCTGAAGTAGCAGCTCAAGGATACAAATCATGGATTCAACCATTCGCAGGTCGGGTTCGCATTGGTGGCCCTGGTGTTTTATGGAACAATTGGAATAGTGTAAGTAATTACCTCTCTTAGATATCCGATACCCATCAAGTGCTCTTGACATTACCTCATTCTCATTTGCCCCACGGTACCTTACTAAACCCCATTTAGTGGTCCTCAGGCGGCGGCTACAGTTCCCGCGTCTGGACTCAATATTTCATGGGCAATTGTACCGGGTGCCACATCGATTTTGCCGCCATCCACTATTATCAAGACTGTGTTCCCACATCGGGCGCATCTGGAACGGATTGGTTTATCGCCAATGTAACAAATGCTCACGATACACTCAAAATGCCCATCTGGATTACGGAATTCCAATGTTATGGCACGGATGAGCAACAGGCGCAATTCTTGAGGACGGTTTTGCCCTGGTTGGATAGTCAGAGTTGGGTCGAGAGATACGCGTATTTTGGGGCTTTTCCGAATTTTTTGCTTAATGTTGATGGGTCGGCTTTGAGTCAGGCGGGTCAGGCGTATGTTAATTAGGGATGGGATGGGATGATTGGTTATCTTAGAGGTTAGGGAATGGTGGTTGGTTTGGCGGGCGGCTTTCTGATGGAGCTTTTAGTTTGGGTTTTTACTGATCTATTAACCTTATCTGAAGAGGTTGCAGATACCTTGGATATGAATAATTTAGGGTTATTCGATAAAAATCCAACTTCTTAGAAGTTAGGTTTGATCAGTGGGTAATTAAAATGTTGCAATGATATCTACCTACCTACCTACCTACCTACCTATCTAGGAAAGAGAGTGAGACTCAAAGTGTATGCAATTATCTCATGTACCTTATATTAAATTGCGTCTTAGAATTATAATTCTGATGTAGATAGTTGGAATGAGATGTTAGTGGTATTATAAACCTAAGATATAAGTCCCCTACTCTATATTCCGGCCACCCCCTTATTCCGGCCACTTTCCTTATCAAAAATGACGAAAATCAATATTTATAATTTTCTTATTTATATATATATACTTCAGCTTTTTTCTAATGATTATTATATGTACTAGATCGATTGTTATTATTATTTTCTATTTTTTATATATATTTTATTTACTAGCTTAGACTGGCTTTTATTATTAAAATATAGTATATTCTTGAATATCTAACAAGGTTTAATACCACCCCCCTTGTGTATATAAACCGGCTTTAGAGTCTGTTTAATTTCTTCTCTCTTTAGTTTTTATAATAAGTGTTTCTTGCCTCATTGTCTTGAAGCCTTCTCGCTGGTTAGCCAACAATATATATATAATATACTACACTCTTTACAAATTGAGTTTTGCATTCTGTTTTACAATCCCGATTCACACTCAACAAGATACTCACTCAGCTTCTGTCCTAACTCGAAAAATTCAATCGCGACCAAAAACTAACTAAATCTAGTACCCTACTTTTAGGCCACCCTCCCTTCCTTTTGTTACGACCACGGATCTTACACTAACCGATCGTATATATACAAGATACGATTTGAGCGATTTAGTATAGGATTGAGGTGATATAGGGAACAAATATATATAAACCTTATTAAACTTGAATTTATAATAATTACAGAGTTATATATATTAAAGCATTGAAGATTCAAAGACTTTTATATTTCAAAAGAGTAATAGAGGTTCGAAAGCTTTATAACTCTTAAATATAAAGATTTATATAATTAAAAAAGATTCTTTATTATAAAATATTATACTCAAAATCAATCATTTAATATACTTTATTATTAGTTACGAATTGCAACTATTGATATTATTTTAAAGCTTTTAATTAATATTTTTATATCTTATATAGTTTTATATCTTGTTGTAATGATCTGGTCGAGGCAGCGGCTGCCTGAGGTTTTGTATAGTTGGTAGTTGTAGGTTAAGGCTAATAATCATTGGTTATCTATTTGAAGATGAATACATTACTAGATCAATTGGAATATAAATAAATTAATTGATAATTAAATTGAGTATGAAATTCCTAAACTATAAAACTATTCTGATTATATACTAATCCATTTCGAGAGTTTTCAAAAGCATAAGTTCTTATAAGTTTCTTGAAGTTCTCAAAAGTATAAACTTCTTGAAGTTTTATTATATAATTAAAATCAAATTATATATCCAAGTTTATTAAAGATAAGGAAATTATATAAAACAATTGTTATACAAATTTGTATACAAATTATTTTGCTTTTTAAGAAAATCTAAATTTATAAAGATAAATTGATTATTACTTTATAATATTCTATAAAATGATTTCGTAATATTATTTTCTTCTTAATCAAATATTGTTTTTAATTATTTATAATTAATATATAATTTATTAGTTTTTGTTGTTTTATATTTTGATTCTTTTTTTTATTATAAATGATTTATAATTTAACAAAATTCATCAAGAGAATAAAGAGAAATTTTATTTTATAATTAAAATCAAGAATTCTGATATTAAAATGATTTTATATATTTATTATTATATAAAGAATCTTCATTATATAAAAATTCTAAATAATTTGTAAAAGATTTATTATTCTAAATATATACAATCTTATACTCTTTACAATATAAAATAATATTTGAAAAATGATTAGAATAAAAAAGTCCTTTGAATAAATAATTAAGAATCTTTAGATAAACAAAAAGAAAAACTTTGTAAAAAAGAAGAAAAGATTATAACTAAAATTCTTTATTTTCAAAAACAATAAGATTATTTATAAAATTATTATAAAAAGATGATTAAATAAGATCTCAAATATCTTAATAAATTAAATACTTTAAAAGAAAAAAAGAGAAAAGAAAAAAAGAAAATTGTTATATCTTCAATATTTATTGTTAATTCTGATTCTTTTGATTAATTTGATCAATTTGATCAATTAATCTTTAATCAATTTGATTAATTATCAATTAACTCTATCAATTTTAACAAAATTCCTATAAACGAATTCGATTCTTTTAATTCTTTTTTATAGAAAACAATGAATTCTTTTTCCTTTTGAATAAATCCGGATTTTGTTAATGAAACTTTTAAAACCTTTTCAGATATTTAATCTTTTTCTCAAGTTCTTATATATTTTCGAAATCAAAATAATCTTCTTATTTCATTAAATACTTGATTTTGTTTTTAATATATTTATAATCTAATATTTTTTTTATTTTATATTCGATATTTTAATTTATAAATATAATTTCTGTTTTGAAAACTTTTAATACTTTTAAAAATACTAATTCGAATAAAGATATATAAAATATTAAATATATATTCATACTTTTCAATAATATCAATTTATAATTCGAAGATTCTTTAACTTTCTTAATTTTAAATAATCTGAATTTTTTGTAATCCAACTTTGTATTAGATTTTTTTGTTTTGATATTTTTTCAAAATAAATAAACTTTATTCTTTTCTTTTAATATTAACTTTTAATTATATTTCCAATTATAATAGTATATATTTCTTTCGATAATGAATTTTAATTCTATTATTATTTCCTTATAGATTTCTTTGAATCTTTTTGTTTATATTATTATAAATTGGTTTTCTATTTTTGTAATTCCTAATTTACAATATACAATTAGTTTATATTTATAGTTGATATAATTCGAAATGATTTGTATTATTTTTGATATAGAATTATTGTATATGAATATAACGATCCGGTCGAGGCAGCGGCTGCCTCAGGTTTTCGTCTGGTTGGTAGTTGTAGGTTAAGGTTAATAATCATTGATTATCTATTCGAAGATGAATACGTTATTAAATCAATTGAAATATAGATAAACTAATTGATAACTAAGTTGAGTATAAAACTTTTAAATTATAAAACTATTCTGATTATATACTAATGAATATAAAGGAGTTTTGTAAAACCTTAGAACTTCAAAAAGCTTCTGGAGCTCTAGGAGCTTTCGAAGTTCTTAGAGCTCCTTATCATATAATTAGGATCAGATTATATATCCGAGCTTGCTAGAGGTGGGGAGATTATGTAAGGCGATTACCATACAAATTTGTAAACGAATCGCTTTGCTTTTCGATAAGGCCTAAGCTCATATGGATACGTTGACTATTGCCCCTCAATATATCCTTATCTTAATCGTAAATCGTGACAATGAATTATACTAAAAATAAAAATTCTATTTAATTGTTTTATTGATAATTTATATAATATTGAAAATAAACTTTGATAATTTGATTTACTTTTTTATTCCTTTTATTAGTTTATAAATAGAATATAATAAATATTTTTCTTTTTATTTCTAATAATATTATTAAAATAATCCAAAATTTCGATATAAAAATTTTATCTTTATTAAAAAGTATTTCCTTTAATAATCTATATATTATAACAATTTTTTTCAAAAATATAAAAATTAATATTTTTATAATTAATATTATTTGATATAATACAAGTATTAAATATTTCGTTAGTTTATTTATTATAATAAGAAAGTAATTGTATATCATTTTTGTTATTAAATTTTTAAACTTTGATAATAGATTTATAAAATCTTATAATATTGATTTTCATAATATAGATAGTATTTCGGTAATATTTATTTGTTTATAAAAAATATAACAGAAAGTTTTATTTCTAATATAAATATTATATTCGATGATCATTTTATTGATTATATTTCGGAATCTCGAATTTCAATATTGTTTTTTGATTCTTAAATATATTCTTTGTATTCCTTAATATTTATAAATTGATAATATATATTGTTTTATAATATATTCAGAAACGATATTATTTAATAATTATATTTTATTTTCTATTTGAAACAATCTATTAACAATTATTAATAATTCTGATTATTTAATATTTTCTTTATTTTATTATACTTTTACAAATTTATTCTTTTAGATCTTTGTTAGTTTATTCTTTATAATAACAATTTTTGTTAAATTAAAAATAAGATCTTTATTTAATAAGGATTTCAAGATTGTTGTTTTTTAATAAGTTTTATTGTTTTTATATTCTAATAATCTATTCAAAGTATCCGTTTTTGTATTATCTTTATCTTTAATATATTTGATTATCAAATCAAATCTTATTAATTCCTCGATCTATTTAACTAATCTATAATTATCCAAGATCTTAATAGTAATAAAAATTCGAAGATTTATATAATCAATATAAATAATTATTAGGAATTTAATCTTTTGAAAATAGATCTTTTAATATTTTAATATTTTTATAATAACCATGAATTCCTTTTTATAAATATTATAATTTCCTTTTATTTTATTTATTTTATTTGAATAATAAATAATAGAATATAATTTCCTATTATCGTTTTTTTGTAAATAGATTTCTATTATATAAATATTAAAAACATTTATCTCAATGATATTTTCTCAATCATTATAATAATCAAAAAAAATAAATTCTCTTATAAATCTATTCTTAATTTCCTAGAAAACCTATTTTATTTTTTCATTTTATATAAAAATTATTTCTTTTTTGATTATTTCGATAAAGAGTTCTATTATTTTCGAGAAATCTTTTATAAATATTTAATAAAAATTAACAAATCCTAATATAGATTATATTATAAGAAAGTTAGAATTATAAACCAAATATATAAAGGTTTTAACTAGTCAATTATATAATCTTTTATAATTAGATATAAAAGAAGAGTCTTTTACTTTTTCTTTTCATAATAATCAATTTTCTATATATATATATTTGAATCTATATAATATCAATCCCAAAACCATTATAAACCCTGTTTTACCCATAAATGATATATTATAATATAATCTAATTCAATTTTCTCTTTCAATTCTCTTCTTACAATATACTATTAGAATATATATATTTCGATCTATCACTTTTATAATAATGATCTACATAAAAAAGTCGAGCTATATTGTTTACAAAATATACAAAATCAATTTATAAGAATATTATATTGAAAAAGAAAATAAAATTAGCTATCTATTGATAAAGGGATAAAATAGATTCTGAAAGGATGAATTTTTTAAAAGTAAAAATACTAAACAAAAAATAAGGAAGGTTTAGATTTCTAATCATTTCTATTCTTATTAATTTATTATATTATAAATAAATAATTTATTGTTAATCTATCTATTTATATTTTATATAAAAAATTTATATTAATAAAGTTTTGTTTAAAATTAGATTTTAATAATTTATAAAAATAGAAAAGATTTGATTTTGAAATAAACTTGACAAAATGTAATTAATTAAATTGAAAGATTTTATATATCTTATAATTAAACAAAGTATCTCGTTATTTATTTATAAAATGATATTTAGAAAAATTAAATTGTAGTATATAGAATTGTTATTCCCGATATCGATATTCAAAAATTTAGAATATATTCTAAAAAACTCTTAAATAAAAAATTTAGAATCTATATAATCCTTTTATAAGAAAGAATATTTTTAAAGGAATTATTTAAAAACTTCTTTATCTTTTTTGAATTTTATAAAAAGAAAAATATAAGTAATAAAGATTATTGAGAATTTAAGATTGATTCAGATTCAAATATATTTGATATATATCCTTTGATCTAATAATTATATAAAACAAATCTATTATTATTCAAAATTTATTATTATCCTATTATTATAAAAAACCTTGATTAATTTAAAATTTGTTTAAAAAATATCTTTTAAAAGTTTTTAAAAATATTTATTTTTTATAATTTTAATAAAAATCTCTTATTAATCTAAAAGAAATTATATTAAAAAAATAAAAATGATTTTAAGAAAAAAAGAATCAAGAAAGCTAAAAATGATAATAATATAGATCAATCAACAGGAGCCTGTATATCAAATCGAAATATTATAAATTATATATATATATACTTTATTATATTCTATACAAAAAGCTTCAATATCTCTATCTTCAATAAAAATAATATCTTTGATTTCTTTATAATATAAAAGACCTTATAAACTAATTATAATATATCCAATAACAAAATACAAATTCGTTTTTCTTGATATTATAATAAAACTATTTCGGTTTAAATAAAACTTATATCAGAATACAACTTTATTAATTATAATTAAAAAAAAGAACTCTATCTAACTCTTTTTCATCACTTTTACAATTTCGATATTCAACAAATTACTAATATTTACAATTTCTTGAATCAATTTATCAACATTTAACAATTCAAATATAAAATATTTTATAATACAAACCCAATCTTGATTAAAAATTATATTATTAAATTCATCTTTTCCACAAACTAATTTATTGAAAATAGAATAATTATCGAATTTGGAACAAAAAGATTTTTTTTATATAATCTATATATACGAATTGATAAAAAGGTTATTAAAAATCTCAAAATTGATCTTAATAATCCTATTATTATAAATTATAAAAAAATGATAAATGAAATCTTTAAATAATATATATTGAAAGATTTTATTATTAGGATTTATAAAAAATTCAGGTAATATTAGATTATAATTATATTTGTTATAAAAGAATATATAAAGATATTATTTTCTAAAAAAACTATTTCAAATTTCGATATTCAAAAAAGGATTGAAAACAAATCAATAAACAAAATAATAAAATTCCTAAATAAACTAAATATAAATCATCTATAAACTCGAATCGAAAATATTAGAAATACAAAAAATATTTATATTCCCTCTCAACAATAAACATTTCAAAAAGAAAAGAATACTAAATATAATAAATTCCTAATTCAAGAAAATTATAATTCTATTTATATAAATATAAATACTATTAACAAAAGAAATTAATATTACTTTTATTATTTTAAATAAATTCTTTATAACAATAATTACAATATTAAACAAAACTATTCTATTATATATAAAAATATTCAAAATGAATTATATTATTACAATAATTATAAAATTTTCAGATTTAAACCAAAAAGAAACTTTAATACATCTCTAATCTTTAAAAACAAATTTCATTTTGAAAAACAACAAATTATAATATAATCCAGAATATATAACAATACTGAGTTTTGATAAAATGATACAGAACCATCAAACAATTAAAGATTTTTGAAAATTAATATTTCGAGTATCGATATCATCAAAAGTATATTTATCAATAGCTTTATATATAAAAAAGAATAATTAATTGATATTAATATAATCTCTTAATCAAAAAGTACCGAGTAGCCCCGGGTTCGATTTCCGGATTCGGAAATAGATTTTCGCTTTTTAATTCTGTTTATTTACCGAAAGTCGTAATTTTTGGACGGTGTAAAGAAGGGAGGTGTTTGGGCTGTGTGGTGTGGTTTTTGAGGTGGAACCGAGAGGGGAAGTTTTGCTGGAGCGGTATGTGGGGTGAGTTGGTGGATTTTGTTTTGTGTTTGGATGGCTTGTGGTGAGTGAATGGGCGATCCACCGCTTGGTGGGAGGATATGGATGAAGTACAGATGTGATGATGGTATTGTTTGTATGTATATGTGTACTTCTTGGTGAGAGAGCATATACAATTTATATCGTGGGTGGAATTGAAGATCACGGCGACTGGGAAGATGTAGAGAAGGGGAAAGAGGTATCGAGGCGCTTTCTACAGAAGAAAAGAGTGTAGATTGAGCGATAGCCAATTGAATAGTTTCATTTGCACCAAATCAAGCAGGTCGTTGTGAGCCCCTTGGAGATCGCAATCGTTTTTCATATATGCATCAAGATACAATCTAATATTGACCTTTCCCGTATTTTGATTTTTCTTAAGTTCGACTTCGAATTACCTCTATTCAGATAATCTTTATTTTCTAGTAGGGTTTAGCGCCTTCTGGGGTTATCCAATATCATTTGCGTAATCAATCAATCCAAAGCCAACCACTTCCCCTCTTCGTCCCTGAATGAATTAATCAATCCCTTAGATATTACAATCATCATGTGCAACTCGTCGTTTAAATCAAATCTCGTGCTCCTTGTCCCTGAGCTTCTCACTGCTATCGTCTCTTGCCTCCCTAATCCGGATCTCAAGAGCTTTCGTTTGACGTGCAAAGCTCTGGGGGAGGAAGTTCCTCTTCATTTCGACAGGGTGTTCTTGTCTGCCAATCCGCGAAACATTGAAGTTGCAAGAGCAATTGCTGACAACGAAAAGTTTCGCAAAGGGGTCAAAGAGATCATATGGGATGATGCTCTACTTGCCCACGATATAGTGAGGCCTAATGAAGCAATTCATTTGCCAGCAGAATCTCCTCGGGCAGAAGATGGCTCTCCCACCTGGTTTATACAAGCTTGCAAGGACAACATTAAGAATTTGAGAAATCTCAAAAGAGACAGAAAAAGGCCAAAGATACGAGAGTTTTTGCCATTTTCTGAATCATGGAGTTACTACGAGACGCTTCTAGAGCAGCAGGAAGAAGTGCTAAGATCTGGGGCTGATATTAATGCATTGACGTATGTCTTGGAGCGCTTTCAATCACTACGAAGAATTACTATTACACTCGCCGCTCATGGTAGTTTGGATCGACCGCTTTACGAAACGCCTATGATAAAATCTTTTCCAAAAGGTTTCAACTATCCAATTCCATGCGACTGGCCATCTTCTGGACCATTTGGACTTTATATCTTGCCTCCATGGACTGCTAAGAAACAGTGGCGAGGGGTTTGTATTATCACCAACATACTTGCAGGATGGAATGACCACCATACCTCAGAGCTAATCATCGATGTTGGAGGACTCGAAACAGGACTGAATTGTCGTGCCTTTGATGAACCACATGAGTAGTATGATAATCTTGTTCATCTACTTCGACAGCCAGGCTTCCGCCGCATAGATCTCGACCTACTTGCCGGTGGACAGGATTATGTTGACGACTGGTCAAATTCCCGCAGTGGTCACTTGAAAAAAATGTTCGAGGCGGCGCCTGACTTGGAGCATGTTAGCCTCCGAATAATGGCTGATTATGGTCAAATATATCCCGATTTCGAGCAATATTGCATCCCACTTCAAACCATCTTCCCTGTCGATCGATGGTAGAAGCTCCAATATTTTGGTCTTTCGAATTTCATCGTAGATGGACCAGATCTACTTTCCCTCCTCGGTGCGCTTCCGACAACACTACGATTTGTGAATTAAGTTTTTTGGAAATCGTCGGTGATCGTGGAAACTACCGTGATATTCTCCTTGATATACGCGATGTTCTTGATTGGGATGACCGAGCTGCTAACGCAAGACCTAAGTTTATAGTTCATGTCTACGGATCAAGCATGCGATACACTCCAATGCGGTACCAATGTGTAGATGACCATGCGAACGGGTTCATCTACGGCGACAAATAGAACACATTTGGTGCCAGGTCAAACGGTAATGCACTAATACACAAGATGGGCATTGAGCGATCTCACTTCGGGTGTTGTTACTCGGGATGAGAGTTTTGGAACATGAAATAATGACTTAGGACTATTCAACATGGCAATCAAGATATCGAAATCCAATAGTGCTAGTGGTGGGTAGTCATTGGAGAGAATCGAAAGGTAAGTGCGGTTGGGTGTTAAGAAATCTGCCGCCTAAAATGGAATTCCAATTTTCGATTGGGATATTGTTGCGAAGCTGACAATCAGATGCATACCCGATGGTACTCAAAGATGCTCATGGTCAAATTATGGAGTGTATCCTACACTTTATAACATTTACTAGTGTGCACTAGCACCGATCCCTGTTTATACTAGATATAAAACTATTTTGATAATCTGCTACAAAATAATCGGTGATCACCTAGACTTGAGACTTGGGTAATGTGTTTCTGTTTTAATGAGATATATCATTGAGAGTTCGATTGATATCTGTATGATTCGAATTGAGCGAGAAGGATAATATGGAAGATGAAGAATCTCGATTTGAGCTTCAATCGGTTGGCTTTTTTAGGGGCGTTGGGGTACGAGGATATGCCATTTCCAGCTTCCTGATGTACCAACGAATAACTTCACGCCACCAACAGATTCAAACAGTATCTTATATAACTTGAAACTTAGCTATATACTCTAATGTCGGTTTTTTTGGTATTACTTACTTACCTACTCATTCAATCATACCAGATTGTTTTTCTCGTTCATACTCGGATGTATTTATCCATATATACTAAGTATCCAACATTTGGTAAGATGTGGATAGCTGTTGATGTTGTGTTATGTTATGTTCTGTGGGTGTTTATGTATCGATATTTGAATGGTTAGATGTAAGATATCTTTCTATTATTTATGTTGAGATTGGAGAGAAAGATTTTTCTCTTCGCTTTTCTTTTCTTCTTGTTCATTTTCTCTGAACCTTTAAGTCTCGAGTAGAGAATCTACATATCAAACTCAAACTTCAAACCTCAAACCTCAAACCTTCAATTCCACTACCCCCTCTCACCCCTCTCCCCCTTCAAACATGCCCCCCCCTCCACCCCCGTCTTCGTCCTCGTCCCAGGAGCCTCCCAATCCCTCGCTCACTACGGCCTCCTCATGCACCTTCTCCTCACTCGCGGCCACCCCGTCTACTCCGCCATTCTCCCTAGTACTGGGCCCGGAAATACAAAGAATGTAACCGCGCAGGTGGATGCGGAGTATGTGCGTAAACATATGTTATTGCCGATTTTGGATACGGAGGGGCATGATGTAGTGGTGGTTATGCATTCATATAGGTATGTTTTTGTGGGATTTTGATTTCGTTTTCGGGGGTTTTTAAGTTTGGAGAAAGGGGAAAGGGAAGAAGAGAGATGAAAAGAGATGATTCAAAAGAAAGAGAAAGTAATAGAAAATATAGACCACAGGGGAAGAAAAATAAACAAAAAGGCTAACACAAATCCACCACAAAAGCGGTATCCCCGGCAGTGCCGCCGCCTACGGACCAGGCAAAAAAGATCGCGAAGCAGCGGGCAAGACAACATCTGTTTTGGGGCAGATATATATCGCATCGTTATTAGTCAAATGAGTTGATGGAGGGAATATTGTTGATGCGTTGGGTGGATCACTTTCGCCGCATATTACGCCTGATGTGACTTTTTTTCAGTGTTGTTTTTGGTTGGTTTAGATTCTTGGAGGTTCTCAGGGTTTTCTCTTTGATTTTTTGAGTATCAGGTGGGATGGAGAAGTGGGGAAGTATCTTCTCATTTTCACAACTACTTAGTGGTAGATGAAAGAACCATTGTCGCACTTGGTGGAGAGCTGTCCCCAACTGTATCCCTAGAACTTGATTTTTTATAACCCATCCCCTCCCTCCATTCCAATCCCCCCCTAAAATCCCCACTAGGAACCCTCCGGCATCCTCACCTACGCCGACCCCGGCCCTCCCCTCTACTCCGACGTCACACCCCTCCTCTTCCAAAGCGCCATCGTGAACTCCACTCTCTGTCCCAGCTACGCCTCCTGGCATTTGCCCTATCCACGCGCCTCCTGGGATCAAGAATCTTTCAAAAGAAAAATTGCATTCATTCGAACCCTCAATGATACGGGTATCCCGTTGCAGTTTCAGGATATGTTTATGCAGAATATTGGGGAAGAGTGGATGGTGAGAGATATGGATACGGGGCATAGTCCGCAGCTTGTGCAGCCGGAACGCGTTTGTGATGTTTTGATTGAGTTGGCGAGGGGGTTTGGATTGTTTGATGATTGGTTTCTCCGGCAAAGTGAAAATGAAGACAGAAAAAAGCCCTGAAGCTTTCATCTGTCTTGTTTTAACGGATCATGATGAATCAGGATGAGCAGAAAATATTTCATGGTGATTGTTTATATCCCCTCACCATTCAACACTCTATTAAATATGGAAACAAAAAGAAAAGTAAAATTATGTCGCGTTCTTCCCTGTGAATCTTGGTGAAATCTTAATGAGTTGTCAAAATCTCAAAGTCGTATAATCTCTACGTGAACCCTTTTTTCCTCATTACTGCTCTATCAAAAGTAGCATAAATATCGAGGAAGTTTCTCCTTTCTCTCCTACCCACCTTGGTTGAGCCACGAATGGTGTTAGTGTCGATAGGTTGATGGAATCCGTAACATTGAGAGAAGGAGAGAGGAGAGAGGAGAGAGTGTGATTGTTAAGGTGTAAATATCATAAAATAAATAAATACGAATGTCTCAAAATGAAAAGACCCAAGCAAATTGACTTCACAAGAACCTCAAAATAAAAAGAACACGTGTGCTATCTCCCATACAGCAAACTTCTAGTCGATAAATTCTGATATGGAATTGTATTTTCCTCTAGAATGACCTGTCACTTCGTGAGTCTATACACTCACTGATAGACTCTCAGAAAAGGAACTCCCAGCAGAACGAGGGCTCTATATATTGTAAAATTGCATGGTTTCCTCAGATAGGAGCTTCCAACTCCACTTAAAATACAATTCATACTTATTGGTAACGTATTTCGACCGGATTACTCCATAAGATCCCTCGATCTGACTTGATACTCCTACTCTGTTAATCCCCAGTGACTAATCGAGATCGCTACACTGTATTAGTGTAGAGGAGAACTTCGAGTGGTTTTAGTTGCTTCAAGGTGGTTCAGAGGTAGTTATAATGATTTTGCTCATGGTCAAGTAATAGACAGGGACGTTCGCTATGCTGGAACTTTCAAGGTATACTTGCGTTATTAATCGATTTGATACGTAATGAAACAGAGGAGGTGGTGAAAACCATAAGACAATTGAGAAACGGTTAAGTAGATCGCGTCCAATAATTTAAGCTATTAGTATTAGTTTCAACCCTCTCATCAATTGCTAGAAACCTCGATTTTGAAGTTGGGGGATATTTAGGACAACTTGTATGTCCTATGTGTAGACTCGAAATTAATTCTCTCCACAGAAAAATCTGATTTTTCTTTTCTCTACAAGATTCCAATCTCGGCCTCTTTACAAACATTCAAGAAAACATCATCCATGGATGGCTCTAAAATAGTATAGTCCCTCAACACCTTCCTCGTACCATTTCCAGGCACTCCCTCCCCATTAATCCTCCTCTCAATCCCGGGCACACCCTTCTTATCCACCATCAAAGTCTCCATACTCAGCATAATCCTCCCGATCATCTTCCTCTCATACGGCAGCTCAAACTCCACCTCGCCAAACGCACACTTGAGATTCCGCACTTGTGTGCCAAACATGACCCGAAGAGCCGCCTCCAATTCCGTCTCACTCCCAACCTCATAAGCCGCCCGCACGCGATAGAACCCTCCAAAGCGCGATCGCAACTGCGATGTCGTGCCCGAAGCTAACATTTTCTTATCGACGATGGCCACTTTCGTCGCAAGTGCTTCTGTCTCCTCCATACTATGCGTGGTAATCAGAATCGCGCGATCGTTACTCAGCGAACGCAAGATCTTCCACAAAACACGTTTGGCACCGGCATCTTGCCCAGTAGACGGCTCGTCCAGTAGCAGCAGTCGCGGATTCCCGAGGATGGCGATCGCGACCATCACTTTCCTTCTTGTGCCGCCCGAGAGCTTGGTAATGAGGCGGTCAGCGAAGGTTTCTATGCCGAATGCGCGCATCACGCCGTTTACATTCCCCCTGACGTCTCGCAGACCTTTGATACTCGCGTAGAAGCTTAGGGTTTGGCGGACGGTGAGCTCGTCAATTGCGTCATCTTGAGGGCAAACGCCAGTGTGGATTCGTGCTTGTTGAGGCGAAGCGAGGACATTGATACCATCTATGGTTATGGTGCCATGATCAGGAGTGATGAGACCACGGATCATGTTGATGGTGGTTGTTTTTCCGGCACCGTTAGCACCGAGAAGTGCTAGTGTTTCATTTGTGGAGATGTTGAAAGATGTTTCTTGTACTGCTAGCAGTGACTTGAAGAATTTGGTTACCTTGGAGAGAACGAGGACAGTTGCACTACTTTTTCCTTTGAGAGGCTTGAGGGGGATATCGTCATCATGCTCTGCTGTTGGTGCGAAGTTCGGAGACTCTCTTCCCTCGATACCAAAGTCTAATTGTGCTGGAGTCGCCGGCATCTTTCTCTTTGGAAGAAGTTTGAAAAACCATGCTGAGCTTCCAGTTTCGATAAATCTAATAACAAAACTACAGAACATGATCTGTAGGATCAGATTAATGTAGACACCACCATAAAGTTGAAATGCTATGGGATGCAAATCATACCACCCTGTCTCGCCGCAGGTGATGCCGAAGTTATCGTTTGCTACGAAGAACGTTCGGAGTAGGTTGGCTGCTGGCGAGGTGAGACCAAGTACGCCTTGAATATCGAGGGCTATATTGAATTCGTTCACAGGATTATTAGAATCCATGATGTAATACTGTTTTCTGTTAGAATCATTCAGAGTTATGAGGAGAGTACTTACTGCGACGAGATAAGCCACCATTAGCATGATGTGCACGCCAACTGCAACTGCAAACGCAGCTCTTCTGAGGAATAAAGAGCAGAGATAAAGTCCTAGGTAGGTCGCAATACAGAATAGCAGTATTGCAAAGAGGATGAATGTTGATTCATACCAGATCCGGCTCTTCCCGCCCGAGAATATAATTGCCCATGTTACGACGGACGTGATGATCCCAATGTGCATGTCAAAGATCAGGTAGGCTGTCCATAGTGCTGCAGACTATTTCTATGTTAGACAAAAGCACACTATGTTTAGATCGTTGGAGAAACTTACCGAGACTGAATTTGAATACTGCAAGGCCCTGACATTGTTGATCCTCTCGAACACCGGATACAGGATGCTGACACTTGTGCTACATATGAACCCAAGTGTTATGAACACTAAGATTGGAATTGACAATGGGTCGGGAGTAAAGTCGACGTGCCGGAATTTGCGGTACGTTGCCTTGACCTTTCTTGCCGTTCCAGTTTGTGCCGAGGAGTTCGCAAGTCGATTTGTGATGATGTTCATGCCTGCCATGGAGAATTCTGGGTACATTCGATGAACGAGCGTGACATCGGCCGAGTCAGCAAAAACACCAAATGCTGGCTGACCGTGGTGATCCTTGATGATGGAGATCATTTCTGTAAGTGAAGACGCATTGCCACGAGTAGCTAGAGCCTTCTGTTCTCCAGTAACACCCTCTTGTTCAAGACTGACTGACCCAAAAAAGTGTCCCATATTCTCTACATAAATTGTATTTTGAGCTTCGTCATCAAAAGCAGCCGGCGGTCCAGCAATGCTAGAAATCGCATAGTACGCAAGGTCCTCAGCGCTGTAGAAATCAGGGGTTTCCAAAGGACCGAGAACATCGTAATTATTAAAAGCCCCTCTTAAAGCCATGAACTCTGCTTTGCTTGCATTTCGCATGGTAACATCCATTCTATGTGTACAGTTATCAAAGCTGTCGAATTTGGCGACCGAGCTGGCTACTGCAACGGCAATGACAATTGGGATTACGAGAGCGATACCATAACTCATCCAGCTGTTCCGTGCTAGAAGGTAGCGTTTCTTCAGAATGACTAGAATCTTGAATGTAGTTAGTACGAGAGTTAGGCCAACAAATTGGCAACTTACTTGGTGAAATAGCTTGGTTTGCTTCCCAACTTCAAGGGTTACTCCATCCACACTTCCTGGGTTCAGTTCTTCGAGCTCAGTCTCCTGTCTAGATATTTGATCACCAAGTACTACATCTCCGTTGCCATTACCATCGATCAGCGATGAATTGGTGACGTTCAAAAAGACTTGCTCTAGCGTCGGGAAGGTAACTGAGTATAAACCACCTGATAGCTCTTCCAATTCGAGAATCTTCTTTGTTGCTTCAGTAGAAGTCTTCATGTTCCACGTAGGCATTTTGTCTTCTTCATCATTTTCATCTTCTTCGTAACCTTCGTCATCTTCTGTCGCAATCTGTCGGATCTCGAGGTCCAGTCCGTAGTTAGCTTTCAGTGAAGTGGGGGTGCCTGTGCACACAAGTCCTCCTTTGTAGATGATTGAAATGTTGTCCGCAAGAACGTCGGCCTAAGAAGATTTAGTAATTTAAGTAGAATGAAATCTGGGCTTCTTCCTTACCTCGTCAAGAAAATGCGTGGTTATCAAGACGGTACGGCGCGAGTGACAATTGGAGATAATGTTCCAGATATTGCGTCTTGAGAGGGGATCCTAAAATCTGTCAGCAGTGGTCAAGACTTTGGACTGGCTGTAGCTACCAAACCACTGGAAGCCTCATCGATGAAGCACATTGTGGAACCTCCCACAAACGCGATGGCAAGCTGCAGCTTCCTTTGCTGGCCCCCAGATAATGTCTCCACAGCTTGGTTAGATTTTTTCAAGATATCGCACTCTGCAAGCACATCATCTTCGCTTCCAACCATAGTTTCTCCAGTTTTAATCTTTCTCCAAATTCTGACGTGTTCGGCAACCGTCAGTCTCTCCCAGAAAACCTACAAATGTTAACTCGGCACATAACTGGAAGGAGTGATATTTACATTATGCTGGGGGCAGACGCCAAAAAACATGGCATTTTGATTGATTTCCAGTCGTGAACTTTTGTCCGGAGAGATGATGCCCGCAATACATTTCAGCGTCGTCGTTTTACCTCCCCCATTTGGCCCGAGTAGGAAATTAACTGAACCTGTCTTCAATTCGAGATTTAAACTGTTAACCGCAAGATGGCTGCTTCCCACAGTGCTCCATGGCCAGTACCATCGACGGCTCGCTTCAAAAGTCTTCGAAAGTTCGGTGCAGCGTACTGCAACGTCACTAGACGAATCAATCTCATCGTAGCTTCTTTTCACACTCCATTTGTAGTGATCAACTGCAAAGCACGCAGCGGTGTAAACCACAATTTGGGCACATAAGAATATGATATACAGGTAGCCGGTGACTTGCGGAGTGAAACCTAGACTATCAGAGGTGGTAGTGATGGACTTCTGGAGCGAAAAGCTGGCGAGGTGCGCCTCGGCCCGCGCAATGTCGCCGATGAGACTTGCGTAGGTGAACGGAGGAAATAAGGCGCTTAGTATTGCGATCGTGGTATGAGATGGGGTGTCACTGAACACGAACGCTACAGTGCCGAAGGCCAGCGTGAATGTGAGAATGGAGGCATAAAGTCCTGCTAGCTGGGCTTTCCTGAAAAATGAGGATAAGAACAGTGCCCACTGCAGTAGTATTAGCAAATGTTATAGAGCTGAAGCTGGAACTAAAAATATGTGTCTTGAAGACTGCATGTGAAAGAAGTGAATCTTGAATTACGTCCCTCAAGTCTGGATCCCTGAAGAATTTTTGATGTGATGATAGGAAACATTTACTTACCACAGTGAGAGATGTCCCAGCTATTAGTGTAAGGAACAGGAGGAGGGCATCGGAGCAACGCGTGAAGAGAAGCTGGGTCATGAGAATGGAGCAAATGAACCATCCTGGCGAATAAATTGCAACAAAAGAAGCAATGGTGGAGAGAATTCGAGGTGTTTTCGTGCATGTTTGTGCATCTAGAAGTTCGGCCATTCCCAATTCTCTTTCTGATGCCACAAATAGACTGGCATGGTAGACAACACCAATCAAAGCGAGGAGAAATGCCGGAGCGATGAAGTAGTAAATTACCACAAACCAAGATGCGGTATCAAGCTGTGAGCTTGCATCCGGTGCTTGGTCTTCGAAATATCCGGACCAGGGAAGTTCTGATGGCGGAGTCGTTTTACTGAAGCTCCCAATGCTAGAATCGATAGCCCATTGCAGTGGCAGGAGGCGGTCGTTGCTCAAGGATTCATGCTTTGCAAAGTCGGTACTCGATAGGCTTGTAGCGCTGTCGGTGGCGATGATATAATCAACATTCGTAGCATTGACTGAGGTGAAGATGACAGCAGCGAAGCAGTTGGAGATGCCAGTCCGTGATTGTAGACAATTGTAATACAAGTCGTCCACATTGTCAATTGTAACCCACCTGTCCAAGCTGAGGCCTTGTACCGCAGTCTCTATAATCGAATTGACTTCTGTCCCATTGAATCCATTTCGGCACAGAACAAGTTTTTTGAGGGGAACCCCATCCAGCGCTTGTTTCAAACTTTTAATCTGCTGCGAAGAGTTGGCAACTCCACCTTCGTTCGGCGTGGATGAAATATTGGAGAGTTTTCCACCGGAACAGAATAATGCGGTGAAAATTATTGGCAGGACCAATGCGCGAAAGAGAGTCGCCCACGGTGATCTGAGAAACAGGAGGAAGTTTTTCTCCGTCAGTGCTAAAGTCTGACGTCTGACACGTTCACGCCATTGAGCAGTTGGAAGAAACGCCATTCCTTCTAGAAAAGCGAATGTAGTATGGGGACGAACGCACAAGTACCAGATCATCTTATGTATAAGGACTACATTGTTTAGGTTAATCCCCGCTTCCCCCCAATACGATGTACGTGCCAGTAATGAAACAGAGTTGCACAAATCGCAATTTGCACAGCCATTATTCAATTTAAGGGCCAACAAACTCAATTTGATAGTGAGATGAGTAACGCGGCAGAGAACGAGCCATCGCGGGCATGGATTCAGGTAATGAAAACACAGGTGTCGGCATGTTTCCCGTATTGGGTGGGGCAGGAAGTAAGCAAGAGTTCAGCCTCTTTGCAGGAGAAAAATCAGGTGAAATTTGATAATTCAAATATCTATTGAGATCTTCTAACTTAATTGAATAAAAAATCAATTATAAATGAAATGATTTATAAAAATTCAAAAAGTCAAATGAAATATTAGTTTTTTGTTGTTCCGAGAATATTCTGAAATTTAATCTTATGTAATATTGAAGGGAAATAATCGATTTATAAAAGATGTTATAGAACGGTCAAATACCGCCTGTTTTTTCTCCTGTGAATACCTAAGGGTGTTTCATTTTGAGTATAGAACACAGTCTCAAAAGCCAAGACTCTAGCGTCGCAGAACTTTATGGAGCGCATACAAAGATCCCCCTTGATTATAAGGGGTGACACTCCGCCAAGAAACCTTCAATTGTTAATTGGGACAAGATGATTGACTTTAAGCTTCAAATACAGGCTTGGCATCTGATGATCTATTTCGGGACTCATAGGGTGAAGACTCCACCGGCTGTAATGAAAGTAATTTTATCAGATTATATATACATTAATTTAATTTAGATTTAATATTGATTTGGGTATAAATATCTTATCAATTTTATTCTTCAATTTACACTTTTACTCTCAAAAACAATTTGTTTTTCTAACAATATTTATAAAATTTTTTAATTTTGTTTCAGGATTTATATCTATTTGATTATTTATATATATATAACATTTCTTTATTTTTGAAATAATCATTTATATATTATTATCAAAAATCATCAATTCGTTTTCAAATTCTTTTTAAATTTTCAAATCGTTGTTTATTATCTTTATATATACTTTTTCAATTGATCAATTGAAAAATTACAAATAACTTTATTTTTTTCGTTTTCTATAATTTCATTTTCTCGATTTCAAAAATAATTATCGATTTCTTTGTTTTTTCTCGATTTCAAATAATTATATATTATTTCGATTTATCGATTAATTAAAAACAACAATTCTTATCAGATTTATCTAAATATAATTAAATAATCAATTTTCGATTTTATATTTTCAAGAAATTCTATATAATATAGTTTCCTAATTCAAATTTATAATAAATTTTTTCGATTCTATTTTATCTTTTTTTATTAATAATATCAATTCTTATTTATATTATCTTTTAAATATCGATATTTTTGATTTCTTTTGTTAATTTTTCAAACTAATATATTTCTCAATATTATTATTATCCTTCTTTAAATCTAATTCTAACTTTAAAAACTTTTATAAAAAGATTACAATTTTAAATATATTTTCGAAAATATTTAAAAAATTCAAAAACAATATTATTTATAATTTTATTAAAGATTATTATTATTTTTTATTTATATAATTTATCAATATCTTTATTATTTTTATTTTTGATTTCAATATATCTTTCTAATTTGTTTATAAAAAATTAAAGTTTATTTTTATTAATTGATTCAATAATAATACTTCGATTTAATTAAATTTATATTTTTTTTTAATAATACTTATTTCAAAATTATATATATATTATAAGAAAGTTGGAATTATAAGTCAAATATATAAAGGTTTTAACTAATCAATTATATAATCTTTTATAATTAGATATAAAAGAAAAGTCTTTTATCTCTTCTTTTCATAATAATCAATCTTCTATATATATATATTTGAATCTATATAATATTAACCTCAAAATCATTATAAACTCTGTTTTATCTATAAATAATATATTATAATATAATCTAATTCAACTTTTTCTTTCAATTCCTTTTTTATAGTATATTATCAGGATATATATATCTCGATTTATTACTTTTATAATATTTTATAATAATAATATAATTAAATAAATCAACTTTATTCTTTATATTATAAGAAAATTAAAATTATAAATCAAATATATAAAGGTTTTAATTAATCAATTATATAATCTTTTATAATTAAATATAAAAGAAAAATCTTTTATTTCTTCTTTTTATAATAATTAATCTTTTTGTTATAATTTATAATTAAGATAAGGATATATTGAGGGATAACAATCAATATGTTTATATAAGTTTAGATCTTATCAAAAAACAAGACAATTTGTATATAAATTTGTATAATAATTGTCTTATATAATCTCTTTATTTTTAACAAATTTAGATATATAGTTTAATCCTAATTATATAATAAAAAGTTTTAAAAACTTCGAAAGTTTTTAAAGTTTCAAAAACTTTTTGGAATTTTAGAATTTTATAAAGCTTTTTTATATTCATTAATATATAATTAGAATAATTTTATAATTTAAAAACTTTATATTCAATTTAATTATCAATTAATTTATTTATATTTTAATTGATTTAATAATATATTCATTTTCGAATAAATAATCAATAATTATTAATCTTAATTTATAATTATCAATTATATAAAAATCTAAAACAATTGTTATTTCGATTAGATTATTATATTTTGAATATTGTTATAATTAAGTTATATATAATATAATAGTTTCCAATTAGTAATCCATCGAATTATCTTTATTCAATTTAATTAGGGTTTTTGTTCAGATTATTGTTATTATAAAATATAAACGAATAATTCAAATATTCATCTTTGATTTATTTTATAAAGATTATAACAAGTATTAAACTTTTATTATATAAATTAATTTTTATTATATTTTTAATAAACAACTTTTCTTGATTTTTATATAAAGAATTTTGTAATTAATCTTCTTTTTCTAAGGAATTATATTTAATTAAATTGAATTATTTTTCAATAATTTAATAATCAAGATTATCGATGATTAATTAAATAAGAATATAAAATCTGAGATTTATTGTCTCTTCTTCAATTACAAATTGTTTAAATAAGAATTTAACAAGGTATTTGAGAAAGTAGACCTTAATTATATAATTGAAAAAGTATTATAATAATTCAGACAAATCGGATTAATTATAATCTATATTATCAAATTTCAACAATACATCAAATATATTATATAAGATAATGATTATCTAAAATTATAATTTTATAAAGAATTAAAAGATATCATCAAAAACAAATTAATAAAAACTTTGAAATTATTTAATCTTTTCGAATTAATCGAAATCTTCATTCTTATTAATAATCGATTTTATAAATAACAAATAAAGAAGAAAGAAATCATTTAGAAAAACAAAAAGTTTTAAAAATTTTATTGTTAGAATAGATATTATAATATCAATAATTCAATGGAATTGGATAATATTGAATAATATTATATAAAATTAAATAATTTAAATACTAATAAAAAGAAAAGATATAAAAAGAATAATTTATATTATATTTATAGAAAAAGTGAATATATATCTTAAAATTATTCTCAAAAGAAAAGATTATTTATTATAAAAGATAAAAAATAGATAAAATTTGAGAACAAAAAATAGGATTTTCGAAAAACAGGGATTTTGGAAAAAAACTTGAAGGAAATAGAATTATTAGAAAAAGAATTATTTTAATCTAATTTTGAACAATTAAAGAAATTGAATATCAACAATTAAAATTCTAAAATTAATATTAAAAACAATATCAATTACAAAAAAGAATTCTCAGAAGACCTCGAGTTAGAAAATGAAGAATTTAAAAAGAATCAATAATTAATTAAATCTTATTATCTATTTTAAGAAAATGAATTATAGTATTTAATTAGCTATTTAGATAAGAAACAGATATAATATTATTATAAAAAAAAGAAACCTGATTTCATCAAGAAATATAAAATCTATAATTATTCTATTTTGTTAGTATTTTATATAATAATATACAATAATACTTATTATATAATATTTAAGGAAAATATTGAAATAAACAATACCAAAAGGTATATTGTAGATATAGATTCTTTATTTTTCGATAAAGTATAAGAATATAACAAATGTAATCTGGAAGTTGAAAAGGTATAAGAAATCCTATTATAAATTAGGATTTGTTATATCTAATAAAGAATCGATAAGGATAATAAAAAAATATCAAATTGGGATTATTATCGAGATTTTCAAATAAAATCAATAAAATTATTATTCATTATACTTTATCGATTATTAAGTATAAACAAATATCAATATGAATAATTGAATTTCCTTATCGAAAAACAAATTATTGAATTACTATTATTAGAATTAAATAATATTATAAGAATTAAACAACTAATTATAAAAATCAAATTAAAGAATCAATAGATCAATGTTTTGATTGATTTCGAAGTTATAAGTATATTCATAAATTCTAATTTTGTAAGAGAAAATAGAATTTCTATAGAATTAAAATAAAACTTTTATTAATTGATACTATTAAAAGAAAAGAAAACTGGAATTGATAATTAAATATATAAAGAAACCAATATTATCAAAATGATTATATCAAATAAATATATCGAATAGATCAAAATGGATTTAATATTATTAGATAAATATATAATTGTTTTTGGTACTTTATAAATTAAGAAATATAATTTAAATATTAATTAAATAAAAGATATCTTAATATTCGATTATTACAATTACAATAACAAATGATTATATAATCCAAAAAAACAGATTTTCAAGGAGATCGAATATTATATTATAGTAACAATAGATTTTTTATTAATTAATAGAATTGATAAAAAAGAAATTCTAATATAATATAAAAGATTCGTTAAATTTTTCGAAGATTTATAAGATTTAAAAATCTTACTAGAATATAAGTTTTAGAATTATAAAATCAATTTTAAAAAGAGATTTATATTCTTTATTGAAAAGTTGAAGTTATATAACCCTAATACTATACAAATATAAAAAGAATATAAGATTAAAATTGAAAAGAAAAGATAAATTAGAAAATCTAAATCTCTTTGTATATCCAATATATTATTGATATTTAAGAAAAACGATTCAAATAATCAATTTTATAAAGATTATTGTTAAATTAATAATAAAACAATCAAAGATATATATCCAATACTAAAAGTTTAAAAGTTCAAAGATAAATTGAATAAAATAATGATCTATACAAAATTAAATCAAAAGAACATTTTCAATTTGATATAAATAAAAAAGGATTACAAATAAAAAACAATTTTTATATTATTATCAGATTTATAAAAAT